ATTCCAATCTGTTTTCGATCGTCAACTCAATATAGGTGACTGTCAATAAATGTGCTTTGAATTGTATTATTGTATAGCAGCTGTCCACGCGGATGCATCGCTCACTCAAGTAGGAGAGAGACGGATGTCGAATGCTGCCGAACGCGGAGGCCGATTGTGCCTCTTTTTCACTCGTTGCGCGCTCTCGCTTGCACTTCAAGCCTTAAATGGAACGCCTGAGAGCGAGGTAACGCCGCATGAGTCATGTTTTTTCGTGCATGCATCCGGCTCCATCGAATTATAAGACGTTGTCACGTCAAAAAAATATAAATGGCAAAAAGAAAGTCGTAAAAAGCAATAAAATATTCGGCCCCCCTCTTTGTGAGTAGTTTTGCTCCGGTGGGAAATGGTATCTGGTTTTACAAAGACGATGATGAAACCATCCAAAAAAATTCATCAGAGCACCTCTCTTTAAAGATACGGTACAAAAACCTGCAAAAAAAGATTACATACTTTTCTTACTTAAACTAGGCTTCGACTTCTGAAATTCTTAGTTTAAAACTGCTTTAATATTGGTGAATTGAGTAAGACATTCCCGATCCTGCGGACCGAATAATAAAAGGTCGATGTCGCCCAAAACACGTCATTTCGGATCCTCCCGATCCACTAACGGTGCTTTTAGGTACCCCAAGCACCGGTCATAGTTCTCGTCGAACCTGTCGCGAACGGCGTCGCGAAAGACGAAGGGTTCCGCTAGTAAATTAACCCACACACACAGCCCACTGAGTTTCTCTGTAGGTCGCATTTCCAATCCGGTGGTAGATTCTGCAAAGCACGGCTCTTGCTAGGGTTCGTGCTAGCAACAACGTCAGGTTTTGCTAGCACGTTTACTTTTTAGCAACTCATAGATAACATTGAATTAAATAGCCACTTACCAAACGGAATAATCCATTGGAGGGAAATCTCACAAATCCCGAAAAAACAAAAAAATCATTAAATTATGTAAATTTCGACAGTAAAAAAAAAGAGTCTCTCCCGAAGCAACCCTTTAAAGTAATGAGAACATGGAATTCGTTATTGAATAATTCATAAAAATCATTCCGATTTTATACCAAAAAAAAAACAAATGGAGTTTTTCTACTAAGTTTTACAAAGTGGGTATGTACCGACTAATCTGTGTTGTCTGAAATCATCATTTTCAAAAACAGGTAACACTAAATTCCTTTTGTTCTAATAAAAATCCGTAAACATTTTTATTGAAGCACTCAATAAAAATGTTTTTTTTTTTGGCATAAAATCGGAATGATTTTTATGAATTATTCAATAACGAATTCCATGTTCTCATTACTTTAAAGGGTTGCTTCGGGAGAGACTCTTTTTTTTTACTGTCGAAATTTGTGTGCTTCAATAAAAATGTTTACGGGCGTCGGCCACTAGATGGCTTCGCTCCGATTAGTTTCTCATTACTCCTGTAGATGGCAGTAACATATTACCTATCCTATATTTTATTTATAATGAAGGATTTTGAAATATCTCCGAAACCACAGATCGATAAAATTTAATCAATTTGTCTATATCAAATGAAGACTTGTATGATTTATTACTTTTTTACTGTCTGTGTTTAGTTATACAATAACGAAATGCCTTAACTTTCACAACATATATGATGTATAAGATGTCGCTAGTTTATGTACAGAAAAAACATTTGTCTTAAAGTATTGCATTTTCAGAGCCCTGCTCATCTGAACTACCTAGAACAACTGCGTCCACCCACAGTCCATTTTTAGAGTCACGTACCACCCGACTTTAGAATTAACTTTTTCAAAGGGGTTTGAGAAGAATCCTCAGCGGTAGGTAGGAGCTTGACTGTGCCCCTAGCATAACTAAAGCCCATAAGCAACAATGTCTACTCACAAATCGCAGGCTTCCTATAAATACAATGAGAAAATCTAAATTTTAGATATTCTACTACGTTCCTGTTGTACCTAGTGTACCTCGCCACATACGGTGCGATAACGTCACTTATGCAAATTATGTAATTTTTCAGGAGAAACGTTGGAAAATTCGACATCTTAATACTTCTTATATAATTTTGCTAGGCTATAGAAACAAAATGAACTATAAACTTCATCAGTAAAAGCAAACATCTCTCACGTCTCACTAATAACTATTAAAAAAATGTATTTTCTCATACTCAGTTCAGTGTTTGCATGTGTGACTTTATAGCACCGTATGTGCGATATGTATATAAAACTCGTAGAAGATTCAAAAAATATGTTTTACTTACTATTTTCTAATACTAGTAATTTATTAGTTTAGTAATGTTCTAGAAGCATATTGGACTTGTGTTTTTGTGTGTAGCCGGGTGCAATATGTCTGGTCTTGAAGACAGATGCTGCAGTTCCCTTCAAGTTAGGGTTGTGAAATTTCTGTGGTTGTGAAGTTAACGGTTGTCTAAAAATTGACGCGTAAGTAATTTTATGTGAATGCTTATTCTATATTACTAGTATTTTAGTTGTTAACAATAAATATTATTTTATGATCTATTGCAAGATATTTGTTTAAGATGGCTAATAGTGGATTTTGTATGCCAACACTGATCGGTAGAAATATACAAATTTTGAGCGCGAAACAACCGGATCGGATTCGAAAGATAGATTTAACTGCTTTTTTTAGTAATAGAATTCTCTCAGGTTCAGTGGTCACATTCAATGTCATACACAAATTTGAACTTCGGTAACTATAAACGCTCATGAACCAATGTGCACCTCTCGGATAATTAAATAGTATTTAAAAAACTACAGAGTATGTAAAACAGCATTTTAATCAGGTTTCATTACATTGAACAAAACAAAAAAGTACATGTAAAGTTAGGCGCTTCTTCTTTTTTCAGTAAATTTACTGCTTCTCTAGCAATTTCAAAATTGGAAAATCGTTTTTTTTTTTTGCATCCATAAACACTATGAATAAGTTCGGGCAGCCCTAGAGTCACATTGCTCTTGACTAGAGAATATCCTTGACGCTTGAAAGTATGCTTTGAACTTCTTTATACGACTGGCTGTACGACTGAAACAACGCGGGCTGCGTTCTTTGTTTGACTTTGAAAAACGAAGCAATAAAATGTTCTAGACATATATGATTTTCTTTAAAACATTTGCAGAAACAAAATACCGGTTGAAATGTTATCGGTAAACTTTAGTAAAATATAGTAAACCTACAGTTTTATAACACAGAAAAATAATTGTAACACAAAAGTGAAATGATTAATGTAATAACAAACCTCTTTCAAAGAATTGCCTAGCAATATCGGGAAAATAGGCAGTCATTACGTTCCTTCTCCTGATAGGAGGTCCGCTTGCTCGTCTGCTTACTGGCGCAATAAAATAAACTTAATTCAAGAAATTCCATATTTATTTGGAATCGTGGTCTTTTTAACTATCCAAATATACAAAGAAGGAACAGTTTGGTTGGTACATTTTCTGCTCTGACTATTATATTTGTGTCTAATAAATATAGCCATATTATTATTAAAAAAAAATTTTGGCAACATTTTACACGTAGAAATACCAATAACAAAACAAATATAAATGCAAATGTAAACCGATCAACATAAACGATTACAAACCGTACCTGCCTAGATAATGAAAGGCCATCTCGCAAATAACGCAACACACAACGACCAAAACAAGTAACGCCATCTAGTAGAGAGCAGACCAACAACATACGGCCATAATAGAAATCGTATTTCACGAACGTTCGAGCTCCATTGCATACCGGAACATAGGATGGGGTGTAGTATGTAAACAAGAAAAGCGCGACAATGCCAAAGTCGAACAGACGAGTGCAAAGCGAAAAAATGAGAGAATGAATGCTAATATGTATTAGATATTTATTTGATTGTCCGCATTCGATCAATAAGCATTTTTTTGGTTAAAGCCTCGTTCATAATTTAATCCCCGAACCCCAGGACGTAGGAAAGTTTAATCAACCCACTTGTCTATTTATTGGACNAAACAAGAAAAGCGCGACAATGCCAAAGTCGAACAGACGAGTGCAAAGCGAAAAAATGAGAGAATGAATGCTAATATGTATTAGATATTTATTTGATTGTCCGCATTCGATCAATAAGCATTTTTTTGGTTAAAGCCTCGTTCATAATTTAATCCCCGAACCCCAGGACGTAGGAAAGTTTAATCAACCCACTTGTCTATTTATTGGACTAAGTTTCGATCCATAAAAAAACCCACGCACAGTTTACAACATCAAGTTTTCATTCATCGCACTTTGTTAACTTAATTGCGTAGTCGTCGCGGCGTCGTACCTTTATTGAATGGAATTACAACTGAAATCTCGTAGCAGATGTCGCTACTGTGGTGAGCCCGTAAGGCCACCATAACATACCTTTACTTAGTTTGTTATCCAACGTCAGTGCCCATGTGGCTATCACATAGCATTGTAAGGCTACTCGGGTTGATTTCCATGATCGTATTGGCGCATTTTTTCGCTTTTAGCTCTATTCATATAACCTCCATGAAACAGTAGCGACATCTACATTTCATTCTACTGTAAATCGTAACAGTTTTAATTATTAGAAATTTGTATGAAAATTACTGTCGAGTCAATTATTTCACAGCAATTTTCTCTTCACCAGTATATAGCTTTATTAAACACTAAAAATATATGCTAAACAAGGTCATTTTTTTTTAACTCCGCTTAGACTAAGAGATTCTAATTGGCTATTTTGTGTTGCCCGTCTCCTATTGGATGTTGATACCTGATAATTTATTCTGACCAATGACTATTAACCGTGTAAAAGGAACATTTCCTTGCCACATCAACGAGAACATACACATTTTACACTATACGTTGTAAGAGAACAATAGCTATAGAAAACAAGTTTTGTTAATCTGTCAAACAGATGACTGTACATTCGGGGTATCCGCTTCGAAATTACGTTTTATACTGAAAAACAGTAAGTAAAACGCATTATTTGTATAAATGTGTTTACATAAGTGATATCGAATGAAAATTGAAGTGCAGAACCGACTAATACTGCGATTGTTCACTGAAGTTCCACAATACACGAGTTCAAAATTGACGTCATTGGTTTGATTTCCAACGCAAAATTGTTGAATTTAAAACCGTTTCACCTTCAAAATCCACCAATACTTCGTTCACATATGAAAACCTTTATGAATTAGTAATAAAAAAAATCATATAAATTAAAAATTATTCACATCAAAGAATTTTTAAATAAACATACTACCTTTCTGGGTTTTACACAGCGAACAATGCATTTTCGACGTACTTTTGAATACAATACAAATGCTTAATACGAACATGTCACAATTTCGAGCAGAATCCTAATACTGTAAACGAGATCAAATTCATCAATTACAGCTAATTGGTGCTATTATGAAACTAGCGATATGTGTCAGCGCCTTACAGCCCACCAATTTCGGCTTCAAATTTTACAACTAAATAAAATAATAATAGTTATAACACGAACATCGCAATTTATTTATCATTTATGTGCATACTCCCTACATTTCTAGATAACACTGATAAGATAAAATTTGTACTCAATGTAACAAACCTTCCTAATAAAATCGTTCAGGTTAATACAATAATCTATTTTGCAATTGTTGTAGGTACGGGTCTTAAAATGGCGACCCAAGTGCAGGCTTTGTATGACTTCACTGGTGAGCCTGGCACCACAGAGATGTCCATAACTTGTGGAGAGGTGCTCACACTGCTCAACACAGAAATCGGAGAAGGCTGGTGGGAAGGAAAAAAATCTAATGGAGAAACTGGTCTATTTCCTGCTGCATATGTCAGAAAATTGACACCAGAAGAATCAACTCAAACTAAAGCTGCTCCTCCAGCACCTAGATATGATCAAGCAGCAGATGACTGGGGCGAACAACACTACAGTGCAGGAGATAACAATTACCAAAGAGGAGTTTCGCAAGAAGATGGTTGGGATGATGACTGGGAAGATGATACATACTCAGAGATAGGACCAGCCCAGCAACAGAACAAGACATCGCAGTACAACCAGCAATCATCCATTGTGATTCCCGGTATGCCTATTAATGATTATAATCAACACATAGATGACACATCTTCAAATTATAGCTCATCAGTGGGCACAGTTAGAAAAAACAAATTTGCACCATCTTCAAAGATTAGTGGAGAAAGCTACCTGCTGGCAACCCTTAATGTAGAAGTACCAGACTCTGAAAAGGTCTACATTATCCAAGATGAAGATGGATATATTTGGTCCCCAATTACTCAGCCATATATTGTGACTGTGGCCTCTCCAAAAAAGGAATCTAAATTCAAAGGGATCAAGAGTTTTATAGCCTATCAACTGACTCCTTCATTCAATAATATTCAAGTGTCCAGGCGATACAAACACTTTGACTGGCTCCATGAGAGACTACAAGAAAAGTTCACACTTATTCCAATCCCCCCTCTGCCTGACAAACAGATATCTGGAAGATATGATGAGCAACTAATCGAACGCAGGCGAGTTCAGCTCCAAGAGTTTGTAGATTGGATGTGCAAGCACCCTGTGCTCTCCAGAAGCGAGGTTTGGCAACACTTCTTAACATGTACTGATGAAAAGAGATGGAAAGCTGGTAAAAGGCAAGCTGAAAAAGATAATTTGCTAGGTCTAAATTATTGTGTTTCACTAGTGGTACCTGAGAAAGCATTATTGCAATCACAAGTTGATCATATCACAGAACAGTGCCACACTTTCATTAACAGTGTCGACACAGCCATCAAGTCTGTGTCTAGCATGTGCATTGTGCAAACAAAACGTTTCCAAGGACCATACAAGAGTGACTGCCAGAAAATAGGAGAAGCATTTTATAGTCTGGGTAATGCCTTAAGCTTGGATGAAGGTACCATAGTATCAACATCTAAACTGACTTCAGCTATCAAAATGACAGGTGGTGTTTACATTGATATTGGTAGGATGTATGATGAACAACCGAAGTATGATTGGGAGCCACTGGGTGATAAATTTCATTTATACAAAGGAATTGCAGCTAGTTTTCCTGATGTCCTGGCCAATCATAAGGGTGCAGTGCAAAAGAAAAGAGAGTGTGAAAGACTGACTGCTGAAAACAAAATGGAGGTTGCACAATTAAATGAAGTCTTGAGAAGGACCGATGTTATATCATATGCGCTTCTTGCCGAAATCAACCATTTCAAATCAGAACGGACTGTTGATATAAAAGCCACCATGCAAAAATTCTTGAAGCAACAAATCAACTTTTACAAGAAAATAGTAGATAAGTTGGAAACCACGCTAAGATACTATGATGATTAGATTTCACTTAGCAATTGATATTGAATCTAATATAAATTGTATCAAGAAGTTTTGAATTGGAAAATTTATGAGTGTTCAGTATTTGATTATGAATATTTTGTAGAAGTAAATTTTCACCAAAAAACACAATATGTATCTTGGAATTTCTAGAAATTTGGAATTTGATTCTAATTTACTACATAAAACATAGCATACTTCGCAAGCTAAATAAATCTGAACATTATTATAAATGAATTTATGATGTGATGATATTTCGGACTGAACGTAAACTATATTATGATTATTCTGTTTTGATGTAGTTTTATTTTTACAAATCGAAAAATAACTTGTAAATATTTTATGAAGTCTAGTTTTTTTTTTGAACATGTGTCATTATATCTATCTATTTTTTTATTTACACTATATTTGTGGATCAATTCTTTTGAAATGTCTTGTTGTATATTTATAATAATCGTTGTACTATATTCCACTTTTGTAAGGTAGTTTAGGGATTGCTAATAAAATAATTTAATTCGTTACGTTCGGTTTTACTTGGCCTTGGCCGATCAACCTTCCCACATAACTAGTAGTAACTATTTTTTATCAAACGTAAGTATAACAATACCTTATCGCGATGACGTAAGCTTTATACAGCTTGTTTCAAAGAGGCTTCCGTCTTTTCAGGCTCAGAAGTTAAAATGTTATTCTCGAGGTGAGAACGAAACCGCGACTATGGCAGAAGAAAAGAAAAAAGATGGCACAGCGTTGTTGGCGAAAAAGAAAAAAGTGAAGCCTCGTAAGTCTCGCGACGCGGACTGTTGCAGCGTGAATTTCCTGAAATGCGTTCTTCATATATTCAACGTGGTGTTTCTGGTGAGCAACATTGTTCATGTAATTAATTTAACCTCGTGAAGGTCGCATGACGCGTCTGTAACGTGCTCACAACTGGCCCGTGCTACATAATGCGATCTAAAACATTTTTACTATAATTATTTTAAGTCTCATTTATTCATGCAAGTAAAATGTTCCTTATGTAATGCTATTTAAGACAGAACCTCATTTTTTGTATCTACGAATGTCTTGCATACCAATATGCGGTAAATCCCATCCCTCTGAAACAGAATATCGAAGTTTCAACCTTATTATATTGATTAATTAATACCGGCAACATATGACGATTATCCGACGCCAAATTAAGATTCCCTGTTTTATGGTTCCCAGACTGATATACACACTTATAAACGCTTAAGTATACACATTATTTAGACAATAAACACCCAGACAGAGCGTAAACAAACCTGTTGGTCACACGAATGTTGGCTTGATGTATCGAACCCACGACCCTCGGCGCAAAAGTCAAGGGCGCTAACTTGTGTGCCACGGAGTCAATACATACAGCACAAATGTATAGTAATAGCACCGAGCCAATCTATACAGTAGAACTATAGGTATAGTAATAGTTGTACCCACCTTCCAAACTGGATCGCTTTTGCTTAGAATGAAATCGTTCCTGATTGAATCGCATGAATATCAAGTGACCAAAACGAGCGCTCCGAACAACGCCATAAAATGCGCAAAACATTTCTACTATACCACCAACGTTTACGCAAAAAAAATGCTCCATCTAACCACAGAACGTAACTTAAATGTTTTAGTTTCCTAATTAATTTTAAATATTACTTTGGTATTTATTTAATACAATCACAATCTGTTTTTGCTAAAAATATTTAAACAGTTGGAACGCGGTATCCATAATAGGAACCTAAAATTCAATAAAATCATTTTTTATTTTTTTTATTGCTTCGATGGTTGGACGATAGGAACGGTAGGCAGCAGGTTAGCACTGCCCCTGGAATTGGTGACGTCTATGGGCGACGGTAACCACTCACCATCAAGTGGGCCGTATGGTTGCCAGGTCAAGGGCAATAAAAAAAAAGCTTGCGGCTCACCTGGTGTTCAGTGGTTAGCAGAACCCATAAACATCTACAACATAAATGCCGCCACCCACCTTGAGACATGTACAGTACAGTGGTTGTCCTACCCTGCAAACCGAAACGCTGCTTCATGGCAGAAATAGACAGGGTGGTGGTACCAACAGCACGAGGCGTCTTATCACCCATAATTTGCGGGTTTGATTTTTATTATACGATGTTCCTTCACCGTGGAAAGAATTCGTGAATATATGTTAATTACGTATTTCATTAGAAAAATTGGTAAACACGATGGTGATACCCGAACGGGCATTCAATACACTTTATCACTATAGTAGTAAATCGCAGTACGCTGGTATCATAGTCAGACAATGATGGTATCCATTCTCCAATCCCAAATCAAAAGTTAACAAAATTACAGGTACCGACTGCATGCAGGTGTCAAACGAGCTGTTCGTTTTTTTGATTCTATAAAAATATTAAATTATTACAATAATATTATGTAAATAGATACATTTAGGTTGCTGACATCTCGTTTAAAACTATCAAGAGTGTCAGCAAAAACCTCCAAAGAATACTTGCTGTGCCGATTATTTAGTTTCTCAATTAGTATTTTTGATAGCTGCATTCTTATTTAGGTTGTTGGTGTAGTATCTAGGATTCCTGAATACCCTCAATCCAGAAGTTTATGTCGACATCGATGACATTAAGGTTCAGAAGACGGGGGCATCGCCTATTCTCCATTGTCAAATTTATTATTATTATTATTTTTTCCCATGTAGCTATTCGCTGGTAACCTAAGAGGCTATCCCAGCTACGCCCGGATGGGTAGATGAGCTCACGGGCTTAACGTGAGAGAATTTGTTAACGGTAGTCCTAGCAAGAGTACTGCTTCGCAGAATCTACCATCGCATCGGAATCGCGACCTACTGAGAAGATCCGGCGATAAACTCAGTGGACTGTTTTTATTAGTTTGCAGGAGCCGGTGTACTAGGCGTCGGCGTGTGGAACGTCACATACCGGCATCATTACGTGTCGTTGCTGCCGACGATCACGTATCCGGCAATTGGATATTTGCTGGTCATAGCGGGGTCATTCGGCCTGCCGTTTGCAGCGCTCGGTTGCTGCGGGCTGAAGACCGAGAACCGAACGAGCCTGCTCTGTGTAAGTTATTTTGTTTAGGAATTAAATGAGGAGGACTTAAAACCGGGCCCAGTGGCGCATATCCGAAAAAGCTTAAGTCCAACAGTGGACAGCTTTCTAGTGGTAGGGCCTCTTAGGAGCCCGCGTGGATAAGTACCACCGCCCTGCCTAATTCTGCCGTGAAGCTGCGTTTCAGTTTGAAGGGTAGATTATAAAATTAAGACCTATGCCTCAAGGTGGGTCTGGGTGGCAATATTTACATTATTGATATCAATGGGCTCATATAACTTAACGCTAAGAAAACCGTGAGCTCGTACTAACATCTAATCAATAAAAATGTGTGCTTATGATTTAGTGGCAGACACTATAGACCTTTTTAGTTTCATTTTTGTGAATTATAACAATACGGAACAATATCGCTACGATAGACGCCGGCTTGGCTGTGTAGATACTCGTGTCAGATGGTAATCACTTACCATAAAGTGTACCATAAGTTCGTCTGCTTTCAGTGACAATAAAATCTTGACCATTCAAATATCGCCTTCCATGTATGTACATATATGGTGTAAAATGGCTTAAAACATTCTCCAAATGAATAGTCGTACTACGATTCTGAAACTTAATAATTATAATATTACGATAATATAAAATAATTCCGTAAAAACATTAATCGTACACCGTGGGTTTAATCGTGGGTTTTTTTAAATCTATTTTTGTAACATTTATGGTATTTTCCTTTTCAGTACACATATTTCCTGCTGATTACGTTCATACTAGAAGCCGGTGCTGGCGGCCTAGCGTACTATTACGAAGAGGCTATAGAAGAAGAACTTCGCGCCGGCTTGAATAGCACGTTCACTACGAACTACGCGCTCGATACAGCTGTCACTGACGCTGTTGACAGTATGCAGACCGAGGTAATGACGTCACTAACAACATTATCACATCTCAGTGTATTCTTAATGGTTGGCAAACAGCAAGAGGTGGCCAAGCGGGAGATCGCAATCGACCGGTCGAGCGTGGCTATTAGTTCAGCCGATCGTGGCAAGACAAAAATATAAATACATAGAACAGACTGCCAGTAATCAACAAAATAAAGAGCGGACGATTAGCGTGGTATGGACATGTGATGCGCAGAGAGAAGATGCATGTGACTAGGAGGAGAGAGGACTAGGAACCGAAGTCTGTGACAGCTGTTACTATTCGAAATATAAAATGAAAATTAAAGTATATAGACACTAGGTGGCAGCACTTAACTAAATTCATTGTAATTGAGTGTTCTTGATGTGTAGGTAATTGAAGAGAATAAATAAGTTTGTACTACTTTAAATGAACAACTTGCGTCGCTCGGTGGAGCAGGAGCTAGGTGTCTTGGGCATGACGTGGAGGAGCTAGAACAGACTGCCCAAGACTAATGTAAATGGAAAAAAAAATATTCGAGCCCTACACCCCAGCAGAGGGTGAATGGAAAGAATGATGACTTTAAATCAGGGGTTCCCAAACCTATTTTGTCTATTGCCCAATTTGAGAATAAATTCTTTTTTAGCGCCCCATTTTTTCACCTACTTAAAAACCACTATAGCGAGAGCTCAGTCGGTGTCTAAGAGTCCTCCTAGATGAAATTACTAATCGCCTCCCAAGTTTCTACACAACACCCTCATTTTTTTTCAGGGTTTCTTACCGCCCCCCTTTAGGCTTGCGGCGCCCACAAGTGGGCGATATGGGCGTTATCGCCCACTTTGGGAAAGGCTGCTTTAAATGAATTGTTTGTCAACCAGAAACCGATAACCCAATAGTTACACTGTGCAACTGAGATAAGGAAAATAACATTAGGCATTGAATCTGTTGTATTTCCAGTTCAAATGCTGCGGCGCAATACGATACGAAGACTGGAGGAAGAGTCGGTGGCACGAGCACGACCCGCGGCTGCTGGTGCCGGACTCGTGCTGCAAGACCCGCACCCAGCGCTGCGGGACCAGGGATCATCCCTCCAATATTTATTATACGGTAATATATATTTTTTAAGGGATCTTATGACCTGGTAACTAAGACCTTTAAGTCATGTCTTATTTTTATAAAAACTGATAATATGAAGAGAAATGAAATGAGATGAGATGATATGGGATGAAATATAATCTCAGTAAAATGGTGGTCATTTATTGAGACTTTTTCAGTGGGAGGATCCCGAGAAGTTACGTTCAGCGGCTTTGTTTGATTTTCCCACATTTGTGCACTTTCACAGATATTAAACAGTTAATAAACCACCGATATTACATATTTAAACCTGAAGAAATACTAAATAAACAAAATAAATCAAATCACACAACATCACTCCTCGCGTTCCCGCCAAAATGTCCTATACGGTAATAACAGTCATGCTAAAGATAGACAATAATGGAAGATTGTAGAGGAGCCCTATGCCAATAGGCATACTGAACTGAGATACATTCTGTAAAATACACAAAAAATAAATCAACAGTCCTAACAGTTCAGCATAAAGGGCTCATTGATTGATTGATTGACTAATAGTCATATTTAATTAATTTAAATCGGAATCTGATATAGTCGACTTTTAACTAATTTTTCGTATTGGTTTCATATTAGTATTTTTTAGTATTTAGCTTTCTTTTTTTTACGTAATGAAATTATACTTCAAAGAGATCAAAGAGTTAAGGTATCTTATCATATTCAATGGGAATTTTAAAAGTTTTTATTTCCATTTTACATTTTCTTGTGTACTGGTGGCGTTGTACGCACGGGTAGGTACTTGGCATCATCATGCTATTCGTTATAAGGGATACGACAGATATTATAAGAAACAAAATAATTGATACATCAACCTTATGTCTCAGGTAGATGGGCGGCATTCGCGTTGTGATAATATTGTGTGTGCAGATAAAAAAATACGATTATCACAAATAGGAAATGAAAAATGATATGTACAGTGGTGGTCATATAATAAATTAAGAAAGCTTTTAAAGCTAAACTATTAATTTTAGTTTAAAATTTATTAGTTTGCTTTTTTTCTTAGCGCACGTCACATTAATGTGATTTATTTAATCTAGTTTTATATAAAACAACTCTAGACCAGTTTAATAAATCATTCTTAATTATTTGTCCAGCTTTATTATGTAATGTTTGACTTTTTTACTATAGAGAATTAAGAAAATATGCCAAAAAAAAATGTTAAGAGATTTTATTCTATATTCCTAATCCAGTCTGTTCTATTCGTGTGATTATTTCATAACATGACTACTTACTTCTAAGATGGAACAAATATCTACAGAAGAGATGATTTAGATTTTTAAAAATCTGGCATTTTAAACCATTCTTAATTACATGACCATGACTATGTTGACTAAAAAATAAAAATATATGGTCCGACGACAATGAAAAACTATTGTCTTGTCATCAGTTTCATCTAATTTAGTAAAATAATTCGAACATCATGAAATCGCTGGAAATGTCGTTCAGATACCGTTACAAGCACAGATAATACATACCAGGCTTAAAAAAGCGTGTTTTTTTTTAATTATTGCTTAGATGGGTGAACGGGCTCACAGCCTACCTGATTGTTAAGTGGTTACTAGAGCCCATAGACATCTACAACGTAAATGCGCCACGCACCTTGAGATATAAGTTCTAAGGTCTCAGTATAGTTACAACGGCTGTCCCACCCTTCAAACCAAAACGCATTACTGCTTCACGGCAAAAATAGACAGGGTGATGGTACCTACCCGTGCGGACTCACAAGAGGTCCTACCACTAGTAAAATGAATCCGATTTTCATCAGTTGATAATCAGTTTTCATCGATTCACTTGATCTAATGATGAATCTCTCATTTCAGGGCTGCATTCACCACTTCACGAATCACATACGAGACCAGCTAATAATATTAGCGGCCGTCGGAGTCGGGATGTCGGTTATACCCATATTCGGGTTTTTGTTTTCGTGCGTTCTTTACGTGAAAATAAAGCACGTGATCGACTGACCTCGGCCTAAGGGCTCGTCCGCGAGTCGCAAGGTGTTCGATAAGGGCGCGTCCACACCGGACCCGTCGAAGCCGGCGCGGCGCACGTCGCAGCGCGCCAGCCGCAGCGTCCGGCGTGCGCCCTGCCCCTTACACCCGAACGACGCGCCGCCCATAGCCACCATCAGCGACAACCTTAGCGTTTAATCTTCGCACTCTTTTCATGAACATTTTTTTTTTTAAATATTAATAAATATTTACCAACAATCACGCCACGTTAACTGGTCCCGTGCCAAGTTCGTAAAGAGCTTGTGTTACAGGTACCAGATAACGGAAATAAAAATGTAAGATTTTTATTATACACATACATGTATTTTAATATACGTCCATAACCCTGGAAAAGACATTTTATATTTATCATACAAATATCTTTCCTTGGCGGGATTCGAACCCGCGACCCCCTTGTGAAATGACCATGTCACTTACCACTACACCAGACGGCCGACGAATGTCAAACGTATATTGCTGAACATTGTTTTGGTTTTCTTCTAAAAAAGCCCTTAATATCCTAAAATAGTGCAATACCTCGCGTGATAACGTGAATAATAACTATACTTGAGAGCTTAGAACTTATATCTCAAGGTGGGTGGCGCACTTACGTTGTAGATGTCTATGGGCTCCAGTAACCACTTAACACCAGTTGGGCTGTGAGCTCGTCCATCAATCTTAAGTAATAAAATAAAATACAACACTGCAACTTGGCGATTGTACTTAAGTTTCATTATTAGTGAATTGCCGCTCCGTTGCTTAGTTTTCGCTAAAATGTCTTAATTTTGACCAAAGCAACTATGAAAAGTTTTTCGACTGGATCGGTGACAGTTTATTAACCAAAACAATTAAATTCGTTATATAATTACTCCACGGTCTCCTTAAAACACATGTCTCAAAAATTATATTTGATTTGCGTATTGTTTTAAATGTATTATTAGATAGAATACCTTTCGGCCAGACTGCCGCCACTCATTAAGTAGGCTCATCTACGCGACTACAGCTTTTTAGCGCCTATACGAAATTCGTATAAACGCACAATGTCAAGCAAAATCGACTAGAGGAAGCCCCTCGCATCACAAATAACCCGGCGTTTCGCGTGTCAGGTAATTTTCAATGGCTAACCTCGTGCAATTCAAAATTCGCCAATAAAATATTACTTACCTACAGTTTTTGTTTATTGCTTTCTATACCGTGAATTAACACAACCACCAGTCTTCATTTTGGGGAAAAATTACAAATAATCTATGCATACTAAGTAATAATTAGCCTTGAAATTAGCGAATATTTGCATCATAATCTGTATCTGCTACCGCGTGACGTCACGCATTTATAATTTTTTTTTAATGGCCTAACGGAATGCCGTTGACCTCGGTGTGAATAAATAAAAATATTATACAATGTTCGTTTTAGTTTAGCTTTTCTTTGTTACATATTCACTAATTAAACTTATTATTTATTTTCGTTGAAAATCGTGATTTTATTAAATTTTAAAGCACCTTAAAATATAATATGTTCACTTTTCAAAATTATAGACTGTAATTTTAGGTATATGAAATTAATTGAATTGAATGTTTGTAAACATTGAAATACCGAATTTATATCGTGTATTTAAATCGTAATTTGTATATTTTAGACTGCACTAGGAACGCTCTATGTAAATATTTAACGATAAAGATTAAAATTAGGCATATTTCGTCGAAAGCTGTGAACCAATATTCAGTTAAACATTTTTTTAAAACAAAGTCCATTAAGTCTATGTTTTATGTTGCATAGATGGGTGAACGACCTCACAGCTCAACTCGTGTAAAATTTTTAACGGAGCCCATACCTATCACAGCATAAAGGTCCTTGTAAATTCCCGCATTTGACTGAAAGGTTCACAGAAGGTTAACGCTTAATAAAAAAAATTAAATCTAACGCCGGCATTCCTAGCAGCATACCGTAATAAAAAGCATTTGAAAAGAATTGAAACTCAATCGGATTTTAAACCCGACTGATAGTTCCTACTGACTTAACAAAACGTTTGCTGCAGTAAAAAATAAAGAAAGCTAAAGCCAAAAGACATAATGTGCCTAATTATTTTCATGCAGTCAATATAATCTACAAATGTTAAAGTACATTTTTGTATTGTTTGTGAAATGGTGCTAAGATTAATTTATTGTAGCTATCATCGTTCAGCAATCATCGAAATTTATTAATAAATATTTTAGTAAGCATAATATTATTATGTGTAAGCATTTGTGTAATGCAAACGGCAAAGATTTTCAAATGTTAGTCGATAATCGACCTTATACAAAGAAAAATTATGCTCAAATCATTATGAGCTTATTTGTGAACAGATATTAAGAAATGAAGACTTAGTAAATAATATTCCATAACAATTCGAAGTAGATACATTATCTTCCCAGGCTTAACCTCTAAAAGCAAACCTAAATTAATGTAAACACACCTACTTTGCATGGTACCAAAAAATCGGTTTTAGATATTTTATTGAATGACATGCTTCGTCACTAGTTAGTAAAATAAAGTAAAATCTTCGAAATGCGTTCTTTAAGAATTTTTTTTTTTCACAGTTTAGAATTAAGTCGAAAATGTACGTGTACAAAGGTGCACGCACTGGCCTGTATTTCTGATATTAAAATTGAGGGTTTATTAAACCTTTGATTGCCATGTGGGTCACAGGTGCCCTACGCGGTGCCGCAATATCAGGTAGACTCTGGGTCAGACGTATCCGAAGACTGAGATGAATATATTTCTAGGAGACCTAAAAGACTAAAACATACATTAAAAACAAAAGACGGCAAAGTTAGGCAATCCAGGCGCTTAGTAACAAAAATGGATATAATTACTTCAATGGGCTACGTAGGACACTGGGGACCTACATGGGTCAAAGGGTTAATTATTGTTCGCATTGTTCGTTACACTCTGAAAAAAGATGATACAAAATACTAAATTAGATCAGTAGTTAATTTTTTTCGATAAATGTACTTATGGCCAACGAAAAAATACATAGATGAAATAAAAAGCTATTGAATACAAATAAAGTTACATTGAGTAAAACTAACACGTTCTATATTGGTTGATTATACTTTTAATGTTATCCGAAATACGTGAAGAATCTCGTTAAAAACACATACCTTATAATAGATCTTATTTACTTGTAAAATAAAATAGTATAATTGTTATTAACATAAAAATCTGTGTAACCAAATAATTTTACGATTAAATATGTGCCTTACTATGTATAAGATGTTAGATGTTCACTAGGTAACTGGTTTAGATATGTGTGCAGTAATGTAAAAATAGAAAATCTTATGTTTCCGACTAATGACGCATGCCTCAATGTATTTTGTGTTTAAAAAGGGGGGAATTTAATGGTTTTAATATTTCTGCCGCAAAGCTGCAATGCAAGCCGGTTTGAAACATGGAACAACCTTTACATAATACGTTACGTTTAAAAATTTCCGAGTAATGACGCATGCCTCAATGTATTTTGTGTTTAAAAAAGGGGGAATTTAATCTTTTTGATATTTCTGGCGCGAAGCTGCAATGCAAGCCGGTTTGAAACATGGGATAGCCTTTAAACGTTTAGATGAGGATTATGTTTCGAGGTCGATCTATGACGATTGACGGCAGTCACGATGTGTATCTATGGGCACCCGTAACCGCTAAATTACTATTTGGTTAAAGGAATACATTTTTTGGTGTAGTTCGTTTCGCGACCTTTGAAAATATATATATATTTACTGAAGTAACAAAAACCCATGCCGTAAATTAATATACGGCTTTGAGAGATCTTTCTAAATTTATGAATATCAGCCCGTGATATTGAGTAGTACTTATTCGTTTTGAATGGAAAAGCATATATTTAAATGATGTTATGTCAATAAAAATAAATTATTTGGAAACAAAATCAACCTATTATTAAATTTAAAGTTGACCTCAAATCAGAAATCTCCAAACGCTTGAAGAATGCTAAGGTTGGCTGGTACTTTGCACAGAGAGTGAGTCTGGCTGTCGACGGCTGGCAACGAACTCACGCAGCCAGTATCTTGGGAACTGTGCCTTCTTCAAGCGATTGGAAGATTTGCTCTACTGTATGAATTGATTTATGTTAAATTATTTTGATTTGTCAATTAATAATAAAGATTAATATATACCTCAAAAAACATACCAGAAAAGCTTATAAATACCAACTTTTATTTCTTTCAAGCTACACGCACATATTGTGGTGAATAGTCAAAATCAAAAATAATATATAAGGAAGAAAACACCAAAGTTAATACTACAGCAAAATAAATCACCGTTTGTATGTTAAACTATAAATGTTCTTGTTATATAATACAAACTAACTAAATGTGTGTTGTTTTATTTAACTAATTAATAGCTAACTGATTGATTAGGTACTTAATCGATTGGTAATCACTGACAATTCATTTGATTAATTTTCATTATTACATTCCAACTAATTCACTTTTTTATTGACATTTTATTCTCGTAAAGGCGGGAAAAATCCACTATTTTAAAATGGATAACACTCGTCAGTACCGTTTAAATAAATAAAAATCGGCGGAAAAATAGATGAGAAAATGCGCATTGATCGGTTTTTTTACAAAAAAGAAATCTAAGTCTTTCGGAAAGATTTTATGTAACAAACAAGTTTCGTTCGGGCTTACTTAAAATAATTCAAAAGTATTTAGTGTGCACAAAGGAAATAATGTTGATATTCTTAAATGCATTTTCTTTACGAAGTTCATAAATTGTTCAGCAGAATCTTGAACCGGAGAACCTATTATGCCTGATACCTTATCACTCAATCACGATCTAAAGAACAGAACCATATTATTAATAAAATATTGTAGCTAGAAATAGCTACACTGTTTTTTGTCTTTGAATCCGAGGAATCCATAGTCGTTAAACTAGTAATCCAAACCACTTCACATCACGTGTATACTGGCTTTTCGACAATGTAGGTAGTACATAACAATAGCGACAATATCTATAGTAAGATAATTTGCTGATCGCAAAAATGGACCGCAAAAGTTCAAGGGAAATCCTCTTTTTACTCTGAACGAATTATAGACGAACGTGACGTTACAAAAGGAAAAATACTCCGGACAGGCTTGCATTTAGAACTGTCAATCAATTTTAAAAATAAAACAATCTTATGTTTCACAATCTCTGTTGATACTAGAGTTAATGTGTATGCAATCTATGTATGTATATATCTATGTATATCTAAGCTAATCTTCAGCTACCATCATTGACATAGCATAGTTATTTAAAAGGACTATGCAGTATATGAGAACTACTCAATTGCTAGCATAACCTGTGACAAACTAAAGTAGCATAATATTGACCATGTTGAAAATGGCTGTATTTTTCATATCATGTTCCATTGACCTCCAGTTAAGACAAAAGAATTATTTACAATGCGAACACATTAACTCAAACGGTACTAATACTGTTAATATGCTAATAACTGCTGGTTCTATAATTCTTTTTGGCCAAGATACCGAATCAATAGGTACCCAACATTTAAGATTTACTACCTCACTACGGTATTTCTTACGGTATTTCACCTATATCCTAGTTATAAGTGCAGATCTTGGTAATAAACGCAATGACCTCGTATTTATCAAGGTTTCAATAGGTCGCCGGACACGTCGAATCAACTGGCTAATTCTGCTCGCGAACTTGCGTCCGATACACATAACTATACCATCGAGGAAAATGTTAATCACACATACTGCGATATAGTACTATACATCACGACCAACATCCGGGACGACACAGCCATACTTATTACAAACTCTAATCGTGTTTACTCTATAAATAATTTATTATTACGAGGTCAAAACTTAAAATCGACGTAATTTTTTAACAAGAGGTCTCGATACTCAACATTGTTTTTTTTTAAATTAAATCTTCTAAAATATAGCTTTAGTGCCTTCCGAATCAACTTACCGAGTGGCTAATAAATGACAGAACAAACATTGAATACGTATTATAAGCATACACTTATTAAATTAAATAAGTAAAAACGTATTTTGTAGTTTGTAGCTGCGTCCAAACAGGTTTTTTTATGATAATATCAGATAAAACGTGAAGATGAGCGAGCCAGTCGGACATTAGAATACATCGCACTAAGTCCTCTCGACAAGGCCAAGTGCACGCATTATAAAATAATAACCATGAGAAAAAAAATCGTAATCTTTGTTCTATTAGTAGTCAGTGAATGCAATGGTGGGCTAATTACCGGTATCCTCAGCGGGGCTCACGATGTGCACAAACAAGTGCAGGGTGCCGTTCTCGGGGGACTATCACAAGCTTTTAACTTCAACGTACATGGACAGTTTGGCGTGAATCAACAGAGACCACCACCAAACCATGAACAGATACCGAGCGAACCTAATCAAGAACCACCAAATTATGGGGAGCAAGATAGATTCCCACCCAGCCACAACGGATACAGACCTCCGAACGGACAAAACGGATACGAACGCCCACATCGTCCTCACAATCATCGTCCGCATAATCATCATCATAATAATCAAAACGATAATCCCAACTACGAAGGACCACATAATTTTGGCAACAAGTATCCTAAGCCAATTTATGGAAACCAGAACCCTAATGGACAAAATAACCACATGAATCACAATCACGGCCCTGAAGACAACTTAAACGGACAGCCTGAATATGGTAATCAAAATAATTTGAACCGGCCAGGATACGGAGGACAAAACAACCATAATGAAAACCAAAACAACTACGGAAGACCCCAACCTGAATTCGGAAACAATAATCATCGACCGACAACACCGAATCATCAACAAAATTATCGTCCTCCTTTTAATAACAACAATCAAAATTTCAACAACGATCCATATCAACAGGACAATGGTAACGATGACAATAATAACGGACAACAAAACCACATTAACTTTAAGCCAACCACAGAAAATCCTAAGCAACCAGATAAGACTCCAAACTACGAGCAGAACGGAAATCAAAATTCCAATATCGACAAAACAACAAAGAATCCCGATCAACCGTTATTTATTCCTTTGAATCCTAATGAATATACATATGGAGGTGACAAAATCGAAGTAACAGCGCCTAAAAGAGACACAAACGACAAGCCAAAACCTGCTGATGAAGACGACGAATACGCCATAGACATAAGGTTCAAAGACCAATAAAACCATTTAATTTTTTGGTATGTAATACTTACTTAAAATATTATTAGTGTAAATAAATTAATTTTCATTTTAACCATTTGTTTTTTGGTTAACAGCGAATATTCACCACCACAAAACCACAAATTTTCAAGGGGATCGTGAACCTGACATAGACTTGATAAAATTTCGTAAATTAACTCAACAAAACAAAGTTGTTTTCTACAATGAATTACTATTTGTTATATGTATTTCGTATTATTTTTACGCATATATGGGCTTCATAATTATGAGTAGATAATGCTTATTATAAACATTATGATGAGATCATGGTAAAATTAATACTGTTATGTTGTTACCTATCATTACCTTTAAGGAAAAAACCATCTAAACAACACGCAAATCAGAATTTTGCTAATACTTAACACGTAATATTATGGGTTAATTTTTATGTTTATTATTAGTACTGAGAATTCTGAGAACGACCTGCATCCTTTATCGACATCGGCCTTAAAACTTATAATCGAACTGATTGAACATAGTAAACTATTTTGTAAGACATCGTATCCACGATTCAGTTTTACTTTTTATATTAGTTCTGTTCTGCGGTCAGATAATGTCCTTGTCTGAAAGCGTATTTAGACTTTAGTTTTTCCTTACAAACATTAAGACCGCTCGAAATGAGCAACATCCTATAGATGTCGTAAAAGTTTTATCGCAATCTCCAACGGCTACTTCTCTGTATCCGGCTAGGCGTGTAGGAATCAGAATGTTCATAGTTCTTTCGAGGGGTAAGCTTTCTCAGTGCCACGTGCTACACATCCTTGTCTAGGCCAAAACTAAGAGAGTGTTGAAGCGCGGCTTTCTGTCAAGCCAATTAGAGAACTTAAATGAGTCTTTCTTGAAACTCAGTCACTTGAAACTACTTAGAAGGAGAGTAAGTTGAAAAACTTCAGTCTCCCCTCGATGGCCTCGACCTGGGGATCCTAGCCCGACAGTGGTGAGCAGACATAGAGCCGTTTGCGAATCGTTGACGTTCAACATCTTACGCGTGACGTTGTCTAATAAGGTTTTAAAGACTCTGCCCTTGGTATTGCTGACGTCCATGAGCGACGGTAACCACTCACCATCAGGTGGGCAGTATACTCGTCTGCCTACAAGGGCAATAAAAAACAGAGTTCAAGGTGCTATCTCACTCAAACGGTGTCGCTTATCCTTTGCAACATCCTCGTTTCTGTCGCAATGTCGCAATTGTGGAAGTCAGCCGCCGAACAGCCGCCTTTGTGCTAGTTAATGGAAAATCCAGGGATTCGGGAACTGCAAGTAGTAAGTAATGAAAGTATTTTATGAACAGAACAAAAATATTCGAATGGCCATTTCCATTTGAGGTTATAAATTTAAGGATCGACAGTAAAAGGACCGTACGTGGCAAAAAAATATCTCTGGAAAAGTATTGTCGATGAACGCAGCCNAGCCGCCGAACAGCCGCCTTTGTGCTAGTTAATGGAAAATCCAGGGATTCGGGAACTGCAAGTAGTAAGTAATGAAAGTATTTTATGAACAGAACAAAAATATTCGAATGGCCATTTCCATTTGAGGTTATAAATTTAAGGATCGACAGTAAAAGGACCGTACGTGGCAAAAAAATATCTCTGGAAAAGTATTGTCGATAAACGCAGCCATTACAGATATTTAATAAGATGAACTCTGCTCCAACGGCGAGATGTGCATTGGTAAAAAGGCAATGAAGGAATCGTCTCAAACAATTCCTCAGAGTAGGTAAATAAATTTATACAAACACTAACAGATTATTATGAAAAGATTAAGATTTTATTTTAAGTTTATCGATCTCTGCATTGTTTCTATTAAAAAAAATATAAAACCAAATAAAATTGTTCATTGATCTTAAATACCTAGACTTCCGGTAAACGAAGAATTTGATGAGACAACTTTTCTTGCGAGTAATATAATTTAAATTCCAAAATATGGATAAATCCCACACCTTGGTAATTGAAGTCAGTGATAAGATTATTCAATATTATTAATACTATTCGTCCGTAGATTGGTCAACTTTTTAGCACAAACAAATTGTAAATTATGAGCGAATCCAACCTTGATAGTTTTAAGTCGAATGTCATGTCATAAAATATTTGACCGTCAATTGGAGGATAATATGATACAAAAAAAATGTCTTTAGACGAGGATCACTTTAGCGCGCCGCCGAGGAGTAACGTCATTGTCATAGATAATACACATAAGTCTTCGTGAAAAGACTACCGCGTCCCGACCCGGCAGGCTGGTTCTAACTAAGAGGTATCCCAGGACACCAGCGGCATCACCTGAGAGGCTTGACAGCGTGCCTTGCCGATACAGCTGACATACGGAGCCTTCGATTCGCCTCAAAGTCTCCGTCAACCAAACGTCCTTGAGGTGGCTTCGGAGGAGACCGGATGCTTGGACGAGAGTACAGAGTAGTCATTTTGTGGGTATGGCCCTAAATTCCATACCTTGGGCCCGCGGTCCACTACAAACATTTGTGGACCGTCCTGTCCCACAAACTCGGCGCAAGGCCTGGACACGGGGACCTCGTTTGAGGTTTGGCCCCCAAACCAAACAAAAAGGCAGATGAACATATATGCGGTCCATCTTATGGTGCATGGTCACTGGCGATAATGAACGCCAGCCTAGGATATAGTTATGCATGGACGCAGTTGCTCTAGGTGGTATGGTAGTATAAACTCAGCTCCATCGCGAGCGATGCGATGATGAAGACGAAGTAGCGTCATCATCTCAAAGAATTGATTCATTCACCATCCAACTATAGACTGAGTGGTTCCTAATGGTTTGTGAGAATGGCATTATCGACAATTTGTACCGCTTCTTTAAGGAGTCAAGTGGAAGTGGTTGGTTCTTTCGAGCCAAGTCAATTTTAAGTGTCATTTTTCCAGACTTCGTCGTGGCCTAACGGATAAGACGTCCGGTGTATTCGTGTTGAGCGATGCACCGGGTGTTCGAATCTCAGGCGGGTACCAATTTTTCTAATGAAATACGTACTCAACGATTGATTTCCACGGTTAAGGAATAACATCGTGTAATAAAAATCAAACCCGCAAAATTATAATTTGCGTAATTACTGGTGGTAGGACCTCTTGTGAGTCCGCGCAGGTGGGTACCACCACCCTGCCTATTTCTGCCGTGAAGCAGTACTGCGTTTCGGTTTGAAGGGTGGGGCAGCCGTTGTAACTTACTTGAGACCTTAGAACTTATATCTCAAGGTGGGTGGCGCATTTACGTTGTGGACGTCTATGGGCTCCAGTAACCACTTAACACCAGGTGGGCTGTGAGCTCGTCCACCCATCTAAGCAATAAAAATATATAAAAAAAAGACTTTCAGAGATATTAAACATTTTATATGTGATCATTATTTTATGAAGAAACGCTAAATTAACAACATAGCTCTACTATTCGCTTTTCCACCAGAAAATAATAGCTACAAGGACAAGTGTATTATCTATGACAAGGACCTTTTGGAAACTGAGTAAATGGTTGATGTTTGTGTTTTCAGGGTTATTGATTATTGAAATGTCCTTAAGTTTACGGAAACATTACTATGAATAAAATCGAGTTTTTTTAACAGACTTTTGACAAAATGGGTAATTAACAATAATGTCTTTGTAATAAATAAATTAAGCAATTATACTAGAGAAAAACTCAAATTTAGAAAACAGAAAGACGTTAAACTTTTAATATTTTTTTTCAAACGCTTTTTTTAGCTTCAGACGTAAGTATGTTAGTATGTATGTGTATAACGGAATCTTTGAACATGATTTTGAATTTGATTTTGAACGAAATTTGGTATACTTAATAAGGACCGATAACAATTCAATATTAAAAAAAATAGATATTTTTTTTTAAAAAGTTGGTATTCAACTAAAAAATGAAAAATAAATAATAGTTTCAAATAAACTAACAGAATACGATTTTATATAGAAAATCCAACTAAAAAATAGAAAATAATTTTTAATAAAATTAAATTTGAATTAAAAAATAGTGTAAGAAAAAATTGTTTTATTGTAAAAAAAGCGTGGGGTGCATGGTATCAGTAGTTATTAATATTTTATGAACAGATATGAGTATAAGGATTATTTTGATAATATCCTGAAAAGCACCCCACGCTTTTTTACAATAAAATCATTTTTCTTACATTATTTTTAATTCAAATTTATTAAAATTTATTTATCTGAACATACTTTCAAAATGAAATGTTGATCTAAATGTCCAACTTCTGTTCGATAATCTTCTAGCTTTCTGATGTGCAAGCAGTAGTGGCGCCATTAGCGCCAAAGAAATAATATATGACCCCCTAATGTATTTTTGACCAATTCTGGCATTTCGTTAGCCGGTTTTTCAAGTTCACTTCTGCTGTAGAAGCTCAGGTAATTTGTAGAAGATTAAGGTAATTTGTATGAAATTAAGCTCAATGATACAGTAATTACGGCAAATCTAGTGCCCCAATCCATTTAAAAATAGCATTGACGGAGGTTTGTTTTTACACTATTTATATTCGACACTAATTTTAATATTGTGACTCATACTCCTCTTAGTCATTTCATTTTTTCCTGAGCTTTTGTTAATCTAGGCTCATTTTGATTGGCAGTTAGCTAATTAAATTAAGTGTTAATTGTAAGCTACTTATACCTATCATCTACGAGCTAACCACTGATTCTACACTGCATACTATGAAGTATCTATGAAGCTAACTTAGAAACCCATTCGCGAACCGACTGCCCTTGAGTTGTTAGGTCTCCTCCGAAGGCGCACGGGCTGTTCTAAGCAGTGTCATCGTAACTGAGCCCGTGCTCGCCCTGCGCCCGTGCTCGCCTCGCGTGTCCTGGTCAAACTGAAAAGGCCTCCGAGCCACCAGTAACACTAACGTCCCAAAAAAAGTGTGACATTCACAATGACGGGCTTTATCCATGTTAATCATAAATATTAGAGGTTAAAGTATGAAATTCCCGTTCTATTGTAATAGGTAGGTACTTCGAATTGACATAAAACCTTCATTGCTCTGAGATTTTTTAGTGAAACTTTTTTCAAATGGTACCTTTGAAGTTCTGCTTTTAAAAAATGTGCAACATTCGATTATCGATGTTCAGTTGTTTTTTTTATTCAGCTTAGGCAAGAAACATGAATACTTCGAAAATTCGAGTGATTTTTAAATACGAGTTCCGACGCGGAACTAACGCTGCAGAAACAGCTCGCAATATCAATGTTGCGTTTGGAGAAGGGACTGCTAATGAACGCACCGTGCGACTTTCGTCATGGAAATTTGGATTTGAAGAACGAACCACGTGGAAGACCGCCCACACAGCTTTATTATTATTTACCTTAAGTATAATAGCTTTGTATGTTAATCTATAGGTATGGAGGGTGGAGGTAAGGAGAACCGTCTCTGTGTGTGAAAAAGTATTCGTTAAAATCTGCTAAATAAGGGTGGCGCTACAGTACTTAGCAACCGGGTAAATTTTAAAAAAGGCGCTGAAGGTTATTAGAATGAGATAGAGAAATAAAAAGGACGAAAGAACTGTAAGCACTACAAAATCACAAAAAATATTTTATTTAAAGCTGATAAGAAAATGCAGTCGATGTCTCTACGTTTTACTACAACAATAATTTTAGGTTATATTGACGAAAATAGTTTGGACTACGTAAACGTGTGAGGTATTGTTAATACACTGTCACTAACTACTCTAGTCATTAAATATATTAAATTTCCTAACTCAGTAAGTATACTTCAATCAAATAACAACTGATCAATTCATATCATTCCCTGTGCCTATGCTAGCGCTATTCGGGAGGATTTTTGAACTGTTATTTAGTGCTGAAAGTGGGACACTTTTTCAAGCTTCTCCCATATGAGATGGTTCTCCGTACCTCCCTCTACCCTCCATACTTTGAATTTGGAAGAAACACTTTTTTTGAAGAGATTTTAAGACCCGGTAACTAAGACCTTTAGGTCAAGTCTTATTTTAATTTTAATAAAAACTTTTTTTATATGAAAAATAATATTATGAGATGAAATGAAATTGATTAACATGAAACATGGCATGAAATGAAATGAAACTGAAATAAAATGAAAATGAAAACGAAATGAGAAGAAATGATGAGATGATATGGGATGAGAATTTTTCAATGGACTTTTTGGAGGATCCCGAGAAGTTACGTTCAGCGGCTTTGTTTCATTTTCGCATATTTTTGCACTTTCACAGATACTAAACAGATAATAAACCACCGTCATTAGACATTTAAACCTGAAGAAACACTAAATAGACAAAATAAAACAAATCACACAACTTCACTCTTCGCGTTCCCGCCAAAAAGTCCAGAAGAAACACTCCTTTGCGTTGTCACAGACTAGTTAAAGATATTAGATATTCTAAACTTTACATACTTTTTGAATTAGACAAACTTAAAAGAGTCGCAATTGAATCTTATAAATTAAGTTTTTCCTACACTTAATTATGACCAAAAAAAAAGTAAGCCGTCACAGGACACCTGGCAGATGTGAAACATCGAAAGTAATATGCAGAAAAGAACAGATTGTGATAGGAACTAAATATGTCATAATGATAAAATAAAATATTACGAAAAAATAATTTGTTTTCAAGTAAAAAACAGGTTATGTGTACTGTAGTAAACAGCACTGTATACACTACGGAGTATACACTATAGGTATCTGAGCTCAGTGTAGCGAGAGAGATGACTTAACGCTGGCTCGAGTGGGAGAGAATCGCACAGTCGATTGCGCATGGCGACGCGTCGCCACACCGTAGACACTACTGCATATATACTGTATATATATACCATCATATAGCGTGGCGACGCGTCGCCACGGCATCCGCCGCCACGCCAGAAATCGGTTTTACGTGCGGCTATAGATGTTTCACATCAAAAATCCATGACGAAGTTGAATTTATCTATGAAAACTACTTTATTACAATTAATTGTATTGTATACCTACTTAAAACTGGAAAGTACGACTGCTTTGCAGCGGAAATAAATACAATGTTGGATACATATCAATGCGAGCCTACAATACGCCTTACCTACCAATAAAAACATTCTGCTCCAACTTTTCACAAAACGACATAATATGCTGACACTAAAATAACATTCGACTAAAATACCTAGGAAAGAAAGATCCAGGCCATTAAATATTTCAAAAAAGTTACTCATAGTCCAATAGGAATAATCCACATTTCTCAACAGCCCATTCACTGTAACTTATCGGTAATATAGTAATTCATAGTATGAGTCTTTAACTCCAGGTAATCTGCACACATAGAATTTGGATTTTACACTCAGACACACAGTCACACAATAGTCTGTGGCTAATGCGAAAGAAAAGGAGTGCTTGTGCTTGTCGTTTCGCATTTCGCCGGCGCTCGTGCTATAAAGTTGACAAAATATTCGTTTTTTTATTCTTTATTGATACTAATGTGTTTAATTACGAATTTAAACGTTGTAACAACTGATTTAAAAAAGTTAACATATTTAATAAAACAATAAACGGACTCGCTTATTAAAAGACAATTACCACGTGTGGATATTCTCAAGAGAAGCAACTTTACCTGCTTTTCTAATTACTTTGCCAGTATTGGTAAATCAAATAAAATCTGATTTAGAGAAGAAATATATCACGTACGAAAAAAATGTCATTAAAGACGGAAGGCGACCTCCGAGATGGGTTATCTGCTGAGGATACCTTCGCTAACAGTGAAGGACTTACATATAACGATTTCTTACTGCTGCCTGGATATATAGATTTTACAGCAGAAGAAGTCGATTTGACATCTCCACTCACTAAGAAAATTCTGTTAAAAGCACCTCTAGTGTCTACTCCAATGGACACAGTGACAGAAGCTGACATGGCCATATCCATGGCNCTCCGAGATGGGTTATCTGCTGAGGATACCTTCGCTAACAGTGAAGGACTTACATATAACGATTTCTTACTGCTGCCTGGATATATAGATTTTACAGCAGAAGAAGTCGATTTGACATCTCCACTCACTAAGAAAATTCTGTTAAAAGCACCTCTAGTGTCTACTCCAATGGACACAGTGACAGAAGCTGACATGGCCATATCCATGGCGCTTTGCGGTGGAATTGGCATTATACACCACAACTGTACTCCAGAATACCAAGCTAACGAAGTTCACAAAGTGAAGAAGTATAAGCATGGATTTATTAGAGACCCCGTTTGCATGGGTCCTGAGAACACAGTCGCTGATGTCTTGGAAGCTAAGAAGAAGAACGGATTCACTGGCTATCCTATCACTCAGAATGGTAAACTTGGTGGACGTCTAATTGGCATTGTTACATCTCGTGACATTGATTTTAGAGAAGGGGACCCACACCTAAGTTTGAAAGAAGTAATGACTCCCATAAATGATATGATTACTGCACAATTGGGTGTCACTTTACAAGATGCTAATTACATATTAGAGAAGAGCAAAAAAGGAAAATTACCAATCATTAATAATGATGGTGAACTTGTTGCATTGATTGCTAGAACTGATTTAAAGAAAGCGAGAAGTTATCCAAATGCATCTAAAGATTCCAACAAGCAATTGTTAGTAGGGGCGGCAATTGGGACTCGTGATACAGACAGAGAACGGCTGAAGTTGCTTGTGAACAATGGTGTAGATGTGATTGTCCTCGATTCATCTCAGGGAAATTCAACCTACCAAATCAAGATGATAAAATACATAAAGGAAACTTATCCAGAAATACAGGTAGTTGGTGGTAATGTAGTGACAAGAATGCAAGCTAAAAATTTAATTGATGCAGGAGTTGATGCCTTGAGAGTCGGAATGGGTAGTGGCTCTATTTGTATCACACAAGAAGTGATGGCTTGTGGTTGTCCTCAAGCCACTGCAGTGTACCAAGTAGCTTCCTATGCTCGTCATTTTAATGTACCAGTCATTGCCGATGGTGGAATTCAGTCAGTTGGTCATATTATTAAATCATTGGCCCTTGGGGCATCGACTGTAATGATGGGATCACTCCTTGCGGGGACATCTGAGGCCCCTGGAGAATACTTCTTCTCTGATGGAGTTCGGCTCAAGAAATACAGAGGAATGGGAAGCTTAGAAGCTATGGAAAGTAAAGATGGTAAAGGATCTGCTATGAGTAGATACTTCCACAAAGAATCTGACAAACATAGAGTCGCTCAGGGAGTTAGTGGTAGTATTGTTGATAAAGGTTCAGTACTAAGATTCCTACCTTATTTGCAAGCTGGCATGCAACACAGTTGCCAAGATCTTGGAGCTCGATCTGTTAGTGTGTTGCGTGAAATGAGTCATTCTGGAGATCTGAGATTCATGAAAAGGACTTACTCAGCCCAACTGGAAGGCAATGTCCATGGTCTGTTCTCTTATGAGAAAAGATTATTTTAAGTGTCAAAAATATGTGATAAGATGAAATGAATACTGTTGAGCTCTAATAAAACAAATTGAAAGATTTTGTATGTAAAGATTTCGAAATTTTTAATGTATATCTGTTATATAATGAACATATTCCATGGTTTTTTGTATGTATTGTGTTTTACTTGATATAAATAATTACACACACTTTGTATATTTTATGCATTAAATATGTGGACAAAACATTATATTTTGTTTTCTTCCTACTTACCTGCTTAACTTGGAAACAAGGAATCCCATTAGTTGATTTTGATTTAGAAGGCTTCTTCTAATTGTATTACTCTAACTCAATAAACGAAAATAGTTCAGTACAAATTGGATGTTGTGTGTAAATGGTTCTGGTGAAAACATTGAACATTTGGGAGTATTTGTAACTAATTGGCTCTAGTAATTGACCTAGAAGAGTAGCACCCTATTTCTTGTCGTGGTTACAGTAAAAGGCGATTAAGGGATCCACTAGCAGGACTCCTGACTTTTACTTATGTGTTTTAGCCTCATCGGGTAGCTACCCTATTTCGGCTACCCAATTTGAAGAGTATAAGACAGCTGTTATGCAATTGAAACTTCAATCTCATATAGCAAGAGCGGGGACATTCTAGTTATGATATCTATGAGCTCTAGAAAACACACACACTTCCATCAAAGCAATAATAAAACCAGTCCGCTTTGTACAAACGTGGGCAGTTGATGAAACAATTATAACTCCACTGTAAATTATATTTTATAAAACCTGTTATAGTTAGTACAGATATGTAAATTTTATATGAAAAGGTATATTTGCGTCTGATCAACAAGGCTTATTCTTACCGAATCATAATTTAAGAGGTTTTTTTCTGTTGTTTTTTTTGTTCACGCTCGCGATCAGCCAAGAGGAAAAATAAAAAAGATTTATCTTCTAATAATAATCACAATTTATTACATAAATGCATAAGCTGCAAAGGCATGTTTATTCTCATTTGATTAATAAATATTCGTAGATGTGCTAAATATAACTTAAATAAACAAAAATTAATATGTGCTAGGTACTATCTATAATAATTATGACTGGTGCGTCCGATACTTTAGAAACACTAGAACTGCGTTCCGGCTAACTAACGAAGACACATTGCACATACATATCACTAATTTCAAATAATACTTTCGATTCATACGAACAGCGACAGAGTTAACCAAAACAAGAATCATTCCGAGAGAGCATCCACAATTGTCGCCGTTAAAAATAAATTTATACCTAAAGACAATTTCTCCGGTCATTGAATACATATATCGTGTCGGAGGATTTAAAAGGGATTTCGACAAAAAAAAAATACATAATTTAACATTGCTAAAGTCGATCTTGCTGACTCGCTCAAGACAACCAAGCCGTTAATCGCTAACGGGTGCAGATCATAACACACTGATATGTTCGAAAATTGTTACCATTTCAATTCTAAGAAATCGCATTCAGAATGAGAAATTATCAAACCGATTATTTGACGGACTTCGCTTATGAGCAACGTGATCCAACATGAGCCCCCCGACGAAGGAACATGATCTGCGACCCGATATCGACATCCCCACAAACTCGCACCAGTCGGAATGCACGAAGTCAAGCGACCAAAGCGTATATATCTTACCGAGATTATTATCATACTAGATTCGAGAACGTTCGAACGCGTTATAATCCTAGAAACGACGGGACAGTCTAAGCGAACATTTCTAAAACGCAATGGAATGCAAAAGGTGATTGTGACATGAACTCACAAGCGAACGGTAATTTGATAAGTTAATGCGGACCACCCGCATTCGTTTCCCGAATTATTGAGGTGTTGTTTACATATTATAGTCGCACGAGTCGAAGCGTCTCGACTTGATTACATAACGCTAGAATTATAAAACGTGCCTACTCCTTCGGTTCGGCTTCTTCGTCTTGTTCCCGTTGGAATTCGGGTCCGTGGGTGACGTCATCCTCGAACACTATCTCCTCGGGGTTGGGCGCCCGCGGCAGAAACTCCTCCCCCGGACAAATCTTCTTGAAGATTTGCTCAGCCTGCACGAATAAAACTTAGTAAGTACGATAATAGAATTTACAGTGTATCGAGTAAAACTTTTATAATACACTAGCTGACCCGGCCGACTTCGTAGCGCCTCAATCGATAAATAAAAGACCTAAACTTTTGTATAAAATAAACTTAAAACAAACAAAAGGAATCCGTCCGAGGGGGGGACAAATCAAAGGAAAAACAAAATTGTTATTTTTATTAAATTTCGAGCATTTTCATATTTATCTACCTTTTAAACCTTCTCTGGACTTCCGCAAATAATTCAAGACCAAAATTAGTCAAATCGGTCCAGCCGTTCTCGAGTTTTAGCGAGACTAACGAACAGCAATTCATTTTTATATATATAGATTACATACATTTCAAAACAAACTTATTATTACTAATTGAAACATCGGAATACACGTTAACCACTAAGCGCTTAACACCAAGTGCCGACAATTCAAATCATAAACATGTAACGACATTGTTGTTGTTGTAGTGCCAGGATACCCAACTGGTGGTAGGACCTCTTGTGAGTCCGCGCGGGTAGGTACCACCACCCTGCCTATTTCTGCCGTGAAGCAGTAATGCGTTTCGGTTTGAAGGGTGGGGCAGCCGTTGTAACTATACTGAGATCTTATAACTTATATCTCAAGGTGGGTGGCGCATTTACGTTGTAGATGTCCATGGGCTCCAGTAACCACTTTACACCAGGTGGGCTGCGAGCTCGTCCACCCATCTAAGCAATAAAAATAAAAAAAACCCAACTGGTACATAGGGACCCTCACAAGTTGTCTCCACTTGACCCTGTCTTGCGCTTGCTTCTTTACATCACTCCAGGTCATACCGGCATAACGACATTACAATACAATAATCATTGTATTAAAACAAAAAATGGGGAAACAGTAGTAGTATTATCGCGTGATATCTGGGGTCATATCTCGAACCTTTTACAAGCAAATTATTTTCGTTGAATAATTAATTTAATGAGAAATAAAACCATTACGTTATCGATAACGTATCTCGGATATTCAGTCTTTTTTTGACAAAGTAACAGACACTGACCGACATTAAATTTGAACATTACTTTATTAAAATCTCATAAACACAACCCACTGAGTTTCTTGCCGGATCTTCTCAGGGGGTCGCGATTTCGATACGGTGGTAGATTCTGCAAAGCACTGCCCTTACTAGGGCTAGTATTACCAAACTTTCTTAGGTTGAGCCCGTGAGCTCATCTACCCGTTTGTACGTACCTGAAATAACCCCTTAGTCTAACAGCGGATAAGAAAAAAATTATTCCAACAAAATAGTATTTATTTATTATAATATTTTATACGAAATTTAGTATTACGTAATAAGTAATTTAGTATAATATTTTAAACGTATCAAGTAACATTTGAAATACGTTTACGTTTATCTGTTATTTTTGTCTAAGACCCAACCACGGGTCGGCGGGTTATCGTGACGGTCATGTAAATTGAAGAACTTGATCAATGGTTCCATGGCCAATCGAATGAAATATCATGTTAATTAAATTACATACTCCCTTCACGTAAGAATGTGTAGTTTGTTAAATATTTTTTTATATAATACACTTAATTCTTAATGTGATTAAACTTAAATCGGCGCGCGAATCTTTTACGACTGACGTCAGATGATACCAGAATGCGAGTTGGTGTTCCAGTGTTGCACGCTATAAATACGTTATACGACAATGACACGGCACAACTCTTCGTAAACATCATATAAAGAACTCAATTCTAAAACCTTTTAGAAGTCGTCAAGCCAAGAAAATTTTAGAAATCGTCGTGGCCTAAGCGATAAGACGTCCGGTGCATTCGTATCGAGCGATGCATCGGTGTTCAAATGTCGCAGGCGGGTACCAATTTTTGTAATGAAATACGTATGTACTTAACAAATGTCACGATTGACTTCTACGGTGAAGGAATAACATCGTGTAATAAAAATCAAACCAACAAAATTATAATTTGCGTAATTACTGGTGGTAGGACGTCTTGTGAGTCCGCACGGGTAGGCCTATTCCTGCCGTGAAGTAGTAATGCGTTTCGGTTTGAAAGGCGGGACAGCCGTTGTACTGTTACAAGTGAGACCTTAGAACTCATGTCTCAAGGTGGGTGGCGGCATTTACGTTGTAGATGTCTATGGGCTCCGGTAACCACTCAAGACCAGATAGGCCGTGAGCTCTTCCACCCATCTAAGAAATAAATAAATAAAACCTTATGGTGCGTGGTGAGAAAAGCTTATGTATTGCGATCAAACTCACTCCACAATATTTCAACAATAGTTCAGTTCTTTCTTTCGTTCTAAGTTAAGAATCTATACTAATATATAAAAATCTACAGTGGTTTATACGGATGTTCCGTTATAACTACTGAACCATGCATCCGATTGACTTGAAACTTGGTATCCTTGTATACATGTACTTAATGGATAGGCTAATATTTATATGAGTGTTGAACTCCCTACACCAGTTGCAGGGGCGTTAATAATGAGTATCTTTGTGGGGGCGAGAAATAATAATGTTAATTTTAAATGCCCAGCGAAGCGGACGGGTACAGCTAGTATGTTCCTAAATGTTAATCGTTGTTAATGTTAAGCGCTAGTCGCTAGGCAAAACAAGATTTCGATGAAAATAAACCTATCGAACTGGTAATAAAATTAGATAATCAACGACCTCGAACTGACATAATCACTACTGTATCCGAAAACCAAGATTTACGTTTTATTTTTATAATTTTTAGGTATGCTCAGCTCGTTTGCATACTTAGCTTCTACTATTACTACTTCTTCAAGTGCTCAATGTCAATTTTCAACACGACCATTACGAACTAACCTCTGCCTATTTCTACCACCAATACAATAAGGGGTAATACGATGTAAAATCGTATACCCAAATATATCTCGTCAGAGAATTTGAAATCTTTCTAACATTATTTATTTATTTTCAATTACGATTGAAAATATACATAATTATAAATATATGACTATAACAGCGCATCTCCCACTTTTCTTATCACTACCTATTCGCTGGTAACCTAAGCGGCTATTCGGGTAGGTGAGCTCACGGGCTCAACCTGAGAGATTTTGCTGACACTAGCCCTAGCAAGAGCAGTGCTTCGCAGAGTTTACCACTGGATCGGGATCCGGCGAGAAACTCAGTGGGCTGTGTCTATGGGTTAATTAGACTAGAACGGTGACCGGTGCTTGAGAGTCCTAAAAGCACCGAGAGTGAGTCCGTGGGATCTAAGCAATTTCTAATTTTATTATCTAAGTTTCGGGCCACGGTGGCTTTGCGGTCGGACAAGATCACCCACTATTGACTTAAGTTACTAGAACACTTTAATAAGTCGTGTCTGTAGTGCAGGCACTTTTAATATTCGACATTATGTTCTCGTATCTCAAGATGCTATTCACGTTTTCGCATCGATGAACCACGATGCCATTCAATACGGATCACCCTTTTTTTTATTGCTTAGTTGAGTGGACGAGCTCAGAGCCCACCTGTTGTTAAGTGGTTACTGGAGCCCATAGACATCTACAACGTAAATGCACCACCCACCTTGAGACATGAGTTCTAAGGTCTCAGTATAGTTACAACGACTGCCCCGCTCTACAAACCGAAATGCATTGCTGCTTCACGGCAGAAATAGGCAGGGTGGTTGTACCTACCCGCGCGGACTCACAAGAGGTCCTACCACCAGTAAATCGTATAAAACTCGTACCCTTACATTCAGAAATTTAATTTGTGTATGTTATTTTTTACCGATTCCATAGTTTTAAACCGGTATAGAAATATTACATATTACCAAGTTAGGTAGATAGATATTTGAATGAACAAGATGTTTATCGCAACGAAAACAAAGCGACTTTATATTTGTTCAGCTTACGTCCAATGATACATCTGTACTTATGTATGTAAAGTAATATTATTAAGATATGCAGAGTCTTAAATAAATGTACTCTCGCGTGGAAATTTAAATACATTTTGAAGTGACGGAACGAAAAGAATGAGGAATTATTTTTAACGTAATCATTTATGGTCGTTTTAATAATGACTTATTACTAATCATCGTCACGATTGCGCAACATTCTGGACAAAGTTTCTTTTTATCAATTAATTATCATTAATGTTACCCATGTGTCATAAAAATTACATTAGTTCCATTCATTTTAAAACTTTTAAAGCTGAGCTTATTTTCTCAAATATTGCTAAATGATTTTTGAAAATATTACCTTACAAAATAGCTTAACATAGATACAAAAATCAAAGCTAAATTCACAGCAACATACTTTTAAATGGTTATTTATAAATGTTATTAACTTATTAAAAACGTTAATAGATGCGTGCGCTAAGACACGACCGTACGGATTGATACCAAATACCTATAATCTAACTACACAAATAGTCGTTATTCCGACGCTCCACACTTTATAAGCATTAATAGAGTCGATCCGTCGACGGTTAGCGCTCCAAGAGTTAAAGATATATGAAATTGTCCAAATTAATTTAGAAATCTTTCTTGGCCTTCAAAGCATACTCTGATTTCGTAACTTTCTGACCATTATTGACTATACAAATGTGAAAATACAATGAAATATCGCAAAGAATATAAAGACAATAAAACATGCGAGATTAAATCGTAAAGTTTTTTTTAATTGTGTCTACAATTCGCGAAAAGCGAAGGCTATGTACAGAAAACGACAAATTATCTTCATCCAATTAGGTACCTCTTTAGAATCCTATCTCCTTTAGATCCTAGATTTGTTCGTATTTACAATACAGTATGTAATTCACTTTTATTAAATGGAATTTCATCTTCGTGATTAATGAAAACCGTAAGAGCTAGTCGTTTCCTGTTGCCTTTGTAAGCTTTGTGGGTCGTATGGCTTAAGGGGGCGTCCATTAATTAGGTGAGGTGTTCTAATAACACTTTTTTTTTTCAACAAAAACGGTGTAAAATTGCGATAAAAATTATTTCTAGAATAGAATATGTTCTGGAGGGAGGAAGGGATCAAGCTTAAATCTTTCCAAATATAAGAATTTCTTAGCAAATATCACATTTTTTTTACTAAAAAACGGTGTAAAGTTGTGTGATAAATTATTTCTAGAATAAAAAAGTTCTACGGGAGGAAAGGATCAAGCTTAAATCTTTCCAAATCTAAGAATTTCTTAGCAAATTTAACTTTTTTTTAGCAAAAAACGGTGCCAAATTGCGTGATAAATTATTTCTAGAATAAAATATGTTCTAGGGGGAGGAAGGGATCAAGCTTAAATCTTTCCAAATCTAAGAATTTCTTAGCAAATTTAACTTTTTTTTAGCAAAAAACGGTGTAAAATTGCGTGAAAAATTATTTCTCGAACAAAATATGGTCAAATCTGACACAATAGTGTTTGTCGTATTCCTTCGAACCTCGCAGAGTAGGGCTCGATTGTTTAAGTGCTATCGACCAGCTGTATCGACACGTTTGACTCGACGAACTTCCCACTAGCGCAATGTCGTTATTTAATTTTATGATTTTGATTTTAAATTACGGTAATATTCATAAATACTAGTCTTTGCTAGTCTTCAATAAAAGTAATAGAGCCGGTAGTGGTTTTTTTTTCTTCTTCTTTCTGAATAATCCAACACGTTTACAACCATTACATTAATTTTGAAGACTATCGCGTGTAATTAGACGGAGTGAGATAACTGAGGAAAATCGTAATTATCGAAAAATGTTCTTTTGATTGCATTTTTATGTTTCCCGTAATTAATGAACGTCCTCTTATCTGCTGTTCTAATGGATGATCACTCAAGGACATCAACAATACCAATGGCACAGCCAAGCCGCTGTTTACCACCAATGACTCTCAAACCTCGTTTGAACAAATGGAGTTGGAACGTTTGCCTACGTTTGCCAGTAAGGGCACTGTTCCAACTGCATTCAAATTTGAGTTAACTTTTACGCTATCGAGAACGTTAAAAAACTCGCACTAAGCACAATGGAGGTGGTTGGGNTCACTCAAGGACATCAACAATACCAATGGCACAGCCAAGCCGCTGTTTACCACCAATGACTCTCAAACCTCGTTTGAACAAATGGAGTTGGAACGTTTGCCTACGTTTGCCAGTAAGGGCACTGTTCCAACTGCATTCAAATTTGAGTTAACTTTTACGCTATCGAGAACGTTAAAAAACTCGCACTAAGCACAATGGAGGTGGTTGTGTGATTATACGGACGCGGGATATGTCCAGGGCCGCGAGGAACGCGTATCATACCCGGAGACCGTGAATGGTGGTAACGCGCCACAGAACTACTCTCAGCATTGTAGACTAGTCAACAAGTGTCATTTGGACCAATTACAATTGGACAATATTTGGACCAATTTATAATTTTTGGAGACTGCTGAAAAAAGTTCAGCAGTCTCCAAAAATTATAAATGAGGTGTCATTCGATTCGGAATGACATCTAACTGATTTTTGAAAAAAAAAGCAGTTCAGCTTGCAAAAATTGTAAAAGTTATTAACAATTAACTAAAAACAAAAAGGGGTTTTAGTTTTTTGCAAATATCTCAAATAGTAATAAAGGTTTTTCAAATTTAAAAAATATTCAAAAAGAGAAGGAAATTTCTTAAAAAAATCGCGAAACTGTAAGATCAATATTTATAATTTTCCCAGACGGATGAAAATACGGCCGAAAACGGGTACTCTGGTCATTTATAATTTTCGGAGACTGCTGAAAAAAGTTGGTCCAAATGGCACTTGTTGACTAGTCTTTATTATTATTTTTGGCTTAGATGGGTGGACGAGCTCACAGCCCACCTGTTGTTAAGTGGTTACTGGAGCCCATAGACATCTACAACGCAGACGCGCCACCCATCTTGAGATACAAGTTCTAAAGTCTCAGTATAGTTACAACGGCTGCCCCACCCTTCAAACCGAAACGCATTACTGCTTCACGGCAGAAATAGGCAGGGTGGTGGTACCTACCCGCGCGGACTCACAAGAGGTCCTACCACCAGTAAAAACTATTGGGGCGGTTATAGTTAAAGTGAAGGGATACCTGTTCGACGGCTCTGTCGAAGTCCAGTCCGGCGTCGGGCCCGGAGCAGACGTGCACGTTGTCCACCACGCTCGACACCGGCGAGCTCGTGTCCTTCACGTTGTAGAACAGCGACCACAGGCACTGACCGACATCATAACACGTGTTACCATAAAGAACATACAATACCGTAGATTGAGAAGAATCGGGACCCTTTCCAAATCCAAAACAAATTTTCAATGGTTTTTCTTAGGATACTAATACCAATAAAATTGAGATTAAAACGGTTCCGGAGGCTTCAATTTTTATATACGATGTGTTATTATACATAGTTCATTACAAAATATACACAAAAACTTAAAAAAAACTAGCTTGACCCGATTCACCTTGGTTTTGGGGTGAATCAGGTTACGTATGGGGACAATAGTTTTTCGATAGGGCTGGCACTATTTAGTTGTTAGGTAGGTACCTAACATTAAGTAATTAACTTTTTAATATCTTTGATGAATTACAAAACTTTGATGACTAAATTAAACTATTTAATATTCTTAAACAACAAAAAAAAACATTTTCAGTTCAACAAAGTCAAATCTAACAACTCAACAAAAGTATCGTGACATCCCAGATTTATCCCTATTCTACCTCTAGCCCCTATTCCCCCAATATACTATATATTAATAATAGTAAAATCATATATCAAGGGTACGTGCTGTTGCGATACCATCTGTTTCATCTCTAGCTTTGCTTTCATCATCACTTTCCCGGAATAGCATCAGTACTCATGAACCTTTATTACAGAGCAATCCCTTCCAATCCGGGCAGTCCTATTCCTAATTCCACGCGGCACAGTCGCCGTCATTGTCGTTATAAGTCTTTGTATTTCTATTTTATTATTAACTTTATTTATTTATTAAATTATTTATTGCACATAAACATTGTACAAACGGCGAACCTAACGCCATGCAAACATTCTCTTCCAGTTAACCCTCGTTGATGAAGTGAAAGATTCAAGAAGTTCATAGCTGTGATAAAGTTAATACATGGCTATAATTTAAAGAATTATAGTAGACATAGGGGAAAATAAACACTAGGAATTACATTACCAAAATAAATACATAGATACGTAGATATACATACATAATATAAGATATTAAGATAATAAGATAAACATACACACATACAAAATACATAGTAAAGAAATAAATATCAAATAAAATAAATTCTATAAACCGCAACATACTACAAAACAATCAAGCTGCCCTTAATCCTGTTTCAATTCCGTATAACAGTACCCAATTTCAATTCGAATTTAGAAAATTCTACTATTTTCTTTTTAAGTCAATGGTCTGGGCGGTGGTCCACATTCTTATTTCTCGTAAAATCCTTAGTTGACAAGAGGATTAAGTAACGAGTAATTGGAATTATATATTTTTATGTCATGAACCATAACTATAACAAAGTATAGTGTGGGTATTAAAAAAATTTGGTGGAACTGAAACTTATTTTGTGGTGTGTAGTATTAAGGTTTTCTTCATTTTTCATACTTAAATCAAATTTCTCTTGCAATGTGGAATACTGTGTATAAGAGAAACGACTTCTTCACCATTTATATCTATTTTAAACTATATTTACAAAAATAAATGTATACATTGTTTGAAAGCCTTCACTAAAAATAAAATGTAAGATAGATAATATGTTACAGCCATCTCCATAAGAAATGAGAAACTAATAACAAGCCATCTAGTGGCCGATGCCCGTACACGGAATGTGTATAAGAGAAATGACATATCTCGCTTTCTCCCTCTCTCCTAGATCGAGTGGTTTGCGAGACGCTCTGTCTATTTTCTCACTCTCGCTCGTCCTAAATTATATCTTTTCTCTCTAACCGTTACGTTACGTTAAAGAAGTTTCACTTCAAAAAATTACATACCTTCGGCTTATCCGCGGCCGCGGTCTGGTCGCCCCCGGACATATCGAAGATTCGCTCTGCGTACGGTTTGAGATCGCTCTCCGCGTCTTTGGTTTTCTTCGTTATGAAATAAACCACGACTGTAATAAAAAAGGAATTCGTTATTAATACATATGTATACCAAAGGAAATTCAATTCAATTTAAATAAAGTGATATTAATTCAATTTTGTTTATTTTATGTAAACGCATTGATGATTGATAAAACTGTTACAGCGTCATTTAAGAAATCGATACTATTTTTATGAAAACAACGAATACATACATATATGTAAGTGATCTAAATATAGCACAAAAAACTTAATCAAAGATAAAATTTATGATTTTCTAGAAACTTTTTTTTTAAACAAGTCAAGGTACAGAATGACATGCGTTTTTAAAAAAAAAAGTTCTCGATCTGAAACAGGAAACTAAACGATGATTCATTCTCTGGTAATTTACCATAAAAAAGAGGCCAAATAGAGCTCCCGAGGTGTAGTAGCGATGCAAACAAAAACGGACACACGCACAAAAAATCTTTATAAAGAACGCGTGACCCTGAAACGTCACAATGAAACACAAATTGTCATTCGACGACAGTTTAGGGTTTGGAAAACTAAAACAGAAATTAAAAATAATCACTAAATAGTATAAAACAAAGTCGCTTTCTCTGTCCCTATATCTGTCTGTCCCTATGTATGCTTAAATCTTTAAAACTACGCAACGGATTTTGATGCGGATTTTTTAATAGATAAAGTGATTGAAGAGGAAGGTTTATATGTATAATAATACCCATTAAATAGTGGAGAAATCAATACTAAATTACAGTTTCCGAAGCGAAGCGAGGGCGGGACGCTAGTTTGATATAAACCTTTTTTCTTGTTGTTTAATAATACTCAAGACGCCGCTTATCAAATTCAAATGACATTATACATAGTATTCTCATCGGTCTAGCAAGTCTTTATTGTCACTATATCGAGGTCTGAAACGCTATTCGGTATAAGCGACATTTTTACAACTTTACAAGATGGCCAGTTGAAATTTAAAATTTGGAAAAGATATAACAAAAAAAAACTTCTTCAGCTATTTTTGAATGGATTAAACTTAATTGAATTTCAATGAAAACATCAAATTGTTGCGCTAATACCAAATAAAACGGAACTTTAATTAAAAATGTCGCGTATTAAGCGAAATATCGCTTTGAGTATTAATAAACGTGATTAATCAAACAGCGAAAGTAGGTAGTCTTAATTATGTGCATTGACACTGCCAAGTGAATGGCATCGGTAATTTCAGGACAAAATGTCACAATGACATTGTCATTATCATTGTGGACATTCACAGCGACAAACTCGGCTACCAATTGCTTTACGAGAGGAAATAAAATGTGATACAAAGACGTTTAGGCTCGAAATACACCCTAACATTGTTTAAATTTGTTCAACAACCACAAGAAAGTTTTTTTTTACTACATATAAATATTATTAAATCTTCGAATTTCGCGTTTCAAATGGTATGAAGAAAAACTAACTTGAGTGCAATTCGCACGCGGTAGAAGAGAAACCTTCAAACGTATTCCATCTCACTCTATTGCAAGTTAAATCCTATAACTGTATATCTTTGTCTCTTTTAGCGTTTCGTTCCTATTTTTAGATATGTCTTATAAAACGATGAACACCGGCTGCACGCTCGAAAAAGTGTCACGTTCCGCCTAAGCCTGAACGTGCAAGCGAGAGCGCAGAACCAACGATAGAGAGGCACAATCGGTTCAAGCATTGACTTGTGACACATTTATCTCTCTTCTCACGTGGCGTCAAAGCTAGCAGTTCGAATGCTTCTGCTACTGACGTTATAACGTATCTATCGTCCGTAAACCGACTTTACTCCAAACCATTATTTTTTTTATTTCAATCACGATTTTCCAACTCCTACAGCAGTAACGCATTATTCGTTGCAGAAATATGCTCTCGTTTACAAAACGTCATATCAACACCATTCAAGTTAGGCAGTAGAGGAATTTGAAACTTATGCCAAGAACATAGAACGGACTGAAGAACACAACTTTGACGTTAAGCTTTTTAATTTAATATTACAATTCCATAACCTTTGTATCTTTTAATACATTGCCTTACGATTCCCCAGCATAATGTTATCACAGCAGTTATTATAACAACACTTGTATAATTGTTTACACTCATTACACAGTTGGTCTTGAAACACAACGCTGTGTGAATGCATACATTTTATTGACAGTGCAAACTCGTCCTAACATTAGGTATAGAACATACAATAAACTGAGCTACCAAGTTGTATGTATGCTAAATCACGTGTGTTTTTGAAAAGTCATGATGAAAATGGAGTACCTACTTGACGCAAAAAAAAAAACAATCTACAAGTGCATGTTAAATTGAAACGATCATCAATAATTAAAAACACAATATCCCACGTTTTTTTCTATGAGCACAGTGTGACGTCACATGTGGTTAGCCGTTGTTTCAATATATTCTATATTACATTTCTTTTATACGAATCAGTAACCACTCATCGGGCGAAGTTCATAGTGTTTTGACGCTGCAACTCATCATTGAGTTATGTTTAGTCGCCTTTTGTTAAGTACAAATCAGAACTCTCTGTACTTGGCAAAAAATAGCCAACATTAGATGAACTATTGAATCTATTCTGATCGAACGAACAATCAAAATTCAGAAGCTCCAAGCCAACGTTTACTCCTACATGAGAAAATGACATACATCAAAATAACAAGAAGGCAGACTCGGTGTCCAGATCGGAACCAGATATTAATTAACCAATTAATGATGATGATGGAAATCAAGCCCATTATAGTAACGTAGCGATTAGTGGTTTATTAACCCTTCGACTGCCTTGTAGTTCATCGGTGCCTTACGTTACGCATTAAAGTAATCATATCGATTTCTGTTTGGTACCTAGGCGCCGGCATATCGTCGGCCGGAAGTCATCGTGGCCTAAAGGATAAAACGTCCGGTGCATTCGTAGCGATGCAACGGTGTTCGAATCCCGCAGGCGGGTACCAATTTTTGTAATGAAATACGTACTTAACAATTGTTCACGATTGACTTCCACGGTGAAGGAATAACATCGTGTAATAAAAATCAAACCCGCAAAATTATAATTTGCGTAATTACTGGTGGTAGGACCTCTTGTGAGTCCGCACGGGTAGGTACCACCGCCCCGCCTATTTCTGCCGTGAAGCAGTAATGCGTTTCGGTTTGAAGGGTGGGGCAGCCGTTGTAACTATACTGAGACCTTAGAACTTCTATCTCAAGGTGTGTGGCGCATTTACGTTGTAGATGTCTATGGGTTCCAGTAACCACTTAACACTGGGTGGGCTGTGAGCTCGTCCACATATATAAGCAATAAAAAAAAATAAAAAAAAATTCTAGCAGACTCTGGGAAAGTCGAATCCGAATATACTGAGAACGAATCTATTTCTACAAAGGTTAAAACGTACATTAAAAACAAAAAAAAGGCAAAGATAGGCGATCCAGGGCCTTATAGGCCTCAAAAATGTATTCGAATATACCCATACTTATAAAAATGTGGACTTTTCGCCTTACGCACCAAGCGAAAAGTTTTGACCGCGGCAGCAGGGAATAGTTGCGTATGGGGCTTTTAAGTCGCATAACGCAGTCAACGTGTTAAGAAACGTGTTTTTACTGGTGGTAGGGCCTCTTGTAAGTCCGTACTACGGGTAGGTACCACCACCCTGCTTATATCAACCGTGAAGCAGTAATGCGTTTCGGTTTGAAAGGTGGAGCAGCCTTTGTAACTATACTGAGATTTTAGAACTTATATTTCTAGGTGGGTGGCGCATTTACGTTGTAGATGTCTATGGGCTCCAGTAACCACTTAACACCAGGTGAACTGTGAGCTAGTCCACCCATATAAGCAATTAAAAACAAAATTACTTACACAATCCCTTAGGGCAGGATCCGGTAGCGGGGCCCACTTCTAGCACGGTGACGGCATTGTCGTCGTCAGCCAGCGGCGGGAAGCGGAGCAACGTGAGCGGTTCCTTCTCGCTGGCCATGATGGTGCCGTTGGTGACGAACACCGCCTTGGAGATGTCGCAGCTCTCAGCCGGTTCCGAAGACATCAGCTCCTCGGGGCACTCGTGGACGCCGATGACCAGGTGATCGCAGTTAAGCTTCTTCGACTTGCTATCGATGGTGACGACGGTTTTTCCTTCATCAACGGTTTTCGTTTCGACTTTATCGATGGGCCGATTCAGGCAGTAGACCCCGCCGAAAACTGCACAGAGCCTGAGGATGCAAGAATATCGTGATTTTTAGTACGTTTTTGAAGTGAAAACTTTTTTAGTACCGTTGTTTTTGAAGTTATACTTCTTTAGGCGCGTTATGAAAAATTTATGAGAGTGAAATTTTACGATGCGCGCGCACCGTGACACAAAATTAACAGAATGAAGTTGCCCACTAAATCGCTCATTACAATACGACCGACGTAACTTGGCGAGTCTGAATATAGCCGCAGGTGAACTTTCGCGCATGTACACTCGTAAAGAAAAGTGTTATTAGCATTCATTTTTTAGTAATATCAATGACAAAATTATTATTTAATATAATTCATACTAAATATTATTAAATTATTAACGTTAAATATTTATTATTAATTATTTCATATTTAAAAATTTAATAATAAATAATTAATAAATTTATTTTAATTAATTAAGATAAAGTATAACTTCTTACGCGCGTACATAAGTACACGCACCCTTTTTTTATTTTATTGCTGAGATAGAAGGACGAGCTCACAGCCCACCTGGTTTTAAGTGGTTACTGGAGCCCATAGAAATCTACAAGGTAAATGCGCCACCCACCTTGGGACACCAGTTCTAAGATCTTAGTATAGTTATAACGGCTGCCCCACCTTCAAACCGAAACGCATTATTGCTTCACAGCAGAAATAGGCAGGGTGGTGGTGGTATCTTCCCGGGCGGACTGACAAGAGGTGCTACCACCAGTAACTCTAGTGACTCTATGAAGAGAAAAGATGGCCTTAAACAAAAACCAACATATATATATATATATACATACATATATAAGGTTTAGCCTGTAAGAGAATAAAATTACTTAAAAAGCTTTCAATTTTATTACAAACGAATTGCACTTTTTTACCCCCTCACTCCTTTAAAGTCTCAATTGGATTGAAATGAACGCGTATGATTTTCAGCAGAAATAGCTGCTTGAGCGTCACAATACACCCTACCATAATTAATAGATACCTTTGCCGTCATTAAGTCTTGTAGTTTGTGAAAATTACTTTCACAGATTTCGTTACATACATAGACAGATTAAATAGATAAAAGCATGCTAAATAAATTGTATAGCGTTAAGGTGTTCCTGATATTCAGCCACAGGAGTTTAGATTCAATCCCTTTATATCCTTTGTAATGAAAATATTATGCCTTACAAAACGGTTTTCTCTCGACGAGGCGATAATTTATAAATACTTCACAAATTATTGCAAATATAAGTAGATCTCCCGTTCACGATCGCCCGTTTGTCAATAGAAACGTTACTATCTTAACTATCTTAGTACATAACATCTTTATCCTTTATTATCATTACTATCTTAGCCGTATACTAATAACATTAACAGAACTAATTAATGAGTCACATTTCCTAACCTATTCACATTTTATAATTTTGTATTATCACTACATAGTATAAAACAAAGTCGCTTTCTCTGTCCGTATATTCCTATGTATGCTTAAATCTTTAAAACTACGCAACGGATTTTGATGTGGTTTTTTTTAATAGATAGAGTGATTGAAGAGAAAGGTTTAAATGTATAATAACATCCATTAAATAGTGGAGAAATCAATAATAAATTACAGTTTCCGAAGCGAAGTGAGGGCGGGTCGCTAGTTTATTTATAAATAAATGAGAAAGTTATTTTCGTTTCTGAAATCATTAATTAAGATCGTGTCCCACGTTATGGTTTTTCTACGCATAGTATATTCATATTAATTAAAATGAATACATATTTATTTCTGAATAGTTTTCACAACGACTTTTATATAAATTGAAGATCACATACCTACTATGGTCAAGGAATATAAAGAAAAGTTTAATTGTTTCAAATATAGTTTATAATCGAATCGTGAAGCATGCAACATTAGAAAGTGCCTTCATTTTTGTTTGAGTTTGTCCGCCGGCTGAACATTCGGGTCATTGCACCGACGCCGTCTCGGAGCCACAGCGCAATCCTTGTAGATAACGCGCTGTTTGAAATACAAAATTACATCGACGACTTCGCTTCAAAAAAGCGCCAATATTTTTTCAGGGAGATCAGATATTTGTTAAATTCGACACATTCTAGGACACTGTTATTGTGTCTTTATGTATGGATAGCGTGACCCTTTTTTTTTGTGTCAAAGCGTGACGCCTACGGAATTTCGTATATAAATAAATATATAGGGTACGTCGGGGTAAGATGTAATATTTAAGTGCAAAAATAAAAAAATGGGTTTAAAAATGACTTGAAATAATTTGTTATGGATCTTACCCTCACTGACATCTTAACTCTTACACCAACTTGCCCATAAAATTGTACTAGTTATAGCTATTTAATAACAGTACAGAGTTTACGGCTAATACACTTGACTAGACAATAATATTGAAAATTTATTGCTAAAAAACAAGTTGTTAGTTGGTTACGATTAGCTATGTGTGATAATAAAGGATTTATTAAGGCAAAATCTGATAATATCAATCAAAATCAACACCAATATTTTCAACAGTATTGGCTCATACGGCATCAATGTTTAGTTCTCGAGGATTATAAATTTCCATATTTTGGTGGTGATAAGAAATACTTACGTCGAAATGATCTTCAGAACAAAAAAAAAATCGATTTTGTTTTGGGATTATCACGGTGCACTGCTTGAAACCATTTATTTCGACATTTGTTATCTTGGGAAACATTTAAAAACATTTTTTCAGGAGCTGTTTTTGTAGTATTCATGCATAATGGTATAAAACAAGAACGATAACTTTTGAGGTTCGACATTTTCAATATAAATATTTGAATATTTAACAATGACAACAAAATTAAATAGATCAAAACACTGTACTTATTATTTCTACATGAACCGCAATGATGGAAAACTAACATTATGATGTCACACGCGCTCGGGTTTGATCGGGAGCTGTCGGCGTGTCTTCGGTACTGGATTCAAAAATTAATTTTTATTTTGAAATAACTTTTGAATTATTGCGAAAAAAAATTTTTTGCTTTAAAACTAATAAATGATCTTTCCATTTAATTTTATAACAAAAAATTTTTTTTTTCAAAAACCCAATTATCTGTGAACTTCTCAAAAAAGTTGTGGAAAGAAGTAGATTTCATTTTCAAAATGGAGTTTTTTTATATTTTTTAAGGCTTAGGTTGATGAACGAGATTACTACCCTCTTTTTTTAAGTGGTTGTCGGAGCTCATAGATATTACAATTTAAAAAACCTTCCCACTTTAAGACATAAGGTCGAAATGTCAATTGTACTGTGCCAGAGCTGATCATCCTTCAAAGCTATCTAACCATGCGTGCGGGGTTTATATTGCGCCCTACCACCAACAAAAAATACTTTAAAATGAGGTTTCTAAAATTAAGACAATATTATACTTCACATAAATTACCTGCAGAAGCATTGCGGCAATTCTCCGCTTCCATACATGGGCCACAAGAATGGAGTGTTGCCATATCTTCCGAGGCTCATGAGGAACTTCTTGCATTCCTTGACACCTTCGAGGCAGGGCAAGCTGTTGTTCCCGCCAGCGATCGCGTACAGTATGTAGTGAATGAGGTTCGGGGTCAAGCCCTTGTGAGTCAAGTATTCCTTCAATGTCTTGTTGTTCCAGTCTAGAGGTGACAATTTAATTTATGCTTCAATACAGATTCAGATAATATTAATGATAAATCTAGCTATTAGTTATTAATGTTAATACAGATATCGACATGCGCGCGGCGCATATAGTCTTAATTGGTTGCCGAAGTAGTCTCGGTCATCGTTCTTGTCGAACCCGTCGCTCGCGATGACGGGCTCGACGAGTAAATTAACCCACACAGACACAGACAGACACAGCCCACTGAATTTCTCGCCGGATCTTCTCAGTGGGTCGCGTTTCCGATCCGGTGGTAGATTCTGCGAAGCACGACTCTTGCTAGGGTTCGTGTTACCAACGTCGTCAGGTTGGAGCCTAATGAGCTCACCTACTAGTTAAGGTTACGCTGAAATAGCCTCTCAAGTCTCTCAGCTAGGTAGAAAAAAAAAAGTAGTCCATAGACAGCACGACATAAATCAAGATACCTACCCTAAGACAAGTGGTAGAAGTACTGCATAGATGCAATTAGCTCTACCACCGTCCGTCTCTACATGTCCGTTGAAAATCGCATTACTCTGAGAAAGCTAATGTCCGTTCTTCGATGAACCTTTATTGGCATTTCACGACACCGAGGGAAAAAAATATTTATGATGATATTTTAATCTAGACGAGTCTGCAACCTAGACTACTACAGCCACTACGTTCCAATCATCCATACCAGTCCTAACTGTCTGATTCTAATCTTAGGCATTGACGGTTACCTACATCCCGACCTTAAGCGGATAACATCGCCAATTCCTGGAGCTGAATTTCGTGAATCATACGTTTTAGTTTGATGATTTCGAACTATGTACCGATGCAATTGACTCTTCAATCTTTCATGTCAAGGTGGGTGTTTCATTCACGGCAAACGCTAAGGGCTTTGTCAAACAGAACGCGTACTTAGCGCTGCGTTTTCACGTCGCGCTCTTTTCATGTCACACAAATTGACTACAACATTCATCAAATCATAGTGCCTTGCCTTTCGATAGCAGTGTGAATATTTAAAAGTATTAAGATGTCGAGTGATTCAGATGTGGCATTGTATAAGCATGGGTACTTTCTAACTAATTCTATAAATTTTTTGGGCATTATCCAGTATTTTAATACACGTTCACTCGGACGCTAAAATAAAATTTGTATAAAATTACAAATTCTGACGTCAAAGCGTCCTAACGCCGCGACAGAGCGTTGCGTACTCCTAGCGCTGGCGCTCTGTTTGACAGTACTATATTACCATAGTAGTACAGTACATCTCGGCGTCATAGCGCGCCGTCACTTTAGCGTTCTGAGGCGCGCTAAGTACGCGTTCTGTTTGACGAAGCCTTAACACCAACTCTTCGATACTTAAAATAAGTTCCATACTTCAAAGCGCAGACCACAATATCTTTATCGCAGACTTTAAGTCACCTTTAAACTCATTGTTCATCTCCTCTTCACTGTAACCGACAATCGATGTCAGCATTTTCATGAGCATCCTCTTCTCGACGATACCGACCGCTTCGGTGGCGAATACGTCGGCTCGGGAGCAAGGAACCGGCATCAGCTGATCGTTGAGCCAGGTCAGGACGCGGGTCACGCATCGGAACTCAGCGTAGCGCGCGATGTTCGATGAGATCAGAAGCTCGACAAGGGGCCCGCGAGAGAACAACAGCTAGACAATTAATTCGAAAGACGACATAAAAAAAAAGTTTATCTTAATGTGTTACACCTTTTTAAACATTCGAAATTCGAATGTATGAATATATCGGATTTCAAACTTAAAATCGTAGAATCTAAAAAACATTGAAATGTCCTTTTTTCTTTTTTTTTTCTTTATTAGTGCCATACACCTATTAGGTTAAGTCGGCTCTTTGAAATGTCCTTAATAAACAAAAAATTACTGAGCTTTAACTGAGTTTCAGGTTCTTGTGAAATTTTAAAACTACAATTGCTGCAGTCGCCTTTCACAGAGAATGGCGATTAACCAACTGGTGAGGTTAATATTGGATAATGTTTTTTTCATTAATTAGTCTTTGTACATTCGAAACACAGACTTGAAATTTAATTACAAATACTGTTAAAGTCATGATAATCAAATATGTATAAACTAGATTATGATACTTATATTATTAAGACAAGAATGTAAATGAAGATATACATATATGTATTTCAATTACGACGTATTAAAAGATATATGTATAAACTAAAATTCAGTTACATGTTTCTCACAGCTATTTGATTCACTAAAGTCAGTCACTAAATCGAGACAAATTCAAAAGGTCTCGAAAAAAATCAAATATACTTAATAGTTTAAACATATTTCAGATTTATTCTGTAAAAATTATCTATGGTTTGTCAGGATCAGTCATTCATGAGAAAATATTAATATACCCTGCTAATGTTGTTCTGGTCTGGTTACCTTTTTTTAAATTTAGTTTTCATTGAATCCTGTATTCACAGTCAAATATTTTCTTTCTTCTCTGTTTTACTTTGTGAAATTATTGTTTTTTTTTATAATTATATTACAAGTATATAACATGTACATACCTTTGGAGTTGTATCGATGTTAAATTTCCGATACTCCGCTGCAAAATCGGCTTGGCTCCATACTTTTCTTGGTTCACCTTTGTTTTCATCAGTTGTTTCGCCTTGTGCAGATTCCCTAATACGCAACATTTTCAAATCTTAATAGTTATTTTTGTCGATAGGAAAATTTCAAATCAATTGGAAAAAAAATTAAGAAGCAGATGGAGCACGAAAAAATATTCATTTTTATGTATTAAAACATTTAGTTACTTCTTAGACATTATACTTTTCAGTGTGGCAATAGCATATTTTTACATGCAACAAGTGTTTTAGTGACATTTAAATAAATGATTTGGATATTATTTTATCACTTATCCCACCGACTGTTAGGTAGTTACTGAAGCCCATAGACACAGGTTAAAACTTCATCTCACCTTGAGAAATGTGGTGAAGTCTCAATAATATAGTGTTAATTAGCAGCAGTCTTATCATTTCTCAAAATCACATGTTTGTTACTTACTTTTCAATAAACCATTTTTCAGATAAGTTGTACACTTGTTTTTGTCTATCAGGATCACTGTTCACTTCTTTTATGAACTTCTGTAGGCCCTCAAAATTATATGAAGCCCAGAGTCCTCCATAATGATCACTAGAGTCCATGTGGAGGACATTCTTGCCTATCCTACTGCAAGCAGCAGCCACTATGGACTCGACCATGCCTAAATGAAAAATTGTTTTTGACAATACAATGTTTCTTTTTTGTTACCTTTAAAATTTCACTCATTAGTTCTCAGCAATATTTAATACATACATAGGTACTGAAAAGTTTGCATTAATTTATTTTTTATTATATATATTATTTAAGTCGTCGTGGCCTAAAGGATAAGACGTCCGGTGCATTCGTGTTGAAGCGATGCATCGGTGTTCGAATCCCGCAGGCGGGTACCAATTTTTCTAATGAAATACGTACTCAACAAATGTTCACGATTGACTTCCACGGTGAAGGAATAACATCGTGTAATAAAAACCAAACCCGCAAAATTATAATTTGCGTAATCACTGNTTATGTTATTTTCACCAACATCACCATCACATTCAAGCCCCTACAACTTACAACTTACATCAACTTATAATAGATTCATATTTTTAGATAACATTGTGGAGACTAAATCTAGAGAATACTCAATCAATAAGATGACATGTGCCACAAAAGTAAACTTGAATATAGATTGAAAGGTTAAGCACTGCTATGGTGGCAGGTGATCGAGCAGATAAAAAGAGATGAAACTTTCATATTAAAAAATTCCCCATAACTGTCCCCAGAACATACACAAAACACAGATAGCTAGTTACTCGATGAACCTCGATCTCGAACTCGATGAGCGATTAAATTTACCTCCGATATTTATTTATCATCATATTTCATAATTAATAGTGTTTTAGAGTAGTCTAAGCATGGAATGTACTAAACGTTACAATACTAAAAAAAGGGAAAAGGTCTAGAAAACTACGTATTTCTTATTTATTTCAGAGACATGAAATACAAGGCGATGACCGCTATTGAGACTAGCAAATAGGCAATGTTGTTTATAATTTCCTTTTTTACTTCATTTTACTGTTCCTTTTTTACTTTATACTTCGAATTAAAAATGACGTGAATGACCGAGCTACTAATTAAGAATTAAATGTATTGAAATGAGGGAATCGGTTTAGGTCAAATGAAAATTTAAAGCAATTTGATGACTGGACAGAGGACAAAAAAAAGGATCGATAACTTTAGTGTCGTTGTCCCATTTTCGCCGGCTGCTATTTTAAAGAGAAAATACAACGTACCCGTTCCCACCACGATGACCTGGAAGTCAGTTGGAAAATCTTCATCCATCATTCTAGTTTATATTAGGCACACAGGTTTCAATTTATTAGTTTAAATTTCTCAGTTTCGTACAATGAACCTCGCAATCCCTTGAACTTGACAATCTTGACACTTTGTTTTGACATTGACAATTATTTGACAACCAAGCAATGCTCCAATCGGATACATAAAGTATTTAAGGATACATTGAGTGAGTGGAACTCGTATATTTTGAACAGGTTTTTTTATTGATAGAGTCTATACAATAAAAATCACTATACGTATCATACTGTAGACGGATGAAGGTACTTATGGTCCATTAGATGTTATGTGTTTACCGGCATCTATGACGTCGGTATGTAAATGCCATCACCACTGTGAGATATTTTATCAGACAGGGACTTGTTGTTTTTACAAAATATAAGGAAAATGGACTATTATCAGCACATAAAATAAAACCCATTGAAGAAATGTAGGTATTAAAAATGGAATGCGGGTAATTAAAGTAACAGAACATAAGCCAGGGCTTTTGAGAGTAAATTTTTTGTGTCTCCATTTAACGAGTAGCGCAGATTTCCGAGCTATTGAACCAATTTTCATATAATTGTCACCGATAAACAAGGTTAGATTCATTCCAATCGGATAGTAGAAAAAAGTTATCTTCATTTATAGTTCTTATAAATGACTTTTACACTGTTAGATGTTACAAGGTACTTAACATACAAAATTATCAATTAGAAAGTAACACCCTCTGTCTGTTGTTTTTACGTCCGAGCCATTGAATCGATTTTGGTGAAATACGGTATGAAAATAGTTTGAGCCCTGGACAAAAATATAGTTCGAGTAGACAGGGGCTCGGCTGTACTCCTGGCATTGCTGACGATGACATACAGGGCCTGTTCTCATCTGCCTACAAAGGTAATAAAATAATATATTTTACTTTTATCATACCTCCTACGGACCTCCAACGTGTAGTTCACGCACCTTAGCATAGCAACCAAGCCCTGTGCAGATAGATATACGTTGTGCCTTGTTTAAAAGAGTTCTTTATACTATAACATTAGAAACAGAAAGCTGACTCTTCACTACAAAGTAAACGGCATTTAATTTAAAACCAAATCTTCCAAGCTTATACGGACACACATACTCATTCATACAAACATACAGTACACTTACATACTTAAAAGATAATATTTTATAGTCTCGCAGAGCCTACTGAGTTTCTCGCCGGATCTTCTCAGTGGGTCGCGTTTCCGATCCGGTGGTAGATTCTGCGAAGCACTGCTCTTGTTAGGGCCAGTGTTAGCAATACTTCTGATTTGAACCCCGTGAGCTCACCTACATGTTAGGGTGAAGCTGAAATAGCCTCTCAAGGCTATCATCATAGACAGGGGTAAAAAAATAGGTCTCGCACAAGCTCGTGAATTCTGATCACAACGTAAGCGATCACCTAAAAAAAATCGGGACTGGAGCTATGTAATATAGATTTTTGAACTTAATAAACACTGAGAAATAAACAATTATTATTATTTCAAATTAGCATAGAGCACACCTGATTGTTTATGGTATTTCGTCATTGGAAAGGACAATGCCCAAAAGTGGGCCAACTTTATGTCAAAACTATTTGTACCGTAAAATGGGGCGATTAGGGACAAATTCCAACTTTATGAGCAATTTTAAGGTAGTTGTTGATGTATATAATGCTATATCAGGATCAAAATGATTGAGTCTTGGGGGCATCTTTGTTGTCTAATTTAAAATTATGCAACTAGCATTCCAGTTTAAGCAAAAAATGCAAAAATAGGTGTAATCCCTATTTACCCGAAAATTGCGGTTAATTGGGACGAAATGAGAAATTTGCTAGGGTTGGCACTACTTTTATTTTTATATATAGTTTTAATTTATTTATTTATTTAGTTGCACCAACAAAGTGATCATCAATAAAAAAAATTGAAAAACTGACAAAAGTACATGGCAGACATCACCTCAATTATAGGTGCAATCGACAGTGCTGATATTTCTATCTGGGTTAAGAGATTAGGTGTGTCGGTTATTCCATGGATTAATCAGATGAATACCCCCACTCTGAACAAATATTAAATATTTTATTATGTATTACTTAGACATTTTTGTCCACCTTGAGATTTCATTGATCTTGTTACATGTCTCTGCAAAATCGACTTACTTATATTAAATTGCTTATCTATTTCAACTAAAGACTTATTCCCAATTTCGCTTCGAATAAACCAGATTTTTACCAACAAATTTAAAAAATATTGTTATAACTACATAGACAACCCTACAAACCTGTACCTATTTATACTTAGGTCGTTTCCATTTCACGTATTCTCATCCCAATTGACCCCTTTTTCGTTGTTATTTGTACCTAAGACGTCCCCAATATCCCCAAAAACAACAGATTTTTACATGTATTTTTATTTAATCAAATACATTAAAACCAATAACAACTGAGACTTACCTTTAATATATATGCTGGTTCAAACACTAAATAACGTTTATAAATCATAGTCGTCTTCTATTATTATCAAATAAATAAAAGAGAGCAAAGTTTCTAGCACTAAAATGATTACCACCACAGGAAGTTAATTTGAAACGCGATTTTTTATAAGTTAGCAGCTATTATCATGCATATTCAAAGTTGTTTTGTGAACTTTCAACATTCTACTATTAAACTACAAAAAATGGAAGATTTTGCAACGCATATAAAACATTGAGCGTCGAAAGATTTTCCCGGTTTTTTCCCGATTCGCCTCTCAATCCCTAATCGCCCCATTTTACCCGTACTTGAAAAACTATGACTTATTTTTTCACGTTGTTTAGTTTATGTATCAACATTTCTTTCACCCTGGCATTGTTTTACAAAAAAAAAAATTGCTTTATTTGATAACATCCCAAAACTGAGTGCCATAGTTTTTAAATTCGCCAATAGGCAAGGGGCTTAGCCCATACAGCCTTATAGTAAACCTTTAAGCTGCCAAGCGAAAGAGTCGTCTGTGACTTGAACAACAAATAAATAAAAAATTGCTAATGGTTATAATTCACAGACTTTTTAGTTTATTTTTGTTCAATTCAATATTTATATGTTGTAATAATAATTATTACTTAAAACTATGAACTATGTTTTTAGACATTAATGATTCCATTAGTAAAAATCTCAATGGCCTACCATTACTCTATTCTTATTATATACTAGCAGACCTCGTAGTGCTTCAATCGATAAATAAAAGACCTAAGTTTTGTATAAAATAAACTTAAAACAAACAAAAGGAATCCGTCCGACGGGGGACACATCAAAGGAAAGACAAAATTGTTATACTTATTTAATTCCGAGCATTTTCATATTTATCCACCTTTTAAACCTTCTCTAGATTTCCACAAATAAATCAAGACCAAAATTAGCCAAATCAGTTCAGCCATTCTCGAGTTTTAGCGAGACTAACGAACAGCAATTCATTTTTAAATATAGAGATGCTCAGAGTTTTGGCAGCAACCCGAGTAAAGCGTCACTTGAAGTTTTATTTTAATGTTTTTTTAATAGTTTATTGTGATGTATAATATGTAAATTGGGTGTTGTTTTGTGTATTAAACGTCAATAATTGTTGTTCACGATTATTGAGGCATTGGAATAAAACTATGGCTAACAGCAGTGACTTTTTTTTTTCAAGATAAAAAGTCTGCGGAAATTCACGCTCACTCAATGTGCTATTCATCGAGTTGACGTCAAAACTCCCAAAAAGCAATAAAAAGAGATACACCGGCTTTTATACCGGCAGAATAGGCTGTATAGGCTACGCTCTTTGCCTGCTTATTGGCGAATTTAAAAACAACAACAACAATATCGTTGCCGGCTTCCGGATTTTCATTTCATTTTATTATTATTATGAGGATATAATAAAAATAAAATGTAGGCAAGGGCTTATTTCTAGCAACATTAACCACAATTAACTTATTTAATGCTGGAAATAATGATGCGAGCGATTATTGATTTCGAAGAAAACAACAACTTAATTTTAGCTGCAGAAAAAAACAGATTTCTCTTAAACCTGGGTGAGAATATAAAAATCGTTTTATGAATATGAAAAGATATTTCTTTGTCTATCAAATTAAGTTAAAACCAGTATCACGCGACAACTTTTATAGAGGCCCAAACGCCCATAGAAAATGGGCATTGTCCTTTATACCATAATTACCAAAACCAAATTGATTTCAAGCCACTCAAGGCCATTGTTTGTGGCTTTACAAGACTTAGTGAAAGAAACCTTACCTCTGAAACAACATGATTGTGCCAAAACTCAAAGAGCAAAGCTGCTACACATAACTAAGACCCGCCCTCGGCTGTCAATTATATTCATCTTTTCTCATCCGAGCCAAAAAGAGAAACCCGTTACATGAAAAATAAGCTTCATGACAATAAAACAATTATTATTTAAAGTATGTACTTCAAAAAAGAAAAAAACCTTTTATAATCTGCCTGTTAATAAAAATTAGTATCACAGTTTGCGGTTTGTATGACTTTAATAGTTCACAATGCGATATAAATAAATACTATAAGATACGTTCTTACAGAACTATTTTTATGTTGTAACATACGACATCAATAAGGAAATGACGTACTTTCATTTTATTTTGTTTCACGGCTAGTAATAAACGTTTCAGCCGCACTAATAAAATTGTTTATCACAACATTATTATACAAATCGAAACTCGAAAATGAAACAACGGATGAGTTGTGTTTTATATTTACAATTATTTTTTTTCATACATACAGTTCAACATTTTACAGACTACAGGAGCTCTTTTTAATTCGAGCAACGAACATTACATAAACTAACACGTAAATCTAAACTGTAATAAAAACGACTTAGTGTAATCAATCTACGGGACCGCGCCACGGCGTGGCGGGAAATGAACACCTAGAATCAATAAAACCCCGGTGTCCGTATTACGTTTTCACTAAACGAGAACAGTGGCAGTTTCGGGAAACGACATCGGTACGTGCTCACTTAGGCCATTCCCAGCTTCAGTTTATTCATTAGAAAGGGCGTGTAGGTATTTGGAGCCCTCAAAATGTTTAGGATAAGGAGTTGCAAGCTTCATTACTAATTAAAACACAATTACATAATCTCAATTGACTTCACTGACTATCTACCCCTAAGAAGTTAGTACATCTACATTTTACAAACACCTTGTTTTTTTTTTCATTGGCAATCATGAACAGGTTTAGGTAATTTAGTAACAGCCTGTGTGGCTTTACACCAGTCAGCGGTCACCACTGACGTCCAGTACGATAAATGTAAATAACTGTCAAACAAACAAAAGAAGTAAAATACTTCAAAAACTATTATTGTAAATTGCCTATTAGTTCGTTATGAATAAATATAGGTACGTGTATGTGCCTATAAAAGACTAATTCGGCAGATTTTTTATTTATTAGTCGAACACCATGGTGTCAGTTAACAGGAAAAAATGATCGATTTGTCGGTGTCTGTATTCAATTTTATTTGATGGGTTGTTGTCAGTACCCGGGAAATGAATGAGGGTACCAACTTATACAATAAAATGGTCAATGATATCGGCCCGATCTGTGTACGTCAACATTATGAAACATCAATATAACAAAACAAACTATTTACACAAATTACTAAGCATTATAATGGAACATTTTAAAATATCGACGCTGTCTCTTCACTATTTACAATATGTTTTCTGCCATATAAGTTTATTCTCAATATTTCAATTTAATTTTATGCACGAATAAATTTATTGTTGTTGTTTGTTAATCAAGACCAAACTTTGATCCAATCATGCATTTTTACAGCAGAAGTTTTAAATTTGTATAATTACGTTTAATAGTCAATGTTGGCAACTTGCAACAAAGAACACCATGACTATTACAACAATAATCACACGAGGCACCGCATGCATATTTGGTGTTTGTTTTATTCAAATGATATGTTAATTTTACTAAATTCTTCGTGATATGTTAAATGCCAATGTAAAATCAAATATATTCCTTTTTAATTTTTAACGACACGGTCGATATTTTAACTTGCTACGGCTAACACGTGAAGGCCGACGCTATATCGCATGACTAGAACAACGTTTCCCGTGAGTGGGAAGCTCGATCCAACCGGAGCGGTACGTGCACAGGTCGGCTGGCGAGTTCTGTACATTCGCCAACCGCAGCCGCCTCGCCGCCACCGCTGTCGGTCGAAAACTGCTCAACTTCACCATCAGTCGAGTCCGGTTCGTCTTCAGCAAACACAGAGTCCGCGCCTACAGACGCTATTTCACACTCCACTGCATACGATGGTCCCACGCTCCCTACAGACGCCAGAGGCGCAAGCCGTTCACTTGGGCACGGTGAAAGACGACGTTCTTGTAAAGCACAAACTACAGAAGAGCCACGACGCTCTAAATAAGAACTTCCAGAACTTGAACATGTGGCTGAACTGAGACGCCGGTCTCGTGGCCCAGCCGAGGGCCGCCGATCCACGAATCGCAAAGCTGAACCAGGAAGCGAATCACCTCGGAGATTCGACAGTCGACGTGGCGGCGTTAATAAACTACCATATCCTCCACCGTAAGAGGAAAAACGAGCAGTTCGCGGCCAAGGTGGCTCCTCGCCGATTGAAGGTCGCGAGGTTCGGCGAGCTCGTTCCGACAACGCTGCCTCTAGAGCAGCCGTCAACTGTCGCTCTTCTTCAACTGCCTGTTCTTCAGCAACGACGGCTTCTGCCATCTCCACTATCTTCGGGTCGTTCAAAGCTTTAACTGATTTACTCCGGCTTTTATAGACAATCAAAAACACCATTAAAGCGAAAAAGCCGCCTAGTGTTGCGGCTATTCGAACACCGGTCATGACGTCATAAGTGGCGTAGAATTCGATGCGCACCCGATCCCTTTCAGTGGCATGAGAATTTTCGGTAGAGTTTTCAGCGGAATTCGTATCTCGGCCATTCCATCCATCTTGTTGCTCCATCTTGCGGTCAAGCTTTCATCGCCTGTAAAAATAAAACAATGCTGACGCTTAATCAATCGCAAACTTATCTGATTATCACAGGGCTTTTAGAGAGATAAATGACCATCCATTAGTTAGTAAGGGAGTTATCGTGAACCGTGTATGGAAAATAAAATAAATACATTAAATTACGCACGCGACGTCTGACGTACGNCCATCTTGTTGCTCCATCTTGCGGTCAAGCTTTCATCGCCTGTAAAAATAAAACAATGCTGACGCTTAATCAATCGCAAACTTATCTGATTATCACAGGGCTTTTAGAGAGATAAATGACCATCCATTAGTTAGTAAGGGAGTTATCGTGAACCGTGTATGGAAAATAAAATAAATACATTAAATTACGCACGCGACGTCTGACGTACGTGTTATGGTGATAAAAAAAACGCAGTTTATCATAACAGAAAATGATATCGGCCCTAAATAGATGATATTTAATATAGAACAAGAGAGACCGCACAACAATGTTGTCGCCAGGTGACTTCCGTCGCGACGGACTCGGCTGCCGACGTAACTGGGGCGCATCGCATAGTATTATCATGACGATATATTTCGATTCTGAACCAGCTAATACCGTTCAACTTGAAATCATACTCGATATTGTGTTTAAATGAACGATTTCTTAACTATATAAATATAAATCTAAAAGCGTATTAATACCTTATTTATTACATTAGTCTCGTTTTATCTAATTACAAAATCGGTTGTTTGTCTGCTGAATTCAAGCAACTGTTTTTGTATAGCTTTATAATAATGTGAACAATATATAAAGGACCGGCTAATATATACGGGAAACTAGACCTAAATCTTTAAGTCGGACATTTTTTTCTTTCAAAAATTATTCATATTTCTCGTCGTCTCAAAGGCTGGTTTACGTTTTATTAATTCAAACATTCGACTATTAAATAGTCGCGGTAGATAAAACGGTCTATAATAGCATCAAAGAGTAACGAATTTCCATTATTATTTTTTTGTATTACGCATGCCGATATTTCATTCTAATTGTGAATCAAACTGTTGATTTTGAGTTACTATTTTTCTGTTCTAATAATTTTATTAATACATCTAGTGCTTGAATGTGAATGCAAAAATGAAAACCGCTCGAATTAAGAGATGAAGTGGTAAAAGCCCAGATGTTGTAAGCTAATTACATACGTTCCTATCCTATAAACTAGAATTCAGTGATACCACAAAACAAATTTGCTACACATTCCAAAATGTTCTTCTCTTGAAACCAGAGCGTATGATTGCTTCGCAGCAGATATACACAGATGGTGGTAACCAAACTTGAAACTTGAAGACTTACGACCACAATACCACCAGTTACAATACATTACTTAATACCAACTTTTGTCGGTTTTTTCTAGAAGTTGCCGTTACGCCAGCTCGGCTTCTGAAGCTATTATTACTATTAATACTACCGCCATGCGTAGTGGTACCTTGAAGGAGGTATCTGTCTATACGAACATATTATATAGGTACCATAACTCTTACATAGTATTTCTGTTGTAAATTATGTGTTTCGGTTGAAGGATAGAATGGCCGTTGGACCATTGTGTAATTCAGACTTCAATCCTACGTCTCAAGGTGAATAGCGGTATCCACGTCCATGCCCTCCGGCGCTCCGTTATTATCAGACAAACTGTGATTTGTTCTGCCCATCTTAGCTAATAATAATAAGACGTATTAAATTTTATTAAAAAAGATTTTATGATGTAGTCATGCAACTATATACCTACCACAATTTAATACTTCCTACACTACCCTAGTAGATTACGCCTTATATAATAAATGGAAGTCGTATTATAGGTAAATATAAATAAATTATTTGAAGTAATAAGTGCACAATATTTCTTCATAGGGCGCAGTTTTTTTTATATAGTATTTGTTGAATATTACTTCTTTAACTCGTACATAATTAATCATTTATTTAAGATAGGATATTGAAATAATTTCCATCAGAATATTTTACACGAATCGTGAGGTATGTGGCCGTTCCATAATTAATTTTCAATGTAGGCATTGCTCTAAATTACGGGCTTGATCGATATATGCGCTCCTCAACACACAATGAAACTAAATATAGCAACGCAGGTGGAGTACCCGGTCACTGATTAAGGCGAAACAGTACAAATAATTGGCTGCATAAGATATTTTAACGTATAAAAAACAATGAGTCATAATAAACTCTTTTATGCTTCATTTTGTACTCACAATTTACTAACCTTATTGTCTTATCTGTAGTAAAAGACTAAACGACTTCGTGCAACATAAAAATTACATAAATAAGTCATTCGAATCAAATAATACCTACTTTAATACTATAAAATCTACTTACACACCATTTTACGGGAACAGCGAGTTTAATGATGTGTTTTAATGTTTCATGGACTTTTCCGATGCGCAGAGGTACCAGTATTGTGTAAAAATAGCGATATTGTCTCGAAAACATGGCTTGACGGTAATAACATGTTCGTTATAGTTCAATTATATTATCTCGCGAACGTACGAAATGGAGGATATTTGTTATTGTGTTTCGTAGATGTATTCTCATGAAAGTTTAATAGCATAGAATCGAAATACAAATAAATACCAATATATTTACTTCATAGTAAATCATTATGTGTTTATACTACATTCGTGTAATATGGAATAATGTAACATCGCATTATTTTAACTCAGCGCTGCAGTAATAAGATTAGTCAAAATTAGGTTTCTGAAGTCGATACTATGAAAAGGTTTTGGCAACAGAACGAGAAAATATTAAAATACTGCACGCCACAGTGTGATGAAGTTGAGAATTGTGAGTCATGGCGGAGTTCTTCGTCCTAGATATATGCATCAACAGGCATGCATCAGTTTTGATCAACAAATACATTTAAATTTGTAACAAAATGAGAAAAATATCGCATGCCGATCGTAAAAGATCACTACGTTTTTTTTACTGACAAACCGATAATAGTCAGTGGTTACCGCCGCCGATAGAAAACCGGTAATACCCGGATAATGATAGCTCATTTATGTTCTGTATCGCGGTACGAACATTTTTATTTTATTTAAGAAGCCTGCGTAAACAACTATCAAATACTTCATCTATTGGGATTTTTTATATTCAATCCTTTGCCCGCTACTTCTCGTCTCCAAAAATCTAGGGCATGAATTTTGTAATAGCGTTTAGAGATAGAAGCCAATAGACATCTTTGTTCGAGTACCTATTGCCTAGGATATTCATTCCTATTCTTACTATGCCGTCACTTGGAAAATGTGCGAGGCAGTAACCGCATCTGCCATGTAATCGATCTAATCATTACCATTTTACTGCCGCTTGAAATTGAATAATAAAGCGCAAAGAGGAAAAATAACCTACGCTCAGTTTTTTACGCTTCTGTAATTGAATTTTCAGCGCTATTCATAGAGAAATGAGTAATTAAACACAGAAGTTGCTCAAATTCTGTGTACCGTGCCGTAGGCAGCGGCTTGGCTCTGGACCTGGCATTACTGAAGTCCATGGGCGACGATAACCACTCACCATCAAGTGGGCAATATACTCGTCTGCCTACAAGGGCAAAAAAAACATATTTTTTTTAGGTCAAAAGATAAACATCTAATCTTCGGTCTTCTTCTAAACTAATCTTCGGCCTTTCTTTTAAATGTAAATATATTAATGAACTTACTTAACTATGCTTTAAATAAAACCTTAACGATAGTTTTGTGAATTCTTCAATATAATACTATTTCATTTATCAAGATTGACAAAATAATTTACAGTACAACATTAAAATAGATAATGTTAAAACGTCGATAACTGGAACTGGAATGACAATCATTCTCAGCATAAATATAGCGAATAACAAAAAAAAAACCCACTAAAACAATAGTTAAGTAACAGAAGTAGAGCTTTAACGTGCATTAATTAATTCATTCCTGAATAAATGAAACAGCAAACATGACAAGGAATTTCGGGTTTACTTATTGTTTGACTGAAAGCATTAGAAGCCGGCGAATATTTCTCTAAAAATGTTTCCAATAAAGCACATAGCAAATGCAAATAGCAATGGAGCGATAAGGTAAGCCCCGAATGACACTTTCAAAGGGAATTTATCGAGAATGGATTGAGACTCAACGAAATTATTCATGACCTTATTCAGAAAACATTGAACCTAAAATACTTCATCGATCACTCATCTTTTGCATTTTTAACACGCTTTTCTTATTTTGGTACTGTGTGTATACATTTTTTTTTAATTTTTTATTGCTTAGATGGGTGGACGAGCTCACAGCCCTCCTGGTGTTAAGTGGTTACTGGAACCCATAAACATTTACAACGTAAATGCCGCCGCCCACCTTGAGATATGAGTTCTGAGGTCTCAGCAAAATTACAACGGCTGCCCCACCCTTCAAACCGAAATGCATTACTGCTTCTCGGCAGAAATAGGCAGGGTGGTGGTACCTACCCGTGCGGACTCACAAGAGGTCCCATCATCTACTACTACTTTGAACATCATTTTTGCAGACCTCAAACCTTAAAAATACGCACACGCATCGACGACCGATGGCAATACAATAATTTTTAAGTTTTTTCAATCTTTAAACTATACATGTAATAACCTTTAGAATTGAAGTGGCTTAATCCCAAATTCTTGTTTTTTAGGTAAACGCCAAAAATGTAATTGAAGAATTGTAATTTTTCAGTTTCGACTTTAATACTTTAAGCTTTAAAGCGCATATCTTAAAGTTTATCATATTCGCTTGATTTAAAAGGGACGGAAAGTGTACTTTGTTCTTTTCTAACAACAATTTAAATATCATTGTTAATTTTAAAAATTTCGTTTTACAAACTGATAGTATACATGTTTATAAGTGGTTCAAAGCATAAAATTCATTTTCTTAAAAAAATTGATTAAGTCACGTCAATTCTAAAAATGCGATGTATACTAACTTGCGAAGAATTAGTGTCCTTTTAAAGATTATATTATTTATTTTGTAAGTAGGTCTAAAGTTGTGAGCAGTAGTCTAAATTACTTCCAACATAGGTGGACTACAGCATTGGCGTAGTAGAAATCTTTCTAAGCTGCGAACCATTTTTAAATATGAAAACTAACGCCTTGTTCGCGGCATTTATTGTATCTTAGGGGCTTAGAGAAATTCAACTTAGTGTCAAGTTTAAGCCTTAAATTACGAATCTGCGAACCTTAGTCTAGGAACTTCCCTACAGTGTTGAAATTATTTTGCGCTCTGATGTGAATCTTTATATATATGTATATTTCTTCTGTGCGTGTGTTTGTCACTGAACTGCTCCTAAACGGCTGGACCGATTTGAATGATTTTTTTTTATATGCGTTTGGGTGGCACCCTGGATGGTTTAGATTTACAAATCAGCCCAGCAGAGGGCGCAGTCGGTATCTAGGTTATTTATCTTTCCTAGAAATAATTTATACGGCAAAACAACCTTTGCCGGGCCAGCTAGTTTTGCATGTAAATATTTCGAAATATTTAACTGCGTCCTACGAATCAAACAGTAACTAACCAATGTATAAATATAATATAGCGGTATTTGTTTGAATCATAACACGCATTATTCCAGCAATGGGTAACAAAAGGTTCAAAATGTTTTCAAGATTAAAAATTCAAATCTTTTGTAGTAAACATTGAGTTAGTTAATTTTAATGATTGGTTGTATTTTTATTTTTATTTATTCACACGTCTGCCTGTTTCTCTCAATAATTTACTCGGTTCCACCATTTACAGAAGCAACCTTGGCTAAAAGTATTGAGTGCCCTACAAATTTGGCATGTGCACGAAAACTATCGCACAATACCCACCCAGTTTGTTGAAGTGTTTTACTTTTTTAATTTAAGCGCATGATAAGTTTAAAAAAAATACCAGCTTGCGATTTAGTCAATTAATTTTCCTAAAAACTACATTTTTTTAATTGCTTAAATGGGTGGACGAGCTCACAGCCCACCCGGTGTTGAGTGGTTACTTTTTTTATTTTATTGCCCTTGTAGGCAGACGAGCATACGGCCCACCTGATGGTGAGTGGTTACCGTCGCCCATGGACTTCAGCAATGCCAGGGGCAGAGCCAAGCCGCTGCCTACCGAAAACTACTAGAGCCCATAGACATCTACAACGTAAGTGCGCCACCCACCTTGAGATATAAGTTCTAAGATCTCAGTATAGTTACAACGGCTGCCCTACCCTTCAGACTGAAACGCATTACTGCTTCACGGCAGAAATAGGCAGGGCGGTGGTACCTACCCGCGCGGACTCACAAGAGGTCCTACCACCAGTCAAATATACTATAAATATAGTCCAATATCGGACTTTGTGCTTCGCTGCTTGATTACTGAATTTATTACGGAGTCAGTAATCCGACCATAGAACATGAAGGAGACGGCATAGGTGTCTTTGGCTGCATAGGTTCTAGAATCGGTAGGAGATTCATAAATGAATTCCGAAATAGCTTTTTTCAGTGAATGTGCCCTTCCCACCGAAAATTTTGATTTAGCTCAAACATAGCTTTGGCAAAATTGCTTCAACTTTTACTTATTAACAAACTTAAGTATCATCAACATAAACTCTCTAACAAAACTGAGCAGCGTTTCTGAAAACAACGATTTTTAGATTTTTTTATTTTAGACTACGAACGTTTCTACGATTCGTTTCCTTATTTCATGTCACAATATAATTATTTTAGTTTAATTTTTAAATAAATGTAAATGATTTAAATACGAAAAAGCATTACTGTACTCTATAAAATACTACACTACATACTTAAAGGATAAAAAATAGATCAAATGTGAGTGACAATATCACTTGATGATAGGTACTAAACTACATATACCGGCCACCTACTCTGCTTACATGGTATGGATTGCATTAGGACATTCTTTTAAAATTATAAAAGTTGCACACCTTGAGTGAGATTCAACTAGTTTCCCCGTCATAGACATCTCACACAAGAACCATAGTGGAACGGACTCTAGTATTTCGGCCATAAATTGGCAACATATTTATTCTAGATATATGTATATTAAATTGTTTTATGACATGAAGAACTTAGTCAGCACCTAAGATCTGTAAAGTGTAACATACTTCTGCAAGAAATGGTGTCTATAATTCCGGGTTATAGGCATATATGGTTAGCATTAAGGAGTGCATCTCGACATCAAAAATAACTGGGCACACAAATCTGCAGGTTGTCAACAAAATAAGATTTGAAATGATCCTAATACTCACAAAAGAAATAAAATTTATGTATAAAAGCATGGATGTCAATGATGTTTTTTTAAAAAAATAACAAAAAAAATTACATTATACAAATAAAAATAAGAAAAAAACAAAAAGCTTACTCATCAGGGCAAAAAAAACTGTGCCGTATTTGAAACCTATTAAATTATTAAAATGAAAATAGTCAAGGCGCCATTGAAGTTTAAACATAGTGGCAATTATTTAATTCTTATTGTTTTAAATTAGTTTTAAGATGTAACCAAAAATATTCATTCTGAATACAGAACTAATCAATCTCCTATGTCTAGTATTTAATATTCTTATAGTAATTGATTATGCATTATGGAAATTTAAACTTCTTTTAACACATTGAACTCCACATAAAAAATCGAGTATTGTCATTTTGGCTATGGTGCTCATTGGTGAGCCTTATCTTACTGAACCATTCAGGCCATGAGGGTAATCCGTGAGCCATGTGAGGATTCCAATGTAAACACTTTCTATAAGCTACAGATTGTAATTATCGAACAAAACACATATGAAAGTGAGCCCTTTAGCGGAACCGAACAGTGTGGTTTTCAACTCCAATAGAAACTTAGTTTTTATCAAGGTTATAATAGCAATTTGAAATATCTTAAAAACTAGAAGGTAAATCCAAATTCCATGCAAATTATCGCATTTTATAAAATTTTGAATGAAAATCTCAAGTTGATAAAAATTACTGATTCCCTGATTTTGGCTTGGCCCAAATGCTATAGTAAGCTAAGCCCGCCAGTGGGTTGCAAAGCCTTCAACGTGTTAAATATCAATTATTTATAAGAATTTTGTGTTGTGTCAGGGTAAGATTTAATTACAAATTAAATGATCTCATTCTCATATGAAAAAAAGCAAAGCTAAGATTTTTTCCACTTCATGGGAACCAGACAAAGAAAGGTGCTGATAAACTTTCGTTTTATTCCCATTTGCAGACAACAGTAGATATACAAAGCTAACACACAGCCAAGCTGCTATGTACTATGCTGAAGTCTCTTCCACAACCGACTTTGAAGAAAAATATTCCTTTACATAAAAGCTCAGTGGTAAGGAGTTTATTCCAGTCATATATGACAAAAATAATCTATAGGAACATAACTTCTAGGTAGTAGGGATGAATTCTGTTCTCCATCTAGAATATACAGTACAAAAACACAAAGAGCACCATATCTCACAAACCTAAAATGTCTAATCTGCCATGACACATACACAAGCGTGATCCTTTGCTTAGTAAAGTACAAGTGTTTTTGTATGGGCTAAGGAGTACCAATTACCTTAATCAAGGAATCCCAACAGTCAAAAGCTAACTTAGTTTTACCTTCCAGATGACTGAATTGCAACCACTATAAAAAATAACTTAAAACTAAAATTAACTAAAAAATTAAATATTGAATTAAAAGCTTAGTTGATTTATGATGTTCAACAAGAATTACAATAAGCAGATCTACAATTAATACAAAGATCCTAAAAAACATAATGATTTTTCAATTCCATATTGGACACTCCTTTGTATTAATACAGTGAAAACTTTATAAAATTTATACAATAGAAAATTAAAAATTCAAACTTATCATTTATAAAAATGTTTTATCATAAATTTAGAGTGTTTCAATTATTTCGTTAATAAATCTTAATATTCCGAAATGAAGCGAATTTACTGCCAACAAATTTCAAGGGCTTGTTTACTACTACAACTTGATTCTATGAATTATATTTGCACAATACTTTAAACTGAAAGATGAATAAGGTTCTTAAAATATATTTACCATTAGTCCAGCATGATCCGTAGCCCGCAGGATTCAACGAACGACGAGAGTTAAGACGATTTATTATGTACATGTCCTTGGTAAACTGTTGTTATAAAACAAACTCCCAAACATTGAGAAACTTTCACTGTACTAACGTTACATCGTTTACGCACTAAAACCAAAAAACTATGATCTATACCAGAATCTTGAATTTTGCGGATCAGTGAATTTGACACTTATTGTGCGCACGATATTCGGGATTTTATTTGAATTAAATTATGTATTTATAATGCTTATTTATTTTTTATTACATTGATACTAAGAATAAATTCGCAACTATTATTTGTAAAAATTATATTCGGAAATTTTCACAAAACCTGCATGCTCCTTCGGATTATTTGATGCCTAATCTCGGATTCTCGGATAATCTAAAGCAGAATCCTTTCTTTGGCAGAATTTAAATTCAAGTGACACTGTCACTTCCATGATCGCTTATTCCACTTGAAAGAGCAAGGGGAATTTATGGAAGTGACGAACTTTGGACATTTGGATTGAAATATTTTAAGCTACAAAGAAAATTGTATTGAACGGTATTTAGAGTATAGAGTACATATTTTATAGCATGTACTCGATACAAACTTTACATTAAAAATATTTATACCACTTTTTTACTGCGGGCGTGTGTTTTCCTCTAACTTTATATCCCCTTATCCTAGACAAACTGGAAAGGCCTTTAGAACACCAGTAATCCTTCCATCCTGAAGAACACTGACATCCTAATTAATTCGCAAAAGGGAATGCTGTTAACTTTTGTGATTCAACTATACAGTAAAATGGTGAGAACGTATTTCAGCGAACTTATAGGAAAAACCTGAAATGTCGTGTCATTAAACTAATTCATTTACACGTAAATATGGACTCATTTACTATATTTCCAATATTAAAGAATCAAGCTAAGTTGCCTTACGAAAATCAATTCAGTGGCTACATTACATGAATCATTGTGTCTGACTCTAATAAGCTCAGCCATACCTTATTGATGAATTTCCTAATTTATATCAGACTTAATTTGACAGATAAAACACACGTTCTGGGATCCGAATGCAAGTAAAGCCTCGTATGCAAGACTATGCAACCCTCCAGATTCATAATTGCAATGTTCATGTGATATTGGCAGGCCCCCATTGTTCTTCTTCTTTGTCTTCATATTATCCAACTAAGTGGAGTCAGCACTGCAAATTTTTCTATTTCATTCTCCTCTATCAGCCGACATCTCAACACTCACTCCTCTTTCTCTCATATTATCATTCATACACTCTGTCCATGTCTTCTTCTTCGAATAAAGGCGCCACGGTAGCGGACTGATTATATAAGTGGGCGAAATATCATTGATGCATCCCAAGTGACTCCCAGGTACTTGATCTTCCTGGCTCAGAGTATTGTTTGTCAGAAGAGGTGATCCGGGGTCTGAGATTTCTCCTCCTAATACGGGAGGAAATAAGCGTTAAATTTTCCCTCGGAAATAGCACCGCTGTATTTTTCGCTGGGTATGGTTTCTCTGCGCGGTTGATCCTAATATTTGCTGCTCGACTCGTTCCTCAAAAAATGTCGGACAGGCAGCCAACAACATTATTTAACTAGGGTTTCGATTTTTACTTTTGAATACCAGAGCTCTAGAAACAAGTAGCTGTTATTACATAATAAGTACCTATACTAAGATTGTGTAAAATACTAGAATACAAGAAAATTGTAGACTTTTGGTGCGATCGCGAGGAGCTTAGTTGTGTGCATTGTTTTATTTTGTAAATTTATTGTTTTTTTAGGCGCAAAAGTATAATAAGAGTGCATTATCAGCTATTAAGCTGTGAAAATGCACTAATAGGGAAAATGAACCAAAGCCGCTGGACGTATCTTCTCGGCTTTTTCCAAAGAGTGTGCTGAAAAGTCTTAGTAAATAAATACGATTTTACTGAAACTTTATTTCAACTCATCTCAATCTCATTTCATTTAATTACATCCCAAATGATGAGTCTTATCTTCATCTCATTACGCTTTATTTAATTTTTCTTAAATTTAACAGAGTAGACAAAACATTATGGTGTGATACCTTCGCTTTTTCAGTTGGAGAAATTGAAAAACAACCTGGTACATAGATAATGTACTATGTGTGAGTATTGTCTACAGTGGTCTCGAACCTACCGATTTTTCGGCATTTCTACTGATATGGGCTCTGTTCTACCGAAATACCGAAATATAACGATTTTTCTACGATTTCAGAGTATACATGGAAATTCTCCCGATTTTTCTACCGATTTGACACTTTTACACATTATTGATCCAAAAAATGTTAAAATTGGCAAAACTACTTCGATACTTCTTAAGAGAAGGCTCTTTCCCAATATTGTTCACAGCAATGATTTCCAGGAAATTGATATAGAGTGGCGCATTTTAAGAAATTGTGAACAAATCAAAACATTTCCTAATGATGTAAAACTATTTTGGGATGAAGTAACTTTACTAAAACGTGGCGATGAAACTCAAATGTTTCCTTTGTTGTCTAATTTCATCCTTAATATTTTCTATTCATCCGCTAACGTTGAACGCATATTTTCACATATTAATCTTTTGAAAACAAAACAGCGAAATGGGCTGTCCACTGAATAAATCACTGGTCTATTATATGCAAAACGACTCTTTAATACAGCTAATTGTTATGATTTTGAAATTAATTCGACGATGACTGCAGCTATGGCCAAACAATATTGGTATAAAAATTTATTATTCTTAAATATGATTGTTATAAATTAGTCTGTTTTTTTTTCAATAAATAAACGACTTCGATTGAATGTTGTATATTTTTTGAAAAATACCGATTTTGGATACAAAATAGTACAAATATACCGATTTTAGTTGGCAAGTCTACCGATTTCGCTTTATGACGTTCGAGAACACTGATTGTCTATGGTGAGTGGAGGCTGTATGGGCTTAGATCCCCTTGCCTTTCCTAACAAGGAAAAATTGTACTAACGAAGAAAAATGTCTATGGTGTTATTTATTTTGCTATTTGTTTGCTATGAGCTAACCTGGTATTAAAGTTTATAAAAAAAATCAAAATGCCTCAGAGTTAACTAAAATTCATACGCAACATTAAGTCCACAAAGGTAATATGAAATCATAAACGTGCAAAATAAATGGTTATTTATTTTGCTTTCAACACTTATTATTTGTATATTTGTACCTAGATGATTCACCTTTATCATTAATCAATGAAAAGCACTAACAAAATTGTGATCTGAACTCCAGACAAACATACCTGCTTATTTACCACTTCTTTTCTTTTTGGAAATTATTTATTTGAAGCGATGTCAGAAGCTTGTAATTCAAATGCTGAAGATTCGAGAACTGTATGCAAATACGGCGAAAAGTGTTATCAAAAAAATCCCGAGCACCACAAAAAATACAAACATCCAGGGCAAGCAGGAGCTTTTGAGAAAAAAAATGAGAAGAATCCCGGAAAGCTCAGAGAAAAACGTTTTAATCCATATTCGAGCGATGACAAACCTGCTAAGCAGCATAAAGTAGGAGATAAAAAACCTGACATCGAATTAGAAAATGGATCTGGTACATCAGAGAGCAGTACAGTAGTAAATAGTGACACGGTTAATCCAATCCACGCACTGAAGCTCCCTAAAAACATAACTTATTATGACAGTTCTGATCATTCAGTACTAAAAGAATTGTTTCTGGTAAAAATGCCTTCTGATTTCTACAAATTTTTCGATTGCTTAAACACTGATGATGCAATTGTTAAAATATGTTCATCTGTGAATTTAGAACTGATTGGGCCCTTTGAGTTGTTGTTAGGAAAATTACCTCAATTAGATGACAAAGAATTGTATTTAGTGCACTGGAGATTTTTCTATGATCCCCCTGAATTTCAGGTGAGTAACATCTTAACATATCTTAAAACAATATCAACGCTTGAAAGGCAAAAGTGACTAAGCGACAATGCATGAACTTTACAAGAGACAAATTTTAAGTTGAAATACCTAAAAACAAAATTTATTTTAACGAATCCAGCTGTAGTAGAATCTAGCTAGTAGCTGTAGGATTGAAATGATTTTAATAGACCTAGAAATATATCTTTTTTAACATCGAAAATGGTTATTGCCTATCATTTATGTACAAAGCAGTTATTGTCGCTTAGTCACTTTTGCCTTTCAAGCATCAATATGATCCAAAAGGATTAAATATATACAAGACAAACTTAAAGAATTAAAGTAATCTCTGTATACATATAAATTATTGATATATGGTGCATTTGATTGTAAATGGTTATTATCACTCATGGAAGTCTGCAATACTAGAAGTATAACCAACCTGTGGTCTATCATTGAGTGCACAAACCCTATTTGTAGAAAGACCTCTTATAGTGCCCAGGAAATACAGAGGAGGGAAGTTTATTCCAAAGCCAGATAGTACCTAGCAGAAAATCTCCAGAAACTCACATTGGATGAATGCAGTGGTGTGATGGGAAAAAAATAGTTAATAGGATCATTGTGATCAATTCCTCAGAGATCTGCATATGGATCAGTAAGACATATCAGATTAGAAATATCGACATATAGATATGTATAATACAGAAATATATAATATTTAAGATAGATTGTTGATGACTGATGAAATAATGTAATTTCCTTAATTTTAGGCTGTTTTGAAAATAAAAGGTAAAAGTGAATATCACATTGGATACTTTAGAGATGACCCAAATGATGAGCCAGTCTTCTTAGCGAGCAATGATAGTGCGAAAGACTGCCAAATTAAACCATTGGCTGATAATATTTTTGGGGCTGTATAGCAAGTATCAAAATATTTCTTTTTCATTCCATAATTTTTTTTGTTATTTATCACTTCATTTTTTATTTAAGTCTTAATAAAATTTTTGCAAAAGAATAAGAACATTATTTACTCATATATTTTGGGGGCTTAAAGGATTTCAGATTCTGCTAAAGTCTTTATTAACTCTCCACTGTAACTGGTGGTAGGACCTCTTGTGAGTCCGTGCGAGTAGGTACCACCACCCTGCCTATTTCTGCCGTGAAGCAGTAATCTGTTTCAGTTTGAAGGCTGGGGCAGCCGTTGTAACTATAGTTGAGACCTTAGAGCTTATATCTCAAGGTGGGTGGCGCATTTACGTTGTAGATGTCTATGGGCTCCAGTAACCACTTAACACCAGGTGGGCTGTGAGCTCGTCCATCCATCTAAGCAATAAAAAATAAAAAAAGATATTTTTGAGATGTTTAACCTTAAACTGATCTGTTGTACACCCTAGTATGCTATTTTGACAGGGTGAACCATTCTATAACATTTATTTTATTTTTATTATCATGGTCAACACCATTGGGGCGAACCATTTCGTCAAAGAACTTTCTCATTTAACTTCATAACAGTCAAATATTATAATACTTGACTAAAATGAGGAAAATAAGTAAAGGTAGATTCTCATATGTAGTATGAAGCAGTCACCATAGCATAAAGTAATGTGAAAAAATGTTTAAATAAACAATATATACCTATGCTTATTAGCAGAAAAAAAAACCTTTGAATTACGGCAGTAGCTGCTGAATTTACAGCCCCAATATATCTTTTACTTATAGTTTTATGCTATTTACTTATAAAGTTATGGTAAACCATGCTGGTTCATGAAGACTATGTGCTGTATGTGCATACTAGTTTATATTTCTTTAGAAAACTATATTAAAGTAAACTGAAGGAAATTAAGTCTCAAAAACCATAATTGTTTTCAGTTTGCACTTGAAAAACGAAAAGAAGTCACCATTCACGGCATTGGCGTGTAAAAAGTTAATGGAAACAATAAAAAAATATGCAGACGAACATAACTTTTCTCTGAATCCCTATGATATGAAGAAACGAAAGTCAACAATCTTGACAAACAGTTTTCATCGAGCTGGTATTGTTGTGCCTTATAATAAGAAAACTCAACTTGGTTATAGACCTCTGGTCGAAAATGATGGTCAGTATTTTTTCTTTTTATTGCCGTAGATGAGCAAAATCATAATCTATACATATAAATAAAATTAGAGTGTCTGTTCGTAGTATTGAAATAACCGCTTTTTACTACATGCATATGAATATACAGTACATACACCAAAACATTTTTTACAATTTTTGTCTGTCTGGCTGTTTGTTCTGGCTAATCTCTGGAACGGCTGGAGCGATTTTGATGAGACTTTCACTAATAGGTAGCTGATGATATAAGGAGTAACTTAGGCTACTTTTTTTAGTTATTGCCGCAGTTATTGTCGTACCGCGCGCAATATGGCGGGACTCTTCATCAATATTAAAATTTAATGTTTCCGAAGCGAAGCGAGGGCGGGTCGCTAGTACATTATAATTTGAGATATACAACCCACTTTAAGAGATGAGGTCATTGAAGTCTTTACAATGAGTGTCTCGCCCTTCAAACTGGAATGTATGATGTACTGACTAGGACATAATACCAACCTGTGTGAGCTAATCTGCCCTACCAATTATCAATTAGACTATTACATTTAATTTAGTTTAATCAATAGGTTATTTTTATATAAATACACATTAAAATAATGTTTCAGTTAATTTGAAAAAGTTATTTGATAAGCTGCAAGAGGCCAAAACTCAAAGTGAAAAGGACAATTTATTGTCTGATTTACAGCCAATTATAACATACGCCAGCATAGCGATGGATGAGTGCGACTTTGGAACTGGTGTGGAAATGGGAATCAATCTTTTTTGTTCTGGTTTAAAGGAGTTAGAATCTAATGTTTTGGGTTGCATTTGTCCAGCATATAATCTTTTGAATAGAGGAGAATTCAGTAAAATTATACAGGTATGCAATGGTTTTTGTCACTAGAACATTTATAATAATTATCATAATTGAGGCCTATAAAATCAAAGGCGGCTAAACGCCACAATGTCGTGAAATGGATTAACAATGGCCCTATTTTGTTTAGTTAATCGGACACGCTTTAGTGTTTTCATGTTATAACAAATGCAGCTAAATCTCACGACAAATTCAGTTCAAAATTTTTATTTTACTCAGTACTAAGTACTAATTAACGAAGTTTTATCATTTGGTGGTAGGACCTCTTGTGAGTCCGCACGGGTAGGTACCACCGCCCTGCCTATTTCTGCCGTGAAGCAGTAATGCGTTTCGGTTTGAAGGGTGGGGCAGCCGTTGTGACTATACTGAGATCTTAGAACTATATCTCAAGGTGTGTGGCGCATTTACGTTGTAGATATCTATGGGCTCCAGTAACCACTTAACACCAGGTGGGCTGTGAGCTCGTCCACACATCTAATAAAAAAAAAAAAATTAAAATTCAGATTATTAGTAATATTCTCATTCTTTATAAATCTGTTTTAAAATAAAGAATATCGTAGCTATCCTAACAAAGTTATTTCAGCGTGTTGCTAACACTGGCCCTAGCAAGAGCAGTACTTCGATGGATCGGGAGGATCCGTAATGACGGGTTCAGGGACGATTTTTGTAGTTTACCTGAATATTTGACAGACTTGGATTTAGCTGCCTTTGATTTTATAGGCCTCAATTGTTAATTGTATTAAACTATGGTACAGTACCCGACTATAAGTATTTTACATCGACATTTGGAATCATATTCGGCTAATTTAAGTTTTGTAGACAACATTGTCCAAATACGGTAACGTACAGTCCTAATACATACAGGGCTGTAGTGCTTCCTGGGACAGTGGCAAGACCCTACGAAGACGAAATTAGATGATGGTCTCTTTCCAAAGATATTTATCGCCGGAACTATGTTGTGTTCTGTAGCAAATTGTACAGAAATATTTTGTAAAAATTTTAGACATAATTATTACAAAAATAATAAGATATTCAGTTTAGATGTATCCCATAAGCATTAGTTTGTGAATTTTTTAGTCGTTTGTGATTTTCCTCCTAGCGTCATAAAGCAAAAAAATAATCAGATCCACTTTATTGAAAATTGTAAGGTGATTGTATAAGGTTTGGGAAGACTTCAGTAATGTTGCCTTAGGCTCTGCTTAATCCTTCAAGACATTAAATAAGACGAATAAAGTGGGCTTCAATTTCAGCTAGTTACATCGCGAACTGAAGCTAGAATAGGTCATCCTGCTATCATGATATGATAGCAGGATGACCTGCTGTATTGAGTGACAGTGGATTTTAGCCACTACAGCTCCGACCTATCCTTGAACACTTAACCGAAAGTCCAGCTTCCTACTGTCCCAAAAAAAAGCTTTGTTTTCTCAAAGAGATAGAAGTAGAAAAAAAACGGAATCTAATCATTTTCAATCCATTTGCAGGCGCACATGAAGTATCGTCGGAAGGGACCAAATGTTTCATTGTTAAATCTTTTCGAACACTAAATATTATACATTTTTTGAAGTATTTTTTGAAATGTTGTACTTAAATAAATATTAAATAATGATTTGTACCAGTTTAATTTTCGACCCGGTTTTATCGGAATCCACAAATTAAAAAATCACATTTATTTGCTCTCTCTCTTTCAATGCAAGTGGTTTTTCTTAAGTTATGAGATTTCGATCAGATGGTAGATTCTGCGAAGTCGAAGTATCACTCTGGCTATGGCCAGTGTCAACAAACACTCTCAGGTTGACTACTGGTGGTAGGACCTCTTGTGAGTCCGCGCGGGTAGGTACCACCACCCCGCCTATTTCCGCCGTGAAGCAGTAATGCGTTTCAGTTCGAAGGGTGGGGTAGCCGTTGTAACTATACTGAAACCCTAGAACTTATATCTCGAGGTGGGTGGCGCATTTACGTTGTAGATGTCTATGGGCTCCAGTAACCACTTAACACCAGGTGGGCTGTGAGCTCGTCCATCCATCTAAGCAATAAATTAAAAAAAAAACCTCGAATCTTCGCATCAAACTTAAAATCAGGTTGGATAAGAGCTCTTCAGGTCACCTACGCAAACAAAGAAATAGACTATCCACATTCAATGTATCCAAGCAATGTTTTCTTTCGTTTAAGAGACGTAGAAGTACTAACCCAACACAGACCTCTAATATTATTTACTAAGATTGACCGAAAATCTCAGATCGCGTAATGCAGTAATTGTCAACCGCTAACCACTCGTCCAAATAGACGATAAAAAAATTATAATAAATATACTCAATTAACAGGATCGAATAACATCGATGTTAGAGACATGTTACGATGTTACTGGTGGTAGGACCTCTTGTTAGTCCGCACGGGTAGGTACCACCACCCTGCCTATTTCTGCCGTGAAGCAGTAATGCGTTTCGGTTTGAAGGGTGGGGCAGCCGTTGTAACTATAATTGAGACCTTACAACTTATATCTCAAGGTGGGTGGCGCATTTACGTTGTAGATGTCTATGGGCTCCAGTAACCACTTAACACCAGGTGGGCTGTGAGCTCGTCCACTCATCTAAGCAATAAAAAAAAAAAAAAAAAAAGACATGCTAGAAATAACTTCTGACACGAAAACACATAAAAAAAAACATTTATTTACTGATTTTGCTCGCAATTAATTTTTAAAGACCAACCGATGTGGCGTCTGCAATCTAATGAACCAAAGTTGAACAGTAACATTATTTAGGCTGGTTATTTCAAAAGGACAAGGAAAGTGCTAATTATTTGAAGCTCATTAGATATTTTTCCTACAATCAAAAATAACAACACATGTATTGAGCTACAAAATTTTATTTTGTTACGAAACAAAATGTATCAGTCCATATTTTCGCAATTTACCAAAGAAACGTAAAATCACAGAATCATTTGTCTTTTTTTTTCAAATTGAAATATAAGATTACAAATCACGAGCTGCCGTGGCTTAATGTTTTTAACATTTTTCGAAATTTTTAAGCACACCTGCACCAATCCGCTTTTTCGGTTTAAAGAATAGACAACCGGTATTATAACCTACAATGTCTTCAACTGTTCAAGATTCAAGGTTCGCGGCGGCATAACCACATCTCATATTGTGGGTCTAACACTAATTGGGGGCGTCTTGCCTATCTGCAGCAATCAAATCGATTAAGCATTGAAAATTAATGAATTTCCTGGGTTTTTTTACAAGCAACACTTAAAATATTATAGTAAAATTTTTAATTAGACACAAGTTTTTGCCAATATTTATAACTCGTATGAGTGTCGGGAGCAGTTGAGCGAGTCGGGCTGGTGGGCAGTTCGGCATCGGGACAAAGTACACAAGGACTTTATTCCTTCGGTTTCTCGGCTGTTGTTAGATTTAGAAAGAGCGCTATCGGACAGTGGTCGCTGCCGTACACCTTGTCGCGGATGACGTTGTCGCAGACCGACGGAATCAGTCTGTCGGAAACTATGAAGTAGTCCAAACGCCTGGAACGAATAAGACACGCGTTAATTTGCAACTTTATAACTAACCTTTTTATGCGCTTCAACGATATTCAACTGATATTGGTTTATCGATAAGTTGCCATTTTTAACTGACTTCCAAAAAAGGAAGTTATCAATTCGATATATTTTTATTCAATTTGCGTTGTTTCAGAACGTTTTTCTTTTTGAGTTGATTTTGATAATTCTTTTTTAATTTGAAAACTGGTGTTAATTATGTGATCCCAAATAAATTTTATCAAGATCTGAGCAGAAGTTTTGGAGTTATTCCTAATGACGCATATTTCATTGAGATCGACTTATTTAGATAAAATCAGTTTTTTTCCCTACCTAAGCTGATAGCCTTGAGAGGCTATATCAGCGTCGCCTTAACTAGTAGGTGAGCTCACGGGGCTCAAGCCTGATGACGTTGCTAACACGAACACTAGCAAGAGCCATGCTTCGCAGAATCTACCACCGGATCGGAAACGCGACCCACTGAGAAGATCCGGCGAGAAACTCAGTGGGCTGTGTTTGAGGGTTAATTTACTCGTCGAGCCCTTCGTCGCAAGCGACGGGTTCGACGAGAACGGTGACCGGTGTTTGAGGTACCTAAAAGCACCGTTAGTGGATCGGGAGGATCCGAAATGACGTGATTGGGGCGACGTCGACTGCTTTCCATTCTGTCAGCAAGATCGGGAATGTTTTTTTTATTATTGAATGCATAGATGGGTGTGAAGCGGTTACCGGAGCCCACAAACCGACGCGTTGTGGTGACCAATATGCCACCAAGCGCTTGATGTGAACCATCTTATTGGTGGCAGCGCGCCCGCTCGGTCTGCCTATTTATGATGACTTTCAATTAATTATGTATACGGGTTCAGATAATCACTTAATACCGAATGATCGTGTGCTTGACCACACATATCGAAAAAAAAAACATTGTTTTTTTTTATTGCTTAGATGGGTGGACGAGCTCACAGCCCACCTGGTGTTAAGTGGTCACTAGAGCCCATAGACATCTACGACATAAATGCGCCACCCACCTTGAGATATGAGTTCTAAGGTCTCAGCATAGTTACAACGGCTGCCCCACCCTTCAGACCCAAACACATTACTGCTTCACGGCAGAAATAGGCAGGGCGGCGGTACCTACCCGCGCGGACTCACAAGAGGTCCTACCACCAGTACAATAGTATGTTAAATAAATGAAAAGTACGATTGGTGTAAGCGAAAACATTGTGTTCAAACATGTTGCAAAAAGATGCGTGACATTTTAAAGTTAAATCTCACCATCCGACGTTCTTCGAACGGGAATTCATCATGTACGTCCAGAAGGTGTATGAGCCCGTCTGGTCGGGGTGGAAATGTCGGAAGGTGTCGACGAACCCGTCGCCGAGCAGCTGCGTCATGCCGGCGCGCTCCTCGTCCGTGAAGCCGGCATTCTTTCTGTTCGTCTTCGGATTCGCTAAATCNGCGTGACATTTTAAAGTTAAATCTCACCATCCGACGTTCTTCGAACGGGAATTCATCATGTACGTCCAGAAGGTGTATGAGCCCGTCTGGTCGGGGTGGAAATGTCGGAAGGTGTCGACGAACCCGTCGCCGAGCAGCTGCGTCATGCCGGCGCGCTCCTCGTCCGTGAAGCCGGCATTCTTTCTGTTCGTCTTCGGATTCGCTAAATCTACAATGAATTAAAAATGACAATAAGAATTATACAAACAATAAACCGACTGTTCAAACTTATTAACTCACCGATTTCCTTATGGGAAACGTTCATGTCGCCGCATATTATCACAGGTTTCTTCTTATCTAATTCTTTGACGTGTTTGAGGAATTCCTCGTTCCATCGCAGCCTTTTGGGCATTGTGACTAGTTTCCGGCCCGCGTTCGGTACGTACGTACAAATCAAGTAAAACTGTTCGTACTCCGCCGTTATAATGCGACCTTCATCGTCCAGCTCTTCGTTTTGCAAGCCATATTTAACGTTCATCGCTAGCTTTGTCGTGTAGATGCCTACGCCTGCGTAGCCATCTTTGTCCCCGGCCAACCAGTACGCATGATAGCCCGGAACATTAGCCACCTCGTCTGGCAATTTGTCCGTTGCACATTTCGTCTCTTGCAAACAGAAAATGTCCGGCTTCTCGTATTTAATGTAATCCAAGCCTCCTTTGCTCATCCACGCTCTGATCCCGTCAACGTTCCAACTCGCTATCTTGAAGTTCCATTCTTTGCCTTGCGTCGTCTTCGATTCATTTGTAAAGTCAATATCTTCGTAATTTGTCGTGGATTTATTCTTGGGCGGTGCTTTCTTTTTCGCGTCTTCGGTGTTCACTGAAATTTGCATTGTTTGAAATGAATACGCAAATCATTGCGTTACCCATTGCCGCCACACATTAAAATATTATTTGAATATTCATAAGATACTCATGCAAAATATAAATAAGTGTACCGAGCACTTAAATTTTTAATTCTTTTCATTTCATTTAAATATGTAATGCAAATATGTAATATACTTAATAGGCGTGCATTTTTTCATATAGTAGACCGATTACATATTTAACCTTTTAATTCGCAGTGCCATGCGAGCGAGGATACGAGTACCACCTTAAATCGAACCACGTACATACATAATGTTTCAAGGCCGCTCACAAAAATCATTCAAATTCGCTAACAGTTCAAACATAGGATATCTATTTACGATTTCATATTATTACGCATGCTATTTCGATAAGGGCATTGACCTCTTAATAAACAACTGCTAAAATTTGCCATTTGTCTACAAATAAGATAACTTTATTTACTCTTTTGCGTACGTAACGGTGTTCTGTTATAAACTCGAAATTATATTTTTGTTTTATTTTTTTGATAACATGCTTTTACGGACTCTCATAGTATGCTTCCATTTAAGGCGTTACCGTTCTCACCCCGTTATTTTCAAATACAAGCTGTAGCAATTCGTAACGGTCACGTTTTGTTTCAACAGAACTTTTCCAGTTAATAATGTATCCAATTACAAACTCCGAGATGAACTTGACTACTACTAGATGTTTCCACAAGCGTCAGTGACGTCAGACATTAGCACGGGAAGTTGTTACTCTAGTCCAGCCTATGACCACAAACAATGACCAATGACCAAACATGGATTGTCCAGACTCATATGCTCATCAAACTTTAATAGCTATATATTAAAAGAATTAAACATGCAACAAATAAGCAGATTAAAATAACCTATTTGAACAATGAATTGTTTTGTTACTACTACAATATTATTTATAGAACCCATCTTTGTTCAGTTTATATTCAGAGTATGACATTCTGAGAAATAAGCAAATTCAGGACATTAGGAAGGAGCACTTTTTATCAAGCAAGATGTTCCACTAAAATATCAGAAATTAATACTATTTGTAATAATTAATAGTACCTTTTATATCCCCATTTTTTTATTAGTAAGGTTATATAGCATCACCAAAGTTTAGTTATCACTCTACACTACATCATTTATGTATATACAACAAAATTAACAAAGGTATAGAAAATAAAGCATTCCATATAAATATTTAGAAAACCTTTTATTGTTGAAATATTTCAAACACACTTATAATCATAATAACACTGAACAATGTCAATTATATTTTCTAATTGAATGTACTAATTACCCTTTTCTTCGACAGGCTTGCGTCGACGTTTTGTAGTTGGCTCACCAGTGTCCTGTGGCTCCTCATGGGATTCAGCAGATACTTCTGCCTTCTTTTGACCCCGCCTTCCTTTTGCAGGCTTTGGTTCAGGTTTTTCCTCTTCATCAACATTATCGTCTTCATTTTGTGCAGCTATAAACAAACAGTAGGCACTATGTTAAGTTTGTTAATACAAAACAAGCTTTCCAAGAAATATTATTGATTATGATGTTTATAAATTGGCAAATAAATTAATGATTATAGTAAAAATAGTAAAAGTTATAACAATATTACATTCTCCATAGATCTAATAGTTGACCATTATTAAAGAGTTTAATAACCTTTTTGTTTTTCATCTTTTTTTGTGACCTTCCTTTTCTTAGAAGCTGGTTCATCTTCCCTCACAGCATCATCAGTCTCTTCTTTGGCAGCTACTTTTTTGCCCTGATTTTTGCGACTTTTGGTTTCCTTCTTTTTTGGTTCCTCTACATTTTCCTCTTCTACTTCATCATCATCATTCTCTGCAGGCTTCTCAACAGCTTGGTTCTGAACTTTCTTCTTGCCTTTAGCAGCTTCTGGCTTTCCTTCATCCTCAACAGTTTCAGATATATCAGACTCAGCTTCTTCAGCTTTGGCTTTGCGTCCTCTGCCCCTACCTTTTGGTTTGTCTTCAACTTCATCTTCTATTTCTTGTTTAGGTTTCCTACCTCTGCCTGTTCTAGGCTCTGGTTTTTTAACTTCCTTTTTGGTTTGTTTCTTACGTCCCCTACCTGAAGGAACTTGTTCTTCTTCTATGTGACCATTTGTTTCTGAACCATCTTCACTAGGATTATTTTCCTCAGACAATGCCACTTCATCTTCAACTGAGGGTTCATCAGTAGATTTATTTTCCACCGGAGGTTCCTCTACATTCTTCTTCCTTCCTTTTTTTGGTGCTTGGACTGTTTCCTCTATTTTACCATTCTCATCTTGTCCATTTGTGTCACCGGCAGCTTTCCTTCCGCGTTTGGTTTTCTTTTCAGATACAATGTTCTTTTCATCAACTTCAGCTTCTACAGACTCAGTTTCAGGATCTTCAACTACTTTTGCTTTGCCTCTTCCTTTTTTAGGTGCATCATTGTCTGCTACTTTTGCTTCTGCTGCTTTCTGCCACGTTTAAAAAGACACATTAAAAATCTAGTCAACTTTGGTTTCGGACAATTTATGAAGCGAATAAAATTTTGGCGCCATCGTTTCTTCAAGGGCATTTTCTATGATTTAAAAAATCGTTTCCTCAATCATATTTGTTATTACCCCGGTAAAAATATTAACAATTTAGGTACTACCTATTTTCGGAATATCAACTGTCACATCAAGTTGATATTTAATTTTATGAGGCGCCATAGTATTTACACATGTGAAAGCATGTCATTTTCCTGTTTCATGTGTCCAATTAAAATTCGAGATATGTGAAGAATAATCATTCAGATTAAATCCAATTGAAATAAAGAAAATTTTAAATACGATAGTCAAACATTCGTTAATGACGCACAATAGCATTCATCCCGAAAATATGTTTGCAGATAACAATGCAAATCAATTTGGATACTACGAACTTTATTTTTAGTGAAAGTACTGTAAGTTCAATACCTTAGCTTTTGCTGATCTTGGTGCCATGATCTAAGAAGATATATTTGTCTTCGTTATTACTGTAACAGTCTTATTACTAGAAGATAATTGGAATTCAAAAATAAAAAAACGCGTTAAACACCAATGGTGGCGGGCGAAATTTCCGGTAAAATGACAGATCACCCCTGCCGCCAATTTTTGCTGTCAAACATTGCACTGTAAGGTTTGAGTTGTCAAATGTCATAGATAGAACGGTACCTAGTCAAATAATAAAGTAGCAAGGGGCCTCCAGGTAGCACAAAAAAGACGCGTTAGCGTCGTGTTGCAGAAATAAGCATTATTTTGAAAATTCAAGATGTCACATCCTTAATCACTCAACATTTGAACTACAATTATTAGTATCCTTAGCTTACTCAACCTACTAATCCTTCTCATTTATAATAAATACTGAATAACAAGAAGAGTAACTACTAATTACTGATAGGCATATCTTATTTTAATGTTTGACACCGAACAAATGCATTAAATAGTTGAAAAATACATATAAACAAGTATAACACAAAACTAATATGGAACAGCAATATTAATAAATTAAGAGTCAAAAAGAAACGAAAAATCTGGAACGTTTGGCTAGTCCTAGATTTAAAAAAATGCAATCGGGATAACTTTGCAAAAAGTTCAGTACTTTTTTTTGGACACTGAAATTAAGATTTAACTATTGTATTGTTGCAATAAATATAATACATAGTTATAGCGGAGAGTGGTATATGTGTTACCGGCAATCTGTATAATTCAGGTATTCTATACAATACCTAGGTAATGTACAGAATACCTAAAACATTAAGCTAATGTATGAAATATAATAGCCTCTCAAGGCTCTCAGCTTAGGTAGGAAAAAAAAAAGTCGTATGTGGCTAGGTGATTCACTTATTCTTTTTTATTCGACTGAATTCCCATACGGCAACTGTATTAATTAATTAATACGTAGTATGGCAAATCCTCTGTCCCTACGGTAAATGTGGTAAAGATTCTACCCAAATTTCCGCAAAGGAGTCTCCCAGATAGGTGCGTAAACACCTCCGCCATTCGGCTCATCACTCTTTTCGGCCAGCCCATACCGTGGGCCTCGAAGGTCAAGTATCTAGGCGTCACCCTCGACATAGGAATGACATTCCGCCCCATATCAAGTCGGTGCGCCACAGAACCGCGTTCATAATAAGACGCCTCTATCTCATGATTAGCAAGCGAAGTAAATTGTCCCTTCGTAATAAGGTGACACTCATGACATATGTAAGTGTAGTGTTTGCTCACGCGACCCGCACTAGCTTAAAACCCCTTCAAATCATTCAATCCCGTTTTTGCAGGATAGCCGTGGTTCGTGAGACACGTGGATCTCCACGATAATATGGATCTAGAGTCTATCAGTAAGTATTTACAGTCGGCATCATTTCGAGAAAGCGGCACGACACGAAAAACCTCTCTTCGTTGCCGCGGGTAACTACATGCCCGATACTGCGGACTGAATGATAAACAGTCGACGTTACCCTAAGCACGTCATTAAGGATCCTCCCGATCCACTAACGGTGCTTTTATGTACCTCAAACACTGATCATCGTTCACATTGAACCCGTCGCTTGCGACAAAGGGCTCGGCGAGTAGCGGCTTGATAGGGTTAGTGTTAACAACGTCGTCAGGTTAGAGCCCCATGAGCTCACCTATTCGTTATGTGAATCTAGTATAACACCTCGAGATTACTAGAATAGGTAGGATAAAAAAGAGAAGTAGTTACAGGTACAGCTTGGAGAGTAAGAGATATAGCTCTTTTCCAATAAGAGCTCGTTTCGACTGTTTTAAAGCCATAAACAGGTATTAATTGTATTATCTATGTTTTAAAATGTCAGCTGTCCAGATGTTATCTGTCAGGTCACGTCAGGTGCAACGTGTTGTTGACTGATGTTCAAAATTAGTCTTATTTTAATGAAAGTATTTTATATTATTAAATATCTACAGCTTGAAAATGGTAACGAAATTAATGAAAGTTGTAAATTCTTATTTTCACTCTTGTCGAATGCAGACATTCCTACCGCTCACATAAGGGCGAGTGGTTACTATTGTTCATGGACACCACCAATGCCTGGGGCTTAGACAAACCTGGTAGACAATCGTAGTTGCCTAGCGTTGAAAACTTTTAAACCTTGTTTGGAAAAAAATGGAGAATGACATGGCATTTTTACCTTTTGGTAATACCGTGAAATGGAGATCATTCTATGGTGGACAGCACGAAGCTCGCAACTTTTCTTTTGGAACGCACCCACTAAAAGTGCACGCTCTTTCTTGTGTAACTGATAAACCCAATGGCCCTCTTGTATTCAAAATCATATGGAAGATATTTTCGGCTAGTTATTCGGCTAAATTGTACATATACTTCGAAAAGTCTACCGATTCTACCATGCGCTTTTGAAATAATATGTTCTAATTAATGTTTCAACTCCATACCAATTTCTAATTTTTAAATATTAAATAGAATTAAATAAAGATTGCATGATCATTCATAGCAGCATTAAATTAAATTTTGGATTGTATTTAAATCAGTCAGAGAATATATACCAATAAACTAATATTTGTCAAGATACTATTTGAAAAATCTACTATAAACTAAGTTATATTTATTGAACTTATATCCACAGGCATTGGACAGGAAGGGTACATTCAAGGTTGAATATCTTCAGGAAATTGAGAAGAAAGTTCAGGAAAGATGGGAGAGCCAGAAGATTTTTGAAGTTGAAGCTCCTGATGATGGGAAATCACATGAGAAGTTTTTGTGTACTTTTCCATATCCATACATGAATGGACGCTTGCATTTGGGTCATACATTTTCTCTATCCAAATGTGAGGTATGTAAAAAGTATACCATAGTTACAATACAATATATAAACTGGCAATTTTGTGTCTCTATCATGTCCCTAAATTGCCTTTGCATGTTAGTTTCTTGTCATATATTTGGTATGCATACAGGTTATATGGGAACAGTTTCTAAAACGGTAGCATAGTAGCTGCCGATTCATAAGATAATATACTGATCCTCATATTTACACTGAAGGTAGGTTCTGGACAAAACTGTGTAAAATAAGAGATTTTATTTTACACATTTTTGCTATATAAAAACATGTAAATGAAATAAACTTCCAATATGTTGGGAATTCAGTCATTTATTTAAGTAAAACTTCTTAGAAACCTACTTATTTAAACCTATCTAAGAATGTTGTGGTAGTTTTAATTTATTTTAACATAATTAGCACTCCTCTCCTACTAAGTCATCCAAATGATCCAAAATTTTTGTTTGTTTCTAATAATATAGCTTTTTTATTCTTTTCATTTTATGTGGATGTTCTTTGACTCAAGTTACATTGAGGGGTGAAAGACTAGGTTTTGTTTGGTTTATGCGAAATTTTGATTAATATATGACCCTTAACTTTGTAATTAAAGGTCTGTTTTATTTGCTATTAGTATAACAACAATTTGATCTTTTTAATTGAACTTCAAATAAGTTTACCCCATTCAAGTAGCTGATGAAGTTCTTTGTTATGAAATTTATTTCCGAACCCTAAAATACCTTTAATTACCTTTAAATATGTCGCGTGTAATGTTGCAAAAATGTTGCTCAAATGAAAGACCCATCAACATGTAAAGACTCCAAAAAGCTATCAACTAGCTAGCTATAAGCTAACATAAACTGGCATTCATAGTCAAAAGTATGTTTTTTTTTGCTTGTATGGGCTCACGGCCCACCTCAAGTTAAATGGATACCGAACTCCGTAGATATCTACAATGTAAATGCTGCCACCCACCTTAAGATATGAGTCCTAAGGTCTCAGTATAGTACAACAGCTGCATCACCACAAAGATAGGCGGTGTGGTAGTAAATGGTAATAAAAAAAAAACTAAATACTGCAGTTGCTGTTTACATTCATTTTTAAGATAGTTAACAGGGTGTTGATTGACATCAAAAAGTTCACACACATAAAATTATTAGTAATATTTAAATATTTTCAGTTTGCCTGCAGGTACTACCGGTTGAAAGGTAGAATGGTGCTGTTTCCATTTGGATTCCACTGTACTGGGATGCCGATTAAAGCTTGTGCTGATAAGCTAAAGCGAGAAATGGCTGTATATGGTTGTCCTCCAGTATTTCCTGAAGATGAGGAGTTAATTGTCAAGGATGAAGATATTATACCCAAAGACAAAAGTAAAGGCAAGAAAAGCAAAGCCGTAGCCAAGACTGGTGGTTCAAAGTACCAGTGGCAAATCATGAAGAGTATTGGTGTTCCTGAAGAGGAGATCAAAGAATTTGCCAATGAAAGCTACTGGCTTGAATACTTCCCACCTCGTGCTGTTACAGATTTGAAGAGAATGGGTATTCATGTAAGCATATACATATATATTTTCACATATTAATATTCCAAAATGCTGCAAAGTTTTTTACATAGTTGAATTGAATAAATAATCCACATCATCATTAAAAAGGCAAAATATTTAAAATTAATATTAGTGTTATTTATCAAAGATGAGTTGTAACATTAGTTGTCTATAAATTTCAATATGTTGTTTTCTGATCAATAGGTAGATTGGCGACGTAAGTTTATAACAACAGACGCCAATCCGTTCTATGATTCATTTATAAAATGGCAGTTCAACCACCTTAAAGATCGTAACAAGATAATGTACGGTAAAAGGTACACGATATTTTCGCCATTGGACAAACAACCTTGTATGGACCACGACAGAAGCACTGGTGAAGGGGCAGGACCACAGGAATATACTTTGATCAAGATGGTAGTGCTGGAACCGCTACCTAATTGCCTCATGTGAGTGTTTCTTTTACTAGAAGTTTGGTGTATTGTAATAAATAAATAGATTAGATTAGAATAAGTTTTAGGACCGGCCACCATAAAGAGGGACTTTTCTGTTCCTTCAAATATGTTAATATACTTAATCCGTCAATATTCTAATTGAGTGTAGAAGTAATTTGAAACTGTTGAGAATTCGCTACATTTTAAAATAACATCTCTTGATTTTTAAATAGGTAATTATAGTAACCGAACCATACTACTATTGTTGAATGAAGATAATACTAAAATTAAATTATACAGTACAGTAATATTAATATTTCAGATCTCTTAAAGGCAAAAAGATAAGTTTAGTTGCGGCCACCCTTCGGCCAGAAACAATGTATGGTCAAACTAATTGCTGGGTGCACCCCGATATCAAATACATTGCGTTCGAAACCGTCAAAGACGGAGTGTTCATTTGCACAAAACGCGCCGCTCGGAATATGTCTTACCAAGATTTTACCGAAAAAGATGGAGAGTTCAAAATCTTACTGGAAATTGTTGGTCAGGATCTTCTAGGTTTGTCTGTACAATCTCCATTTACTTGCTATCCGAAGATCTATGCGCTTCCTATGCTAACAATCAAGGAAGACAAAGGCACTGGCATTGTAACTAGTGTTCCGTCAGATTCACCTGATGACTATGCAGCTTTAGTGGATTTGCAAAAGAAACCAGCTTTCAGGGAGAAGTATGGAATCGCAGATGACATGATCCTGCCTTTCAAACCAGTTCCTATTTTGGAAACACCCGATTTCGGCAACTTATCAGCTGTGTATTTGTATGACGAGCTAAAGATTCAAAGTCAGAATGACAGAGAGAAGTTAACTCAAGCCAAAGAAATGGTGTACCTCAAAGGGTTTTATGATGGAGTTCTGCTTGTGGGTGAACATAAAGGAAGTAAGATTCAAGATGTGAAGAAGAATTTACAAACAAAGTTAATCCAAGAGGGTAAAGCTGTGATATACTACGAGCCTGAGAAGACAATCATCTCTAGATCTGGAGATGAGTGCGTTGTAGCGNACAGAGAGAAGTTAACTCAAGCCAAAGAAATGGTGTACCTCAAAGGGTTTTATGATGGAGTTCTGCTTGTGGGTGAACATAAAGGAAGTAAGATTCAAGATGTGAAGAAGAATTTACAAACAAAGTTAATCCAAGAGGGTAAAGCTGTGATATACTACGAGCCTGAGAAGACAATCATCTCTAGATCTGGAGATGAGTGTGTTGTAGCGCTTTGTAACCAATGGTATCTCGACTATGGCAATGAGGAATGGAAAGGCCAAGCTGAAAAAGCCCTTGAGGCCATGAATACTTATCATGATGAGGTCAGAAAAAATTTCCAGGCGACTTTGAAATGGCTTCACGAGTATGCATGTTCCAGGACTTATGGTCTTGGTAAGTAATTCAATCAAACAAATTTCGTGTTCGTAATATACAGGGTGTCCCACAATGGGTATTGCACACTCAATTTGTACGACCGGTATTAATATTTATCTTCCTGGTGGCACTGATTGGGGCTAAGGTGTCTTGTTAACCCACAAGGGTACCCGTGTATATTAACACCCTGCCTGTTTCTGCCGTGAAGCAATAATGCGTTTCGGTTTGAAGGTTGGGGCAGTGCAGTAAAAAATGTGTTTTAGAACTTATGTCTCAAGATTGGCATTTACGTTGTTGACTATTCCGGTAATCACTTAACACCATCTGAGCTCATCCACCCATATAAGAAATAAAATAGCTAAAAATAAAAAGACAACTTTTCATCTTGTGATATGTGGCCATCCTTATTTACTACGAATTATATTACGGTACCTTGAGTAAAACATAATTCAAGGGTTGGCAGAAGAATAGTTTGTCGAAAATGTTCAAGTTACTTTTTATTCCGAAACTCTTAATTTAGGAGTTTTTTGCGTCGAATCGATTGTTCTTATACTGTTTTTGGCTTCATAATTATACCGTCTGTGGGACTCCCTGTATAAATAACTAAATACCTTTTTCGTGAATTACTTTAATAATTTTCTGTCTAGAACACAAATATACAAATCAATTCAAATAAATTATAAATCTAAAATAAATATTGAACTAAATAGATTGAAGTTAAAAACACGACTGTGCGATCAACAACAATAATAATATTTTCTTCATTTAAGGAACTAAATTACCTTGGGACCAGCAGTGGGTTATTGAGTCATTGTCTGACTCAACCATTTACAATGCCTATTACACAATTTCACATTTTCTACAAGGCGATACGTTTAGGGGAAACAAAGAGAATACTCTCAAAATTAAACCGGAACAAATGACTAGTGAAGTTTGGGATTACATCTTCTTCAAAGAGGCGCCTCTACCTAAAAATACTGTGATTGATAGAAAATCTTTAGATCTCATGAGAAAATCGTTTCAATTTTGGTATGTATCCATCTCTTCATACATACCAGGCATATTAATTAAATATATAATAATGGTATTGTAAACAGTAAATACTTTTTAGGTACCCAGTTGACTTGAGAGTTTCTGGAAAAGACTTAATTCAGAACCATCTAACATTTTACATATACAATCACTGTGCAATGTGGCCCAATGAGGAAGAGAAATGGCCTAAAGGGATCAGAGCTAATGGTCATTTAATGTTGAACTCTGCAAAAATGTCCAAGTCGGAGGGAAACTTTTTGACGCTTTCCGAATCCATTGAGAAGTTTAGTGCCGATGGCATGAGACTTACATTGGCTGATGCAGGGGATTCCGTAGAAGATGCCAACTTTGTCGAGAGTACTGCGGACGCGGCGATATTGAGGCTGTATACTTTTATTGAGTGGGTCAAAGAAGTGCTCGCCTCGAAGTCAACTTTGAGAAGTGGTTAGTTTAATATTTTAACTTATTAAAAAATATAAAAACTGTTATATTTTTTATATTTAAATTCTAAATCACTAAAACAAAGTCGCTTTCTCTGTCCTTATATCCCTATGTATGCTTAAATCTTTAAAACTACGCAACGGATTTTGTGCGGTTTTTTTAATAGATAGAGTGATTGAAGAGGAAGGTTTATATGTATAATAACATCCATTAAATAGTGGAGAAATCAATAATAAATTACAGTTTCCGAAGAGAAGCGAGGGCGGGTCGCTAGTTTTTCAATAAATTTATTTGTTAAAGTATCAAAAATAAATCGTTCTTACCTATTTAAAAAAACTTTAGACCGAAGTTGTTTTTCTCTTTCCCAGGTGACTACAATTTCCACGATAAAGTCTTCGTGAGCGAGATGAACATCAAGATACTGCAGACGGACGATAACTACAACAGGATGCTGTTCAAAGAGGCCCTGAAGAGTGGGTTCTTTGAGTTGCAGGCGGCCAGGGACAAGTACCGCGAGCTGTGCTCCGAGGGCGGGATGCACGTCGAGCTGGTCACCAAGTACATTGAAGTTCAGGCGAAGTTAATGTCGCCGATATGTCCGCACGTCGCCGAGTACGTCTGGGAACTGCTCGGTAACGTAAGTTCTAAGCTCGTCATTTTTTTTATTGCTTAGATGGGTGGACGAGGTCACAGCCCACCTTGAGATATAAGTTCTAAGGTCTCAGTATAGTTACAACGGCTACCCCACCCTTCAAACCGAAACGCATTATTGCTTCACGGCAGAAATAGGCAGGGCGGTGGTACCTACCCGTGCGGACTCACAATAGGTCCTACCACCAGTGGATCACAATAGGTCCTACCACCAGTGGTGTTAAGTGGTTACTGGCGCCCATAGACATCCGCAACATAAATGCGCCACCCACCTTAAGATATAAGTTCTAAGATCTCAAGTATAGTTACAACGGCTGCCCCATCCTTCAAACTGAAACGCATTACTGCTTCACGGCAGAAATAGGCAAGGCGGTGGTATCCACCCGCGCGGACTTCAAGAGGTTCTACTATCACTTATGTAACTAACAATACATTCAGATCAATAATCTATACTAATATATAATAGTGGTTTTTATGGATGTTCCGCTATAACTACTGAACCATGCATCCGATTGACTTGAAACTTGGTATCCATGTAGAAAATACATGTACTTAATGGATAGGCTAATATTTATATGAGTGTTGGACTCCCTAATAATAATGACAATAAATAATAATGTTAATTTTAACTGCTCAGCGAAGCGGGCGAGTACGGCTAGTATATTATATATTTCGTACTGAATGTATCAATTGATTTTAATTTATTAATCAGAAAACAAGCATCCTGCACTCTCGCTGGCCGGTCGCAGGCGACGTCGACGAGGTGGCGGTGAGGGCCAGCAACTACCTGATGGACGCCGCGCACTCGTTCCGTGTCTACTTGAAGAATCACTGCGCACTCAAGAAACCGAAGAAAGGCGAAACGCCTAAACCAGAGAAGAAGCCCAACAAGGCGGTCATTTGGGTCGCTAAGGAGTTCCCGAAGTGGCAGCGCATTATTTTGACGACGCTCAAAGAACTTAACGGGGTGTGTACAGTAGCTTGATATATTCCATTTTACAGCTGATCAACGTAGCTAGCTGCTTCGCTAAAGAAGTGCTGGAAGCGGTAACTCGTTATATATCCGAGAGCACCATTTCGCAGGGAGAATCGACACAACAGGACAAGTGCGTTGTGTCGCCAGCGAGCTGGGGTCTGGAGCGGGCCGGGGCTCCTTGTAGACCGTCGAGAATAGGACGCGTCAATGATTTCTATAATAACAACCGAGATGCGAGGAGTGTCCTCGGTGTTGAAAGGTAGCCTTAGTGAGCCTCGAAATACACTGCGTCGCTATCTTGGTTCGAGCTCTGATAGTATGAGAGTATGAGAGAGAGAGACTATGATATAGTCTAAAATAGTCCGACGTTCGGTGACTAAGGCTTTACGGGTATAATAGTCTTTTAATCATACACCGCAGACATCTCGAATTGTATGTAATTTTTTTTCATATATCGCGTCGGGCTCACAAGCCACCTGGTGCTAAATGGTTACCCCATCCACCTTGAGATATGAGTTCTAAGGTTGCAGTATAGTTACAACGACTGCCCCACCCTTCAAACCGAATTACTATATTGCAAGGCATATACACGTATCATATCACAAGAGGTCCTACCACCGGTAATTACACGAATTATATTTTTTTTATAATTTGCGTAATATACGATCATTGTTTCCAGCCGGACGGTCTCCCGGACAACAAGGTGATCTCGAGCCGGCTGTCGCAGCTGGACGAGCTGCGGAAGTACTCTAAGCGCGTGATGCCGTTCGTGCAGGCGACGCGCGAGTGCGTGCGGCGCGACGGCGGCGCGGCGCTGGCGCTGGCGCTGCCCTTCGCCGAGGCCGCCGTGCTGCGGGACAACGCCGCCTACCTGCGAGCCACGCTCGATGTGAGCACCCCTCTACTCTACTCCAACTCTTTATTGTCTTCTATATCAGCAGTCGGGGAACCGGGGTAAATTATCCCAAATGGGGTAAAATGAAATTTTGGGGGGTAAAAAGTATATATTGAAGTGCAACTTCTTTGGAAACGTTACATTTTTAGTTATTGTTTTCTTTTCAAAATATCATGGGGCCTATAATATGAGAGATGCTAAAAAGAAGCGATTTCGTTTTTTTTTTGTTCTTCGCCATGGGGGAATATCAACTTACACAAAAATATTTTGGGGTAACAATTAAAAAAGTTCCCCGACCGCTGTACTATATCGTTCCCTCACTACTGAGGATCGCGACCACATGCGACGTACTTCCACTGTGCTCGATCATGGGTGGCATGGACTGCACAGTACAGACTACCACAAAGTGCTTCTCTTGCTAGATCTNAGAAGCGATTTCGTTTTTTTTTGTTCTTCGCCATGGGGGAATATCAACTTACACAAAAATATTTTGGGGTAACAATTAAAAAAGTTCCCCGACCGCTGTACTATATCGTTCCCTCACTACTGAGGATCGCGACCACATGCGACGTACTTCCACTGTGCTCGATCATGGGTGGCATGGACTGCACAGTACAGACTACCACCAAGTGCTTCTCTTGCTAGATCTTCTGGTGTTCTGCCCGCGACACGCTCGCCCTCTATACGACCCGCAATTATGAGCTTCTCAAATACAAAATACAATATTTTTGAAAACTTATAAAATTGCAAGTGTAACTCAACAATTGAGTTATCTACCAGCTAACCGTTCTTAAAGAGGGAGAACTTTACATAAGTAGGTAGAAGAGTACAATCTAATCAATTTACCAATATTCTAATCTATCTAAATCTAATAATAATAATTTACTAATAACTCTACTCTTTTTTTTATTGCTTAAATGGGTGGAGTAGCTCACAGCCCACCCAGTGTTAAGTGGTTACTGGAGCCTATAGACGTATATAACGTAAATGCGCCACCCACCTTGAGATATCAGTTCTAAGGTCTCAGTATAGTTATAACGGTTGCCCCGCCTTTCAAACCGAAGCGCGTTATGTTCAATTATCATTATTATGTACCAGTTGGACGCGATAGAGGTGAAGTACACGGACAGCGCCGACGCGCCGGAGCGGAGCCGCGAGGAGTGCGCCCCCGGACAGCCGCACATCACGTTCAGCGCCGAGCCCGCCCTCCCGCTCGTCCTGCTCAACCCCACGCCGCTCAACGGACTCTTCACCCTCAGCGTCGACGTGGCTGACGGAGACACCGTCGACAAACTCAAGGCGAAACTTGCCAAGGACGTGAAGGCTATCAAAGGTGAGAGCGAGAACTATATGCATATATTACTTACTGGTGGTAGGACCTCTTGTGAGTCCGCGCGGGTAGGTACCACCCTGCCTATTTCAGCCGTGAAGCAGTAATGCGTTTGGTGTGAAGGGCGGGGCAGCCGTTGTAACTATACTGAGACCTTAGAGCTTATATCTCAAGGTGGGTGGCGCATTTACGTTGTAGATGTCTATGGGCTCCAGTAACCACTTAACACCAGGTGGGCTGGGAGTCGTCCACCCATCTAAACGATAAAAAAATCATATCAGCATTTTTTTACGCCGCAGACGCGTACCTCAATAATCACTTATTACTGGATGGGCCGTGAAATCGATCAACAGTCAACGCAAAAAAAAGGTACAAGAAAAGTAAGTATGTAATTTGTAATCAAAACTTGTCTGTGCGATTGTTTTGTAAAAATTAGAATCTATATATTAATACGTGAACCTAAAACTTTGTTTCCCTTTTTACGAAAATTGCGCGGACGGAGGAGTATGAAATTTTCCACACTTAAAGAGAATATAGAGAAGAAGTGCACAATGCTAATATTTTTTTTAAATAATGCATAAAAGATACATTAAATCAATAAATAAAACATTACACACACTACATACCATGTATTTGACGCACACACGCATGCATACTATTTATTTCGATCGAGGTGGGTGGCGCATTTACGTTGTAGATGTCTATGGGCTCCAGTAACCACTTAACATCAGGTGGGCTGTGAGCTCGTCCATCCATCTAAGCAATATAAAAAAAATATAAAAATATTGTCAACCTTTTGTTCCTGACGTCTGTTGTCAAATTGAGAATAAATTAAAATATATTGTTTGTCTTTATTAATATTTTTTTATAGTGTAGCCTTGACGAAGTATGTAATTATAGAAGTATAAAATACAATCATAATAATGTACAAACTTACAATTCCAATTATAGTCGAATTTCGACTACTGCGGGACCTCTAGTATAAGACAATTTCATGAAGGAACGACGTTTTGTCGTTACGAATAGTCTTTTGTGATAATCATTTCATAATTTTTTTATAGCTTACAATATTCTAATAACTCAGGATGAGAAATACTGGTTGTATTAAAATAAAGACGACCAAACTCTTGTTTTCAATCACATGACGACTGACATGCGTACTTACTTAAAAGGATTAAATTCAGCACAGAAATTATTAAGTTCGAAATAATTCAAAGCTGGTAGGTGTAACTCAGCTGACTGTTGTTAATAATCTCGCCGCAATCACAGTGCGGTGCGAGGGAGACTGCGAAATAAACTCAATATTCGACATATTTTTTTATTTATGGCCTGGTAACAAGACCTTTAAGCCAAGCCTTATAAGTTTGTCATCTATCCTGTAAAATATGAAAAATAATATAAAGCGAAATGAAATGAAGTTGAATAATTTGAGACTAATCATTTGGAATGAAATTAAATGAAACCAGATGAGATGGGATGAAATAAAGTCTCAGTAAAATGGTGGTTATCAACTGAAACTTTTCAGTTTCACTTTTTTTAATAACCCGAGAGGCTAGATCTAGCGGCTTTGTTTCATTTTCCTACATTTGTGTACTTTCACAGATACTGAGCAATTAACTTACCATTTATACATTTAAACCTAAAAGAAAACTACATAACAAAATAAAACAATTAACACAATTTCACGCTCCTAGCGTTCTCGCCAAAAAGTCTGGCCAGCCCTCATAGCTATCTTCAAAACATAGCGTCATTTTAAAATTAATTTCTATATTATTTTCAGACAGATTAACAATATGATTGTGTACTTGTTATTAGTTTTCCTGTCGACTTATCAGGCAATTATTCTTCCGATTCTTCAGATGTCACGAGCTTAAAGTTGTGGCGCTACAAGGATCCGATCTTGGGTCCGAGGAAGATTCCTGTTCCGGGTGATCACGAGAGCAAGTGTGAAGTTCTGCACGACGACTCCGTCTTCAAAGTAGATGTGAACGCAAATAAAGTTGAATTAGTTTCGAACGGAACTAATACGGAAATAGGTACACAATTGATGTACACTTACGAAAAGTAATTTTTTGTAATTTAAGTAAATATTTATATAAAATGTATGTGGTTTTTATTTCCTTTTTTTTTTAAATTAAACTCTTCGATCAACAATAGTAACTAGGTACACGGTCGGTGCAGAAAATCCGTCTCGTCAAATAACAGCTCACTTGAAATGTGAGCTGTTATTTTGTTTATTTCACTTCAAACACAGCCAATGTCAACCCGTCTCACAATGCCGCAGTGTGTATTCAAAAGTTGCAAAAATAATGCCCGAAAAAGCAATTTAACGGCTGAAGTATCTTACTTTCGGTAAGTACATGAAGTATAAACTATATTTTAGGCTTTAAACTAATAAATAATATTAAATTTTGAACAAAATTACCGATTTTTAGCCACCGCTGCAAATGTTGGCCAAGGCTCGGCCAACACATGGACAAACGTTTGTTTAACAGAACAGTAAACGCACGGAGTAGATTTGTGTTTTAATAATTTTTTAAAATTTATTAATGTACTTCAAAATTAGTTGGTTAAAATTGGTTAATGCTGCTTTTGTGTCTGTTTTTTGGACTCTCATTNGCGCCGACGCGCCGGAGCGGAGCCGCGAGGAGTGCGCCCCCGGACAGCCGCACATCACGTTCAGCGCCGAGCCCGCCCTCCCGCTCGTCCTGCTCAACCCCACGCCGCTCAACGGACTCTTCACCCTCAGCGTCGACGTGGCTGACGGAGACACCGTCGACAAACTCAAGGCGAAACTTGCCAAGGACGTGAAGGCTATCAAAGGTGAGAGCGGGAACTATATCGACGCTTGAAAGGCAAACGTGACTAAGCGACAATAACTGCTTTGTACATAAATGTAACCATATTCGATGCGCAAAAAATATATATTTTTAAGTCATTTTAAAATTAATTTCTATATTATTTTCAGACAGATTAACAATATTATTGTGTACTTGTTATTAGTTTCCTTGTCGACTTATCGGGCAAGTATTCTTCCAGATGTCACGAGCATAAAGTTGTGGCGTTACAAGGATCCGATCTTGGGTCCGAGGAAGATTCCCGTTCCGGGTGATCACGAGAGCAAGTGTGAAGTTCTGCACGACAACTGCGTCTTCAAAGTAGATGTGAACGCAAATAAAGTTGAATTAGTTTCGAACGGAACTAATACGGAAATAGGTACACAACTAGTGTACACTTACGAAAAGTAATTTTTTGTAATTTAAGTAAATATTTATATAAAATGTATGTAGTTTTAATTCCTTTTTTTTAAATTAAACTAGATTAAAAATATTATTTAGATTAGATTATGTTTAGAAAGTAATTCGAAGAAATCTCAAATAGAATGGTTTGAAAGACGTCTGTTGCGGCTCAGCTTTATGTTTGGCATTGTCGATGTTTATACGACGGTAGATACGTCTATGGTTCGGCGGTCTCCTGTGCACACGACGGAAAAAACGATGCGCGTGCAACTTTGTGCACGTGAATGAAGTGAAATTTCATTTTCGATGTGTAGTATTGTAGTTTTCTTCATTTTTTATCCTTAAATCAGATTGCTCTTGTAATACGAAACGTTGTGTATAAGAGATGCGACATCTTCAACATTTATATTATATATATTTTAAATTATAGATAGAAAAATAAATATATAATTTTTTTAACTACTTCATTAAAATATTGGCCGCTACTCGTTGCTAACGCTCGCGCTGGCCTGTAACAGGTATACCTACGCGCATGCGTTCGAGTGCCGCGCATTCACTCTCGCTCTGTCTCTTTTTAGTATAGTAGCATTAAACGCTTAACGCAACCTTGTTGCCACTTTGAGAAGGCGGCACGACATGAGAACCCTCTTGTCGTGGCCGCTGGAAACTACCAACTCGACCCTGTAGACCGAATGGTAAACAGTCACGTCCATAGATTATACACTTAAGTCACGTCGCCCAAAGCACGTCATTACGGATCCTCCTGATCCATTAACGGTGCTTTTAGGTACCACAGGCATCGGTCACCGTCCTCGTTGAACCCGCCGCTTGCGACGAAGAGCTCGACGAACGAATTAACCCATAGACAGCCCACTGAGTTTCTCGCCGGATCTTCTCAGTGGGTCGCGTTTCCGATCCGGTGGTAGATTCTGCTCTTGCTAGGGTCCGTGTTAGCATCGTCGTCAGGTTTGAGCCCCGTGAGCTCACCTACTAGTTAAGGTTACGCTGATATAGCCTCTCAAGGCTCTCAGCTTAGGTAGGAAATGTTGGAAGTCGCATTAGAAGTTTCACTTCAATAAAAAATAAAATATAGTAAACATAATAATTAATATAATTTATTTAGATACAAAGTGGTATTCACAGCATGGTATAGATTTGACAGTGGGCTAGGTGGGTGGAGTGTGCGCGAACAGCAGGTCCAGTCGGGGCGGGGCGGTGTCGTCAGTCGGCGGGCGAGCCGTGCGGACCGTGGGCAGATCCACTATGAACACTTCCTTCTTGAACAGCTGACCCACGTTGCGACCAATTAACTATACAAAAACGATACAATATATCAATATATACTCTCTGCCAACGATATTAGAAGTGACTGAGTCCACCGCGCGGGTGGATACGAATATTGTTATCCGAAATTTGTACGTATGCTGTATGTATGCGAGGAATGGCGACGTTTGGTGAAGCGTGGTGGTGCCACACGAAATTATGACAACGACCACTCTGCCAAGAGTGCATACGACTGAGTAGAAGAATCCTATCTATCTTGTCAATGTCGTTAGCGGGGTTTAGCTTTTTGTCGGATCCCTTCTATAATGTAAGTACGGTAAATATTCGTTTTGTGAAAGAAAACAAATTTAGACAAGAGCACTTCGGATGAAAATTAAATTGTAAATCACATATCGGTCGTCACTCATACTCTCGGAATTCAAAATGAAGTACATTATTGAGTAGGTAGTGTCTTACTTTCCAGTTTTGGTAGTATACATAAAATGAAGAGTTATTCAAATGGGACTTTGAACTTGTACACTGAAGTGGAATTTAAGTTGTATTGTCTATGGATTTCTAGAACAAACATGGCTGTATGGGCTTTGATCCCCTTGCCTTTCCAAATAAGGAAAAAATTTACCAAAAAAAAGTCTATGGATTCCATTTTATTTACATTAACTGACGTGTTATCATCATTAAAAGAAGTACCTTAGAAGTGATTTTCTTAAATAAATCTCGTTTGCTTTTGTCGATTTTGGAAGGTTTCCCGGTGTTGTTGGCAAGCTTATCTTCTAGCCGCTGCAGATCGTGAGCGTCCACATCCGGAATGGCACGTAGTACATTTACTATGTTAGGGAACTGTGGCCGGAGAGTTTCGTATGTCTGTGGAGAATGAAAAGATAATAAAAAAAATTTTTTGTGCGTGTCTTCATCATTTTACTGGCGGTAGGGCCTTTTGTGAGTCCGCACGGGTAGGTACCACTGCCCCACCTATTTCTGCCGTGAAGCAGTAATGCGTTTCGGTTTGAAGGGTGGGGTAGTCGTTGTAACTATACTAAGACCTTAGAACTTATATCTCAAGCTGGATGGCGCACTTTACGTCGTAGATATCGTTGGGCTCCAGAGACCACTTAACACCAGGTGGGCTGTGAGCTCGTCCACCAATCTAAGCAATAAAAAAACTATGATCTTTGAACGAAAAAAAATGTTAGATCACGTCGTAAATTTTTAAATGCCTTTATAAATTGTAATAGTTTTTTACAAAATATGAATAAATTTAATCGCATAGTTTATACATACTCCTCATGAAGGAGCAAGCATAGGTGACTTTTGGGCGGGTACGGGAGGAGTCAAGTTGTGTGATTTGTTTTATTTTGTCTATTTAGTGTTTCTTCAAGTTTAAATGTGTAATCACGGTGGCTTATTAACTGTTTAATATCTGTGAAAGTGCACAAATGTGGGAAAATGAAACAAAGCCGCTGGACGTAACTTCTCGGGTTCCTCCAAAAAGTCCACTGAAAAAATCTCAGTAAATGACCACCATTTTACTGAGATTATATTTCATACCATATCATCTCCTCTCATTTTATTTAATTTCATCCCAGTTGATTAATGTCTCAAATTAATCATCTTCATTTCATTTCACTCCATATTATCATTTTTCATAAAAATAAGAATAAAAATTAAAATAAGACATGACTTAAAGGTCTTAGTTACCAGGTCATAAAATACCTTTAAAAAAAAAGTTAGTGAAGGAGCGAGGAGGTACCTGCAACGCGAGCGCGAGTAGGGCGGCCTGGTTGGCGTCGTGCTGTCCGTGCGCGCGCAGGGCGTGCAGCTGGGCGTGCAGCGCGCCGGCCGCCTCCGCCGCGCCCAGCTGCCCCGCCGCGCGCGCGCCCGCCACCGCCGCCAGCGCCAGCCCGCACGCGCGCAGCGACGCGCTCGAGTCGCCCCACGTCAGCGCACGCAGTACCTGTAGCCGTACCGTACGATCTCATATACTTTATTGTGTAATAAAAATTAATAACAGTACTCTATAAAGAGAATCCTTTACATCTTTCATTAAAAACCTCACATGTGCAATTCACAGACGGTAGAAATAAAGCCCTTAGAATTATATTTTTATCTCATTCTGTCGCGGGCTCATCCTTTAGATGTATAAATTTGTCTCTTTAATGACACTTTTGAAGTTGTCGTAGCCCAAAGGATTCGTGTTGAGCGATGCACCGGTGTTCGGATCCCAGGCGGGTACCAATTTTTCTAAAGAAATACGTACTCCACAAATGTTCACGATTGACTTCCACGGTGAAAGAATTACATCGTGTAATAAAAATCAAACCCGCAAAATTATAATGGGCTGTGAGCTCGTCCACCCATCTAAGTAATAAAAAAAACTTGTTTTCTGTTATTCAAAATTTATCGAGCTACTTACTAACACTTTTCGTAGGTATAGTTACCGTGTGCAAGAGAGCGGGTCCGGCGACCGGATGCTGCAGCAGCAGGGCGCCCAGCTCGGACACGGCGTCGGGCGTGCGGGTGTGCGCGGCGGCGGGCGCGGGGGGCGCGGGGCTGGAGTCCTCCTCCATGTCGTCGCACGTGTCCGCACTTGACACCACGCCGCCCTCCACCAGCGACACCTAACCCCACACACAACACAAATTAAATTATTTCATACTAGGTGGATCCGACAAATGTCCTGTAAACCTTTTTTTATTAAATTGACATTCCTCAATATTTTTTTAAATATGAATATAATGAAAATTTTTTTTCTTTCAAAATCTAACTAATAATTTTTTTCCAGGATATTTTTGTTGATTATCCCATTTTCAATTTTTCTTTCCGCTTGAATTTTGCTTATCCTTTACTTATAAACACTAAGCAAACAGTAGATATTATGTCAACTTACTTTAATAACTTCTAAATATTCTTTAGTCAGGTTTCTAACGAGGATATCTTCTAACACTTCTTGAGACTCACTGCCGGTTTCCTCTTCTAGCTTACCAGACTCGTAGAGAGACATGATGTAGTCCCATCGTTGCGACAGATGCATTAACACTATAAAAAAAAAAAGATCTCGTAAAGATATGTTTTCACTACCTATTGAAAGGATTATCTTATGACTTTTGGAGTACAACACCTAAGTCATCTGGTTTAGTATCTACCATAGTTCAAAGTCATAGTGAATGTAGCCTTATGATATGATATTAAAGTTCCAAAGCGCATTATGTTTGCATTGTTATGATTATAATGATAACCTCTATAGCACTTTTGTGATTTCAACTCAAAGCATGGAGATAAACATGACTAGAACAATATTAAAAGACTTAACTATCAGTGCAGTGTATGTATATTATAATTCTGAATGTCTTTGGAGATATTAAACAGTTTGTAGATTAAATAGAAATCTTATACCTTTATAAGCAATTCTTGTATATTAATATATATATATATATATATATTACTACTTACAGGAAAAATCTGTCGCGGATCATCTCCCAATTAAATTAATCTTAAGCAATGAATGAAATGTATTCAAATCTTAGCTGTATATTTTTTTTATTTTTGATGTTAATGCACTGTCGATTGCACCTATAATTGAGGTGACATCTGCCATGAGCTTTTGTCAATTTGTCAATGTTTTGTATTGATGATCACTTTGTTGGTGCAACTTAATAAATAAATAAATAAATAATTTGAATCTCGGAAACGGCTCCAACGATTTTCATAAAATTTAGTATACAGGAGATTTAGGGGGCGATAAATCGATCTAGCTACG